CTTTATAGCAATAACATAACTGGGGGAATACCTGAAGAGCTTGGAGGGTTGAGGGAATTGGTGAGCTTGGATCTTTACATGAACAGAATAAGTGGTCCCATCCCATCGTCTCTTGGCAAACTAGAGAAACTTCGATTCTTGTATGTACCCTTTCTCTTCTTTTTGAACTCTATACTAAGATTGATATCACTTTCGTCAAATATAAAATATCAACAACATGGTGTTCTACTGTATGTGGTTAGGCGTCTCAATAACAACAACTTATCTGGAGAAATTCCAAGGTCTTTGACTGCTGTGTCGCTGCAAGTTCTGTAAGTGTAACTTTCTCTCACCTGAATAAATCTGTTCGTTTTTGAATATTAGTTATTCGATCTTGTGTTATATGACAAAGACGATATCATCCTGACATCTAGGGATGTGTCAAACAATCGGCTCAGTGGAGATATTCCTGTTAATGGTTCCTTCTCGCTGTTCACTCCTATCAGGTTTTCCTTCTTGTCTCTAGTTTGATCCTTGATGGAGTGGTCACAACAGAGTTACTAATTGTTGAAGGTTATGTGCAGTTTTAACAATAATAATTTAAGGCCGCTTCCTCCATCTCCGCCTCCTCCTGTCTCTACTACGACACCACCACCTTCAGGTCTTCATTTTGTACCTTTCATTCTCTTCTTTGTGTTTCTTGTCATCAACTGCGAATGAGTTCTGTATTAAGGAAAAGTGTGTTTATCTCATACTCTCAGGGAGACCAATAACAGCAGCAATAGCAGGGGGAGTCGCTGCAGGTGCCGCAGTTCTATTTGCTGTTCCAGCCATTGCGCTTGCTTGGTGGCTGAGAAGTAAACCACAAGACCACTTTTTCGATGTACCTGGTTAGTCAACTATCTTCATCTCTTTTCCCATTGAAGCTTCTTTTACTGATTTTTCCATATGTTGCAGCTGAAGAAGACCCAGAGGTTCACTTAGGACAACTCAGAAGGTTCTCCTTGCGTGAACTACTAGTTGCTACAGATAACTTTAGCAACAAAAATGTATTGGGTAGAGGTGGTTTTGGTAAAGTGTACAAAGGACGTTTAGCCGATGGCTCTCTAGTAGCTGTGAAGAGGCTAAAAGAAGAACGTACCAAAGGTGGGGAACTGCAGTTCCAAACCGAGGTTGAGATGATCAGTATGGCCGTTCACAGAAACTTGCTTCGGCTTCGTGGCTTTTGCATGACTCCAACCGAAAGATTGCTTGTTTATCCATACATGGCTAATGGAAGTGTTGCTTCTTGCTTAAGAGGTACCTCATTCTCTTGTCTAATAGTTATTGTTCCTCTCAGTTTCATCAAAATTTCCTTAGATTGCTTTATTTTTCGTGTTTAGAGCGTCCTGAAGGCAATCCAGCACTTGATTGGCCAAAAAGAAAGCATATTGCTCTGGGGTCAGCAAGGGGGCTTGCGTATTTACATGATCATTGCGACCAGAAAATCATTCACAGGGACGTGAAAGCTGCAAATATATTGCTAGATGAAGAGTTTGAAGCTGTTGTTGGAGATTTTGGGCTGGCAAAGCTCATGAATTATAATGACTCTCATGTGACAACTGCTGTACGAGGTACAATAGGCCATATAGCTCCTGAGTACCTTTCGACAGGGAAATCTTCTGAGAAAACTGATGTGTTTGGGTATGGGGTCATGCTTCTCGAGCTCATCACTGGACAGAAAGCTTTCGATCTTGCTCGGCTTGCAAATGATGATGATATCATGTTACTTGATTGGGTAATGTTTTTATGGTTTTCCTAAATCATCTTTCTTGTGTTCATAATTGTTATATTTACAGTGAAAAGTGTTTTGTTTTGCTGTGTGATTTAGGTGAAAGAGGTTTTGAAAGAGAAGAAGCTGGAAAGTCTTGTGGATGCAGAGCTTGAAGGAAACTATGTGGAGAAAGAAGTGGAGCAGCGGATCCAAATGGCTCTGCTCTGCACTCAGAGCTCTGCTTTGGAACGTCCCAAGATGTCAGAAGTTGTGAGAATGCTGGAAGGAGATGGTTTAGCTGAGAAATGGGAAGAGTGGCAAAAGGAGGAGAAGCTGTTGACACATGACTATAACTATCCTCGAGCTGATATTAACTGGCTCATACCAGAATCCAATACTCACATTGGCGACGATTACCTCTCCGGTCCAAGATAACCGGTACATGTTGGGGTCCAAGATACGTATATAGATTGTTGAAGTTTTTAAGAAGCAAAACCCAACATTTACTTTAGAATCACAGCTCTATAAAAATAGATTTGGCTTTGTACAGTCCACTTCGGTCTAAAACAAAATGTTTACAAGCCAATAAAATACGTTAGTCTTGCCTTATATAACACAAAAGATATACTCCATTTGTTTTCATTAATCAATCAAATAATATCCCTTTATGCATACATTTTTGTGTATAATTTGTCGACACACCGAAAAAATGAAAGATGGGCTTAATAAAAAAGCTTGTCCATAATTTAAAAATCGGGTCATTTTATTTTTGTTCTCTTTTATGAGCTTTTACCTTACGGTACCTATTGCCTTGGTATCAGAATATTTAAACACTGTTTTACTTTTACCTTCTGATTCAACCGATGAAGCGATAAAAGTAAAATGACGCCTAAAGACACTCAACCTAAATCATGAAATAATGCCGAAAGTGGCCAAAACCATAACACATCAAAATCGATTATCATATACTGTTCATGATTCCGTTCAAGATAGGAGCAGCTTCCTAACATTTTCACAAAAAGAATTGGCTGGCCTGAATTGGAAGCATCTTTTTCAGGTTTAGTGTTTGCATTTTGCAACCCGCAAACTCCAAGAAGGGAGGGGTGTTAAACTGTATATGTCGGACGCAATGTCATTGTTCCGGGCGGTTCTAAAATATAATCTATATACGTATATTTTGTTGTTATTAGGATCTTCATAGTTTTGAGAACTTCCTCTGTCGAAATATTTACTTTGCTTATTGTACTCTTGTGAAAAAGACATCCGAAAATTCTAAAACGGTAAGTCATTCATTATTCAAGAATTTGTGGTTAGAACGGTGTTGTCAAAGGATAATTCACCTCTTCTCTTCGTAACTTTTCTCAGTGGTATTTGCATTTTAACTATCATACTTCACGAAAATGTGCCTTGTCCTTATAATATACTCCATCTATGTATTTAAATTTTGTTGTTCATTGACTGATCCAAGATATTATTATTCCTTTTCTAGAAGATATTATTTTCCACGACTTCTATTATATTATAGTGACAAGTTTACAGTTTTCGTGTTCGTTAAGGAGTTTTCCTTTCCATATTGTCAAATACTATAATAAGATATAGTAATAGTAATTATTATTTTAATTTCTTCCTCTTTTGTTAGATTTATGACACATGGGTGGATGAGATTCATGAGAATAACTGAATAAGGAGTGTTGAGTTTCCAAAAGTGGTCGTAAGAAAAGGAATATAAAATCTTTTTTATATCTTGAACTCTACCCGAATTTTTTTTTGGAAAAAGAAATATTCTGTAATTGACTTTGAGAATATTTGATATTTCTACCAAACTTATAAATTGAGTATAAGATTTTTCTTCCACTTAATTATTGACCTTTCCCTTGTGATGAGCAAAACATTGTCTGGCTTAGTTTGTCAAGGTGTGATACTTTTGTTTTATATTTTCTATAATTAATTGAGATATATCAACAGTCAAGTATTTTCTATTCTTTTTGGAAAAAGCGCGAAGGTTTCTATGAGGCTTCTTTGTAATTTCTTAAGCCAAAACCTTACGTGACTTTAGACTAAGACAACAAAACTTGGTCCAAACTTTGTCTGCTAAACGTATATACTTTGTATTCTGCCATAGGATCACCTTCCCCAATTGACGTGGTATGAGTCGTGATTCGTAAATAAGGCTTCTCATAACTTAGAGGAAAGACATTTCACATGACTTGTCAAAAAAATTCTTACTAACTAATACGCCTAACCAGCTTTGTAATAATGACTTATCACTAATCTCACTAGTGTGTTAGAGTTTGATTTTCATCATGTGCTTGTGCCCATGCATAAAATCCTATGAAATTTTCTTCTACACGTGCATGGAAGTCAACAAAAAAGTAACTTGATAATAAACCATGGATCAACTTGCTCGTTGACATCTACAAGTGATCTAGAATGCATTATGTTAAACTCTGTGGCGTGGCATCGAAGTTAGCCACGGCTAACTATTATGAGACGAGTTTCTTTGGAATCTGAGTGTTAGTCCTACTTTGATCGTGAAAATTCAAGTCTCTTTCTCCGATACCATATTTTCGAAAGTATCACATTATAATTCACAAATCAGCAGGAGTTAATAAATTCTTGGATAGTTTAGGTTAATTGTGATGAAAATTGATATGTCCTCAATATACTTTTAATGTCTACTACCCTCGGTTTCTATTTGTTAGATGTTTTAGTTAAAAATGAGAAGATTATAAAAACAAGAAATTATTATAACTAATTATACGTCATAACGTTATCTACCTAACTAGAAAAAGATCAACCAATAATGCAATATAAACTAGAAAATACAAAGACTCGCAAAATATCAAATAATTTTTTGTATTAAAAAAAACTAAACAACTTCTCTTAAACATCTTATAAAATATAAAATCATTAGTTATAAAGATTTTGTTTCTTTAACCCAAAAAAGGATGGTACCAATTGCTAGAAATTTCAAATGTTTTTTTTAAGCCCCTCTAATAATATTGGTTTAAAATACTATGGTCATACATGTATTTTTCCAACATTTAATTGACAATAAGAAGACATGGTGTGAATTCATCTGACTCACTAGCCGTGCATGGATTGGCTGCCTTAGAAATTTCTGCACTCTATCCACTTGAAGGTGACATATATGTCACCTTTTAATAGTTGTTATTGGTACTTGCTTGGAGTATATATATACGTACTTAACAGATCAGGTTGTATCATTGTTAACATCTTTGGAGCTGTAATAACTTGGAACTAAACAATGGCCAGTCTAATGTTCTTCCGTTCCGCTTCATCTGTATGCTCTTCTCCATCGAAAAATGTCAAGTCTAGGTAATATGCATTATGCAATGCAAAATACTTAAAAGTTTTTACTCTTTATCATTATCATATAATCATTTGATCTGATACACGCACTTATTCTTTTTTTTTTCCAACAGTTTAGACTTCGAATTGAAGAAACTTGGTAAGATTTTCTCATCTTGATACTGAAAGCCGTGATCTCACTTTAGCTGTGTATTCGGTTATCATCATATCCGATTCTATTTTGTGCATCTTACATTTGTATTGTGTCTATCTTATATTTTAATAGAAATTTATTTAACAAATAGTTATACAGGCTCTATAAATATTGTGAGACGGTTCTGGTTATCATAACCATGCATGTTTTTTTTTTTTTTTTTTTTTAATAATAATGCATGTTGTCCTTATCGATCTTTGCTCAGGTGGCTGCACAAAACTTGTCCGTAACACTAATTTGGAGAAACTAAAGAATAACTATTTGTTTCCTGAAGTAAGTTCATGATCTCCCATCTTTATTGATTTATTATGCATGTGCTAATAATTGGGGATCATATATTTCACTAACACTTTGTAATTGTGTAAATATATATACAGATAAACAGACGTGAGCTTGAGCACGTTGAAAAGCACCCAAATGTACGATTGATAAGCCTTGGCACTGGTGATACAACACAGCCAATACCGAAGAAGATAACTTCAGACATGTCTAACGTATGAAATCTCTTTCTTTCTTTCTTGTTGGTAGAAACCTAAAATCCAAAACCTGCCGGATCCTATCCTGATTACCAACAGAAATATCCCATCTAGTAAAATTGATGGTCCGGATATTTTTATTTAAAACGTCAAACAATATTATCCCTGAAAATTGTTGTTATGCTCTACGCAGGTGTCGGCCTTTCTTTTGTATCTACTGATATAGCCAAAAACTAAAACTTTAATAGTCATAAACATAAAAATAAATTATATTTTTTATTATTAAAAGCAAACACTCATAACTTTAAATCATTGAGGATTAGTTAAACCGTAACCTGTCACATCCGGTTTTTAAAAATCATTGTTGATTAGTCATCTTATAAGGAAAAAAAATCGTAAAATATGACACTTCTAGTTATTTCCTAGGCCAAAAATGATGTTTCTAAGTCATTAGTAATTTTGTTTGTTGGATTTTGATGATTCAGTTTGCACATGCCCTATCGACTGTGGAAGGATATAGAGGGTATGGACTGGAAGAAGGTAATCAGGTAATTATGGTCTTCGTTTCGCTTAATTTTGTTTAGACAAAGTTGTATGATAGTCTCAATATAATTTGTTGTATCTTCATCAAGGTTACTTTTTATATTTCTAAACCTAAAGAATGATTTTCCTTCACTCTGTTTGGATTTTTTTCTCATCTCCTATTCCTAAGCTAAAGAAGGATTTTTCTTTCACTCTTTTCAATATTGACATCTTTTTTTTTCTTTTTGTTTACCAGGCTCTACGGAAAGCTATTGCTGATACGTTCTATGGACACTTGCGCGTAAAAAGTACTGAAGTTTTTATATCAGATGGAGCACAAAGCGATATTTCTCGTCTTCAGGTAAAGGAGATGCAAGACGAGTTATAACATTCTTTTGACGTACGTTACGCTTATTTGAGTTTCATTTGCAGCTACTTCTAGGTTCCGGTGTCACAATTGCTGTGCAAGATCCTACCTTCCCGGTAATGTCAGCGATTTTATTTTCTGTTTACATCATTACTTCCTCTCTATAATTTCTTAACATAAAAAGGTTAAGTGACTAAAATATTGAAAAGAGAGATCTTCTTGTGAATGTTAATATTTGCCACTTATGTTGCTTTTTCTTTGTGGAATCAGGCTTACATAGATTCAAGTGTGATTATTGGTCAGTCAGGCCACTTCCATGAAGCAACGAAGAAGTACCAAAATATTGTCTACATGCCATGTGGGCCTAATAATAGTTTCTTCCCTGATCTAGCAATGACCCCAAGAACTGATGTCATCTTCTTTTGTTCTCCTAATAACCCCACTGGTTACGTAGCATCGAGAAAACAACTACATCAACTTGTCGAATTTGCAAAGACCAATGGTTCCATTATTATTTTTGACTCTGCATATGCCGCATTTATCGAAGATGGCAGTCCACGTTCCATATACGAAATTCCTGGTGCTCGAGAGGTGAGACGAGTTTGCATTACTATATTATTTGTTGTCCTTGTTAAGTTTCATAGACTATCAACTAAAAAATAATAATAAACTGGTAATAAGTGGATTAATCATTCAAATATACACATTCATTTATCATACATTTTTACTTTTTTTCTAGGTCGCAATTGAAGTTTCATCATTCTCCAAGTTTGCTGGCTTCACTGGCGTCCGGCTTGGTTGGACTATCATCCCTGATGAGCTCTTATACTCTAATGGTTTTCCCATTATAAACGATTTCCATCGCATTGTAACAACTTCCTTCAATGGAGCTTCAAACATCGCTCAAGCTGGTGGTTTGGCATGCCTTTCTTCTGGTGGCCTTAAGGTAACTACATCATATAGTTTTTGCTTCTATTTTTCTTTATTTTTTTCAACTTCCTCTTAATGTTTCTTGGGTTAAACATGATAGGAGATACGGTCAGTGATCAACTACTACAAAGAGAACAGGAAGATTTTGATGGAGACTTTGGTCAGGCTCGGCCTCACGGTATATGGTGGTGTAAATGCTCCATACATGTGGGTTCACTTTAAAGGATCAAAATCATGGGATGTGTTTGCTGAGATTCTTGAAAACACTCATATAACTACAGTTCCGGGCTCGGGTTTTGGGCCTGGTGGAGAAGAGTATTTGAGGATCAGTGGGTTTGGACGCAGAGACGATATTGTTGAAGCATCCAAGAGGTTGGAGAGTTACTTTAACAAACGAACCAAACATTTTCCTTTTCTCTCTTCTGCTTCTAATACCAATTAAGTTGAACACAATTATGTACACCGTCTTGAATAATCCCTCCTACCTATTGTACCATGCATGATGTATATTATTGAAATAATGAAAACTATGGGACCGTGGAAGTTTGTAATGTTGATAGAGCGCATTGGTAAGTTGAATTTATAGAAGTATATATTAGTGACATGAATTCTTGAAGAGTATAATTAAGAAAGCTAAAAGAGAATTCTCATTAAATTAATACGTAGAGGGAAAAAGTAATTGGTAACAACAAAGTCTTGAGGTTCATAGGAAACAAAAAGATCTCAACAGAAACAATGAAATGGACCTAAAATAGTAAGCCTCAATAGAAAGAAGAGATAAGGGTCATGAAGAGGGCAGATGCTAAAGACACAGAGAGCAAGGACGCATCGGAACTCCTTGGGGCTGGAACAGGAGTTGCCGTCGTGCTTGCTCCAGAGGATAACTCTGGTGCACCTGCTCCGGCCGTGGGAGATAAACCTTTTAACATCCAAAACCAAAAATGCAACATCATTAAAATCTTTTTATACTGTATGAACCAAATATAAATTGATAAACTGGAATTAAACTACTGGAATTAAACTACAACTCGTTTTTTTTTTTTTGAATAATTAAACTATAAATGGTTTAAAACGATCTATGTTTATCAGTTAAATCATTAAATGGTTTTCTTATCCACCCAAACCAACTAATTAAAATGATCTCTGTTTCTGTTCGGATCTACTAATTACCAAAAAATAGAAATAAAATTTTGAACATACCAGGGGAGGAAGCAGGAGAATATGCAGGGACAGAGACTGCAACACAGTATTTTCAAGATATTAATTCACCAAAAATCCATACAGAATTGTATTAAAATATATCAATATATATAAAGATTATAGAAAAAGGAAAACTACTGACGGCCACAACGAGCAGATGGGGGAGCAGCAACTTTACAAACAGAAGGAAGAGAAGCAGCTTTGGTAAGATCAAGAGTAACACCAAGAGCAGCACTGTTCTTGAAACCCTCACAGATACATTCAGGTCCTGACCTAACCACAGTCTTGAGCCCTGAGCAACATGTCCCTTCCGGTATCTTCACCGTACTCCCGCTTGTCACGAACGACAAACAATCTGCCATGTTTAGTATCAACGACGAGCAGTCCACTGCCATTGCTCTCTCACCAGACATTAATGCGACCGCCGCGAAGATCATGAGAATAGATGCGTCCATTGTTCTTGACGCCATTGTGATTGAGAGGAGAATATTATTGGTGTGTGTTCTTTTGGGGACTCTCTAGCCTGCTAAATAAATGGAATTGCCTTTTGGTATATATTATTGTTTATTTTGAATATTTCGCCGAAAGAGAAGACATGAATCATTACTTTCTCACTGTCAATGTATAAAGGTCAAAATGTTTTTTTAAAGTGAATCAAAATATGTTTTTTTTAAAGTGAATTTAAAACTGCAAAATTATAAGAAAATAAAAATAAAACTGTAGGAAACAGTGAGTTGTAAACATGCGGTGTAATGATGGGTGAGAGTGGAGAAAGGAGCAACCAAATGAATGCAAAGGTGGCAAAGATTTGCTTTTACCCTCCTAAAGGCTAAAAGTAAAACAATAAAAAGTTGCCTTCATGTACCTGTGGCCAACGCTATGATGACGGTCGTGGAAGATGTCTTTGCGACTTTCCTTGTCATGGTGATCATGAGACTAATATGTAATTTTAGCAGTCTCTTGAAATATTAAATCCTTCAAAATGTATCAATAAAATCTTAATTTGAATGTCAAAATCGTAGGTGTTACGGTCTTTCATAATATTTTGAACATAAAGCTCGTTACATATATATGATATAGTCGTTTGTTGGTCGCAAGGGTTTGTTTTTCTTTACTCGGATGCTAATTTATCATTAAAAAACACCATTCAAAAACAAATATATTCTAATAAATCACATTAGAACTAAATAAAAATCCATGCATGCATCAATGCGTCACTAGGGCAGAATGCAAAAGGAATTTTGAAGAACAGTCAAGTCCACCAAGAGTATACACGGATTTAAACCATTCTACACAACCTCGAAGCTTGCTTACACCATGTCTCTGCAACGTAATCTCTGCGCACCAAATATACGTTTTACATTTCTCAAGATCACGGAGACCTTGACGGAGATGCTCCACCCTCGACTTACACCAAACCGTCACTCTCCTTCCGCCTGAGTTTGCCACCGAATTAAAATACTGATAAGGGTAAATTTTTCTAAGTCCCTTGACACTCCTCCACATGGAATCTGCGTTTGCATCACGCCAATGTAGTTTACCTTTGAAAATACCTAATTCGCACCATACGTTGGTCTCTATCTCTGCCAAGCAAATACATGTCTTCAAGCTGAGCTTCAAACCATTCATCTGATAAACTTTCCCACCCATTACCAATCTCCCTGGAACCACACTCTTCTGAGTGGTGAGTTCTAATGATGTTGTGGGGGAGAGTGGCTCCCACGTTAGCGTCTTTGGGTCATACACCTCTCCCCAGTGCTCGTGCTCGCTGCAGCCTCCGATCACATAGATCTTATCGTGGATTACTTCCGCTGCTGGTCTGTCTCGAGGTACAATCATCTCAGGGAGGCTACGCCATTGATGAGATCGACAATCTAGGGCTAACATTGTTCTGCTTCTCGTTTTATTCACTATTCCGCCGATTAGATACATCTCTGAACCCATTGAAACCACGGTTGAGGATTTTGGATGTTGACAAGGAAACAAATCAAGGACTGGAAGCAACTTCGGTCGTTTGGGAATTGGTGCAAGTCTGAACCAACGAGGATCATGGTTGTTCTTATTACCCATGTCCAAGCAGACATAGAGGCAATCCTCGGTTACTCTCATGCGTGCTCGTGTTGCGTCCAGCTCAGGGGAGGCCATGAGTGATCGGAAACTCTTGGACACGAGAGCTAAGGTTGGACGATGGAATCTCGAGATACGAGCCAGACAATTGACAACCATCTCGTATGGTAACGACGAAAACGAAATCGGAGGAGACTTTGATGATTTCTTCATCTCTTCCACGTTTATGATTTGTTTGAACATCAAGTTAGGGTTTCGTCTTTATATAAAGAATAAAAAGAGTTAGGTTAAAAGAAATAGAAAAAGGTCGGTCGCAAGTGGTTATAACGTAAATATTTTCATCAAAAACATTACTAAAGTTGGTTAAAATAGCTTTGAAGACATGTATATACACACACACATTAATTGCAGAAAATAGTAGGAAATGAAATGAGTAATACAAAAAGAGACCTTACTAAGTAGTTTAAGAACCAACTGTGACTAATGATCCCTTTGACGTGATTGATACAGAAGAAAGCTTCAATCTCAGATCCTCAAACTCCTCGGTTTGACTCTCCTCACTTGTTAACCAAATCGCTAAACACCGGTCTATCAACTCCTTACCGCAGGACCAAACCGAACTTCCTTTCAGAATCCTTGTCCTGTCGAACCTTAAGATGTTGGAGAGGTTTGCGTCAGATGGTTGGTCAAGGAACGTTCTCATGGTTGCTTTAATGGCTTCACACCATATAGGACGCCCAACTTCCAAGAAATCACGCAACGCCGTCGCAGGAAGGCTTACACTCCCTAATTCTGTTTCATTGCGTCCGCCTTTTCCATGATAATCTGATCCTCCTAGCTTCAGCAGACTGTATGTATCAGCCAACTCGCTAAACACTGTCCAATCAACATGAAACTTCAGTGAACAAATAGAGAGAGAGGATAAACAGAGTGACTGAAAGAGCGAGAGAGAGAGAAGAGAGACCTTCTTGCTTGCCTTCACTCCTGTACACCTCAACCCCATGAAGTCCAGCGTCTTTCAACCTCCTAATAACACTGACGTGATCCTTCAACGCCCATGGATGTGCAAGAACAGCTACACCACCGGTTTTGCATATCAGTTTTACCGCTTCCTCGGACATAGGCTCGCTCCCTCTGCAATACAACCAGTAAACATCTCTATTCTGTTCACCAATTAACAAGAGAAGTCTCTAACTCTCAACCAAATCCAAAAACAAGATCCTACACCAATCTACTACAAACCATCTACGGGAAGTGCAAAGCTCATGTACTAGACGAACACAAGGCTAATCAGAAACATTTCAAATCTGTATAAAATCAGCCAAACAAGGGGAAGAAGCAGAACATACGTGCAATAAGCAGGTCCACCATCACCCAAATATTTAGTGAAAGCTTGTCTCAGATTCTCCACGTAACCTGCTTCAAGAAGAGCTCGAGCTACGTGCAGCCTACCGGGAGCAACATCCTTGCCTGCAATCCTGGTGACATGTTCCCATTTCAAAGGTACTTTAAGCTTATTCAACTTCGATACCATCTCTCTCCCACGAACAAAACGCCCCTCCCTTATCTTCACCAGTAAACCTTCCAATTCATCATACATTGCTGGACCTGAAGTGCCATAGTACGCAAGTATATGCACCGGCTCCTCAGTGCCAGACTCTCTGGATTTTGGCAAATTTCAATAGCTAATCAGTACAATTCACAAGTGTGAATCATAATGATATCACAGATACTTAAAAAAGATGATACCTTGTACAGAACAATGTGCTGATTTCGATTCCGGGAATGATCTTGATGCCGAATCTACGTCCTGCTTCTACTGCTTCAGGGACACCAGCCATTGTATCATGGTCCGTTAAAGAAAGCACCTTTACCTGATTTCATCACATTGTGAAGCTAATCAATCAAATCCTTGACATGCTATTCCTTTTTCAAATCAAAAGCAGTGGACTTTAGTGGTACCAAGCTATGATCTTTTGATTCATTCACAGATCAGAAACTATCATCGATTTGAGAAACAGAGCAAAACCGAAAAGATCTCAAAACTAACTAACCCCATTGTTATGAGCCCTTTCGACGAGCTTTGAAGGCGATAAAAACCCGTCGCTGCGATTTGAATGCGAGTGAAGCTCGAACACGGGTTTCTCTCCGCATCTCAGAGAACCAGTATTGATTGTGACGGCGAAGTCGTCGAGAGAAGAGGAAGAGGAGAGAGGTGGAGAAGAACCTACGGAGAGCCAATCGGTGACCGACTTAAAAGCCTCTGTTTGCTCAGTGGTGGTTGTCTTCTTCTTGCTACCGCCGCGCTTCTTCTTCCTATTCCTCTTCTTCTTTTCGTCAGCCATTGTTGAATTGATTTTGCTTTGGGAGGGATTTTAGAAGCGCCGTGAATCGGAACAGTCGAAGTCTCGGAGTGGGAGAGAGACGAGGAGATTAAGGAGATTTTTTCGGTTATTTTATCTTTATTGATTTACTAAACCGGCAAACTTACGAATCAATTCTACAATAAGATCAAATAACCGGAAAATAAAATAAATCTCAAATTTCATCCAAAATGAATAAAAATAAATACTAGTCCACGTCAATAACATAAATTCTATAATGTATAATCACAAATAGTCAAAGTTAAATTAGGAGTGACGATGCTTAATTTCATAGGAAATTGTATTCTTCAGGTTTGATTTCCCATCTGTCTTAATTAACTAGTACAGGTTTAAAACAAAAAATTAAACAGTCAAAGCTAATTAGTCTAAAAAGTCAATAACATATCATACAGTGTATGGTATGTAAATCAATCAGAGAATCATATACCATTCAAACACCTTATATATAACAAACCAATTCGTGTTGAGCAATTCAATTTCATAAAAAAAAAAAAAACACAAAACAAATCAAAGTAGAAAGATCAAAATGGCTCCATCAAGCAGATGCTTTTTCTTTGCCTTCTTGTGTTTGACGATTCTCTTTACTCTGAGTATGCGAAACTAAAATAAAAATAATGTTCCATTTTCTATTTGATCTTCTGTTATTTCACCATTCATACATATTACGTTTTTTAGACATGATATATGTAACTGTATTGTAACTAACCAAAAGATATTTTTAAATAAGTCGCTAATTTGTTCCAAAACTATAAATTCAGATCTTGTGGAAGCTGAAGATAGGAGTCGTTTGATTCCCATAGGTCCTTGCAATCAGATTCCAAACTGCAATGAAAGATGCATTGCATCACAGTTTCTAGGCGGAAAATGCATCAAATGGTATCCTGACTCTATCAAATACACATGTGCTTGCTATGTAAAACCTTCTAATTCTATGTCGCCTGTCTAAGATATTGCTCAAGTGTTTATTAGAGTTCTTAATAAAATGTTGCAAGATCTATTTATTTTATGGAAATTTTATTGATCCACGACCATTAATAAAGAAAATTATATTGGATCCAAATAGCAAAGAGAATTTCTTGAATTACACACTCCAAACTAAATAAAATCTTCGATTTGATGTGATTGTTGTTGACAAAAGGAAATGAAAAAAGCCGTAGGAAAATCAATTAAAAAAAAATAGTACTCTTGATGTTAAAAAAAAAAAAAAAAGTACTCTTATTTGTTTAGCAGCGGAGTCGTTCCGGTGTCCTCATGATTCATGAACCAGAAGGCTTAGCCGTTTCTGAAAACGACATGAATCTTTTTTTTTATCAGATCTCTACTGAGAATGAGATGTCCATCAGTCCATGCATCTCAAAATCTTGGGAAGAACACAACTGAAGCACCGACCGACATAAATTTTCGGAATCTCAAACATATTGAACAAGAAGTAAGTCCCATTTTTCCGGTTTTGATTTAGTTGAGAATTGAGATGCTTTTGTTTTAGGCGATATTGAAGTTCCTTCTTCCACACAGTTCCACAATTCCACTTATTAGGAATTGGGACTACACTAAACTTTTGGTTTATATATGGAATGAGCAAAAGAAACTATGGTCTCCCTTTGAGAGATCTCTTGCCATCGTAGAGACTTGATTATATCTTGTATTTTGTAGATGGTATGTTCAATTTGTTTCCTTCATTGTCTTGCTAAATAAATGCAAGAGCCATCGAGCTTTATGGGCAAGAAAAACTGAAACTTTTTGGAAAAAGTTCTAAAATTGGTCCGTGATTTGAAACGGTGTTATGTTATACACTTGTGAGAATTTAAGAAGTTTAGTGAACTTATAAGATGGGATGATCCGTTAATTGACTAGATGGAACGTGTAACAGAGAAAGATTTGTGTTTGCGATGAAGAAGACAAAGATATTGAAAGGGGAAAACTTTTATTGTTTTTGTTTCTGATTTGTACGATCCTCCTGAGTCCTGACTGTATTTTCCGTTAGTCAAGTAGTTGGAATGAGTGAATAGAGAAAGCTTTGTGCTTTTTAATGTTTGCAGGATCTAAATAAGTCGATTCTTGTCATGCAGCCGGACAAAGCAGAGGTTTAATTTGCAGTTCTAACAAAAATTCAAAGTTTCTATTTGTATAGTTTCGTACAAGGAGATGATGAGGTTCAGAGAGGTATGTTTTTTCACGTGGATCTATCATGTGGCTATGCCCATTTTATCTTCTACTTTCTTTTAGTTTTTTTGAACATTTTTGTGTGTGTGCATGAATCAGGAGAAAGAGGCAAAGAAAGAAGCTTTCAGGAAGTATTTAGAGTCCAGTGGAGTTCTTGATTCTCTCACCAAAGGTGTAGTTTCATTGTCTATTTTCCAGCATTATTGAATCTACTGCGAGAGTTTTAGTCCTGACAAATAACTTGATCTGTTTTGAATGTAGTTCTGGTTTCTTTGTATGAGCAGAATGACAAGCCTTCCTCTGCTTTAGAGCAAGTCTCTACACATGTATTTTGATTTCTAAAAGAGTATTATAGATTCTCTATAAAAAAGTAGTTTGTGTAGTGACTTAGAACCTTGAATCCACCTTCTACTGACTTACTCTATCTTCTTCAGATTCATTCAACAAAAGCTAGGTGGTCCATCTGTCTCTGAGTATGAGAAGCTTCAAGCTGAGAAGTCTGATCTTCAAATAAAATACAATGAGCTTTTGGCTAAACATCAGGAAACTCTCAGAGAGGTAGTCCACTTTTTCTGTAGTTCCTTAACAATGGCTTTACAATAAGCTTTCTTCACTATGCATCATCTTCAACATTTTTGACTCTTTCTTTATATGTTGCAGTTAGATGGAATGAAGAGCTTGCATTCAAGAAACCCTTGGAAAGAAGATGAAGACAGAGAGGCCACTGAAGACGAACACACAACCCTTGTGACTCCTCCTCCTCACCACTAAAATTGTTTATTCACTGTATATGTAATGCTCCATTTCTACATTTTGTATCTCCATTATTGCTGTTCTCAGTGTCATTTTGGCTGATTAAGGCATAAACAAAAACAAATGCACATTCAAAAATGGAAAAATTGAATAACTTGACCAAAATAAAAAACATTGAATAACAAAAGACGCATTCTCTCTAGTGTCCATCCACACAAGACGCATTTGTTCATTTCCCGCGCTAAAACCCTTAACCCTTTCTCCTTTCGCCGGCGCGTGGAACGATGGAATCGCCGACACAGACGGCGGAGCAAATAGAATCCATGACGGAGTTTCTAGTGAAGCACTACTCCGACCAGCTCCGCGACATTTCTCTATCTTCCGATCCCAAACTTCACTACCCTCTCTTCCTCGAGTAATGCTTTAGTCTCTTCTCCCTTACTCTCTCTTTCCGTAATCCTTCTTTCAACTTACTTAATCACACACACACAAACACACACACACTTGTTCAGATTCGCAGAACTCGCCGATGACAATCCGTATCTGGCGCGTCTCGTTTTCTCAAATCCCGAACAGTATCTTCGTCACTTCGACGAATCAGCCCTTTTAGCTCACGTATGTTACTCAATTTAACGATGAATTGTGGATTCCGAAGTTTCAATCGTTAATCAGATGGACGAATTTTGTCTTTGGATTGTAGAAAATTGCGTTGGAGCATATGAAGAAATTTGAGGAGAAAATTGGGATTGAGAAGAGATTTATACATGTTCGTATAAACACTAGTGGATCTCCTCTAGAACGAAGCTCTGGTGTGTTTGTCGTCTCTTTCACTATTTACAAAAAACTCTTTTTTTCTTTTTCGAAGTTTATTTTTACTTTCTCTTTAGCTTAATTTTGTTGTTTTTGGCTATAGACACTTTCCCAAGAATTGGCAGGGTTAGAGTAAAGCACCGTGGGATTTTGCTCATGTTGAAAGGCACGGTGATACGGTCCGGTGGTGTTAAAATGTATGAGGGAGAGAGGATGTATAGATGCCGAAAATGCAAGCATATGTATGTGTTTCTGTTGTTGTTCTTGTGCTTGAAAACTGGATATTCCATTTGTCTCCTCTTGTTCTTGAATTTGTATCTGACTGTGTGTTGATTTCCTTGTATTAGGTTTCCTCTTTTCCCTGAGCTGGAATCGATAAACTCAATCGTGAAGCCGCCCTTTTGTCCTTCACAGGTTTTGTCACATTTCATTCTTTAAGAGCGTCCTGTTTTGCTGTAACATTCACCATCTGCAATTGCTTTCATTTTGCTTTATCATTATGTTCTGCATCTTTAGCTTTCAGTTTCTTGAAAACAACTGATCTAACTCAAAATCTTTAACTCTGTGTGGCAGCGGTCAAAATCTTGTGAAGGCACAAACTTTGATCCTGTGGAAGATACAGTAACACGCCATGACTATCAAGAAATCAAGATACAAGAAAATACTCAGGTTTTAGGTGTTGGGGTCATCCCAAGGTCTATTTTAGTCGTCCTGAAAGATGACCTTGTGGACAATGTTAAAGCTGGAGGTACAACGCCTTGGCTTTTGTTCGTTTGAATTTGTTCTGTGTAACATATCCTAAGTTGCATCAGTAGTATGCCTATGATCAAGACTCGGTGTAACTTGCACTGTTTTGCCTGATGATATCGGCTTGCAGTGACATATTTATGATTTCTTTTAATGCAGATGATGTTGTTGTCTCTGGAATCTTGACTTCAAAATGGTCTCATGATTTAAAAGATGTTCGCTGCGACCTTGAACCTATGTTGATTGCTAATCATGTCAGGTAAATGGCTTAGAAGTTTGATTAAACACGTTACTATTAAGCATCTCAATTTCAGTTATTAACTCACTTTCTACCCCTTTTTCCACCTATTATCCTGCGGCTTTATAGAAGAACTAATGAACTCAAATCAGAAATGGATATATCTGTTGAGCTGATCGAGAAGTTCAAGAACTTTTGGAGCCACTTCAAAGATACCCCTTTGAAAGGTCAAAACTCAGTGTACTTGTAAACTATTCTGCCTGTTTTGTTGCAATTATTTTGAACAGTTATTCCCTTGCCAGTTGCCACGTAATATATTGAAGGTTGAAATTAGAATTTTAGTTAAATTCATGTTAAACTCTGTAGTACTTGTTCAATTCAGGGAGAAATGCTATCTTACGAGGTATCTGCCCCCAAGTCTTTGGTCTCTTCACTGTTAAGCTTGCAGGTATGCTGTATGCATACTTATTTTGTGTCAACTCATCTTCTCACTGAATTGTCTAGAAAGATTTTTCACGCATTTACATTTGTTAATATGCAGTTGCCTTAACACTCATTGGAGGCGTGCAACATGTTGATGCTTCTGGTACAAAAGTACGAGGAGAATCTCACTTGCTTCTTATCGGTGATCCAGGTCGGTGTCAACCACTGACTATTAATTTTCTTATATATATATTCATGCCCCTAAAATTGTAGTTGAGTTACAAAGTTTTCGCCTAAACTAAATTGATCTGGAACTAGAGTACCTTATATAAGATTTTTTGGTGTGTTTTGTTACTAGCTCATTGAGCTCTATATCGGAGTGTACGTTCATATGAATCCACCTTTTACGTTGTTGATATCTGGCAGGCACTGGAAAATCCCAGTTCTTGAAGTTTGCTGCAAAGCTAAGCAACAGAGCTGTAATCACAACTGGACTAGGAAGCACAAGTGCTGGATTGACTGTAACTGCAGTAAAAGATGGAGGTAAGCACTCCACTCGTTTGCTTATCTCTTTGTTGGGTTCTTCGTTATTATTTTCTTTCGATCTAGTCTTATTATTTGTTTCCAGGAGAGTGGATGTTGGAAGCTGGGGCCCTTGTTCTTGCAGATGGTGGACTTTGCTGTATTGATGAATTTGATAGGTAGTCTCTTGATGTCAGATGGGAGAAACATTTGCTATAAGAATATTTTTGCATTTTCCCGTAGTGTTAACTGCTTGAGAGGTTTGATATTCGGTGAAATTGAAGTATTCTTCTGGTCTTTTGAATCTCTGAACTTGCTTGGTTCTACTGTTTAAACGCCTTTTTATTGTTCTTGATGGTAGCATGAGAGAGCATGACAGAGCAACCATACATGAAGCAATGGAGCAACAAAGCATAAGCGTTGCCAAGGTAAATCACTCCATATAACTTCTTTTCTGGTTATCTTTTCGTTACAACATCAGCTTTATTTTTCAAGTTTTACTTTGTTCCAACTTATGTCTAATTTTGTCTTTGTATTTGTCTCTTTCTTACTGTGTCTTGTTAATTTGAAGGCTGGCCTTGTAACAACTCTTAGCACGAAGACAATCGTCTTTGGTGCTACAAATCCTAAAGGACAATATGATCCCGAGCAGTGTATCCGAACTTACTACATGCAAACTGTTTTCGAATTCATGTTTTGCACTATCACTTAAAAGAGGCACACATTTCTTCCCATAAACCATTCCTGTTTTCCCTTTGCATTAGAATATGTTAAGATCATTTTCTTCAGGAAGTTCTTAACTGAAACTTAGCTCTTTCTGTCAATACTGCACTTTCCGGTCCCTTGTTGAGCAGATTTGATATTGTACTCGTTCTTTTAGATACAAAAAATCCCGAATGGGATAAAGTCGTATCCTCTCACATCCTTGCCGAGGTATGTTCCTTTACAGAAGTCATGCACACTGACCCTTAGTAAGAACAAAGTTTGTATTGTGAGTTGTGACCAAATGCGTGCCTTTTATGTGTCATCATCAACCCAGGTGCAAATAGAGCAAGGCAGAGATGTCGATGATCTTACTACTATTTGGCCACTACCGATGCTTCAGAGGTATCAAAATGTGTACAGATTGTTCCCCTTGCAGAGAAGTCTGAGATAAAAAGATGTGTTTGATCCAATGCATGATTGCTATTAAATTCTTATATCCTGACCTATACAGGTACATACAGTATGTGAAAGGAAACTTCAGGCCTGTTCTATCAAAGGAAGCAGAAGAAATCATTTCGAGTTATTATCGACTCCAACGAAGATCATCAACACATAATGCAGGTATCTGTTGAGGACTACTTTGTTTTGTGGAACGGCTTCGATCTCTGAATCCTCTGGTTTCACAGCTGAGACTTCTTATTCTTTGTTTATATCTTTCATGTAATTTGATTTTACTCTAAACTGCAGCAAGAACAACTGTGCGGATGTTGGAAAGCTTAATCCGTTTAGCTCAAGGTACGTTGGCGCGCATATTTTCTCTTCTGCTATACTCATACTCATCATCAATCAAATTAGTACTAAACAAGAAGATTAGTGGTGTTCACAGCTCATGCAAGGATTATGTTCAGAAACGAGGTCACACGATTGGATGCAATAACAGCAATCCTGTGTATCGAATCATCGATGACCATTTCAGCTATCGTAGACAGTATGGGGAACGCGCTGCACTCTAATTTCTCTGAAGAACCAGATCAAGAATGTATCCTTTTTTTATATGTTTTACTCATATTAGATTTTACTAACGTCTGCGTTTAGTTATAGTCACCATCTGGATTATTTGTGTTTGAGTTCCTTAACAGAGAGCAACCAATAGACGCGAAGCAAGAGAAGCTCATCCTTGAAAAGCTAAGAGGAGATGATATATATTAGCAGTATGCTATAAGTGGAGATCTATTGCAATTGTTTTGGAGATCTCCCAAGTACCTACTACAAAGGAATCAGAGCGAAAAACCGATGAAGAAATGTGATCACCCATCAGTGAGTGGGGAAGAAGATTTTGTCTTAGGATTAAGCTAATGTATTTTCTTGGTTGATTCATTGTCACATTATGGATTATATGCTCATATAACTCTATGCAGCCTTTCTTTTTTTGTCGGTCAATCTCTATGTATCATATCATCTTAACTACTAGCAAAATAGAAGAAAAAAGTTCGGAGAATTTTGTATACACTCTAATCCAGTAATTTTTAACCTGTGATCCTATAACGTGTGGTGTTTTTAACTCTGTTTTTCTTTCTTTTTATTTTAAGGTAAACTGCAATTGAATTGTATTTAAAGCTTGAGATTAGCCGAAGAGCTCTTTGGCAAGTAATGCGACCACTTAAACTTGATTGATGTTGGGTGTATATTTTCTAATTTTTTAATGTAGGCTGTGGCCATAAGCCTAAATACATTTCAAAGAGGAAAATACATTTTAATATAAGGTGTCATGGTGGGAGAGAAAGAGAGAATTTTCATAAAGTGGTAAACTCTTGATATATTTAACAAACAAAAACAAACTATGACTTTGATAATTTAGTGTGGGCTCTTCATCAACACAACTCAAAACATATCACATTCACATAGTAAAGCCCAACATCAGAATGAAATGAAGTATTTTCCCGAAGTATTGCAGTCAAAATCATAGTTTGTTGCTTTGTTAATCTGATGTTAAGTGAAGATTTTATATACAAACGAAGCACTACTTCATGTTATAAACTTTAGATAGTTTAATGTGTATACCATTTATGATATGTATATTGTAGCCAATGTGTATATTTTGTGCATAATGTGTATAACTTCACTGATGAAGGATATTTTGGGGGTGTAAATCGGTGTTATAGGGAGATTTCTACGATCTCATCTCAAATGTCTACAACTGGAAAATACATATGCGCGCATATGGGGTCACCCTTTAATAAACATTACTTCTCACTTACATATATTTTGCAATATGTGCAGTGTGTCATTAGTGATGTACCAGGACATATTAGCACCGTCTTTCGCCCTTTGGTGATTCCTCGCGGGCAGGATCCATACTTGTAAGTTAACAAAAAAATTTGTTTGTTTTAACATCATTTTAAATTATATGTTTTTTTTTCTATAAAATTTTGTTAGTACTATTAATTTTGTCAGTGTTATAGGTCGTCCATTTTTCCAGAACAACCACACTGTCTTCGACTTTGCGAGAACAAGGTTCGGTTTTGCTCTTTCTACCGACTGAGCTGACCTCAACGATGCACCGAATTCTACAAATACCACTTCTAAACTCTAGAGTGATTTAATATATGGTTTATGCATGTGAATCTATGGCTTTATTTTGTTTGTTATATGTATTACTCCCTCTATTTTACAATATATGGTGTTCTAAGATTTTTTCTTGTTCCACAATATATGTTGTAGAATTTTTAAGGTACTTTTTACAAATTTCAAGAACCAGTATTGAAAAGTAATTGCATTCTAAAATTTTATTAGTTAATAGTTATTAAAAAGTGATTTGATTAAGAAAGTAAAACAATAATTATTCAACAATAAATGTTTCTTAATTTGTGTGCAAATCCTAGATTCATGAACAAAACAAAATATTATATTATGAAAATATTATATTCATGTTTAAAACAAAATTATTTATGGGCTCATTGAGACTAGCCCATAAAAGGATTTCAAGAGAGGCCCAAATCTTTAAAGAATAAAAGCAAAGAAATAAAGCCAACTTTATATCCCTAATATATTAAAAGAGAAAACACTATAAAAATAACCTTTGCCTCATGTGGTATTAACAAGAATGCCATGCTGATGTGTCATCACTAGGTTCACTCTCAAGACAACTTTTAATTAAGACAAAATTTACTAGACTATTTACATTATATGCCATTGTATAATTTTGGTTAGAGAATAGTTTATATCAATCATTTATACATATTTCTGCATTTAATCATAAAGATATCATTACTCTTTCCATATCTTATCAAATTAATTATTTTCTTAAATAATACATTTTCCTCTCATTTCTTGGTTGGATTAAATTTTATAAAAATAAATAAAATATCACATTGACCATATATTAAAAAAACGTACATTTTTTTCTACACAAGTTATAGTTTGAAATTTAAAAAACAGATATCAATTACTAAAATGATGAAAATAATAAGTATATCATAAAAGTCCCACATTGGAAATAAAGATATGTGATAGTTCATAAAATTATTATAAAGAGAACAAAAATGATAAGAAACTATAATACATGGAAGTTTAGTTTAATAAGCATCCAAATTTATTGTATATTTGGTTTCATATGGTGTTTTTTTAATAAAACTATATACCTACACCAAATAAATTTATATTATTATAAATATTTTACTGTGAAAAAAGTTGAAAATATTTCTATCAAAATATTAAAATATGTGAAATAGTTTAACTTGGTTAAAAAGTTAAAATATTTAAAATATTTTTTTTATCACAAATTTGAATATTATAAAATTTCAACTTATCTTATTAAATACATGAAACATATATATTTTTAAACAATAATGTTTTATTCTTTCAGTTTTTTTTGTTTTTCAAACTATCTTATTATATTGTAGTCATTTTAGTTTTATTTTTTCGCTTTAGTCTATCATATTTAATCTGCAGTAAAAAAATTAATTACCTTACTTAAAATGGTTTAATATGCTTAATTTATATACTATAAACGGATAGAAAAACTAAAAAAATCCGTCACAAAAAAAAAATTCGAGATAATTAAATATACTTTTGTAAAAAAAATACAAATACATTTTTTAAAATTAAATACATATGATGTTAACAAAAATGTAATATTAAAAATATAGAAATTTAGAAACATTATCCCGTGCAAGGCGCGGGTCAAACTCTAGTAAATTATTATCACAAGACGTGAAGAAGAATTAACCTAGTTTCAGATTTCGAATCGTCAGAGATGGATTCCGTGTTTAGATCGGCGACGGAGAAGCTTGAGAGAGAGCACAGAGAGAGCAAAGAAAGTGGGATAGTAGAACTCGAACGACAGAGGAAAGCCGATGATGCTGCGACAAGGCAACGCGAAGCCGTTGAAGCTTCTCAGAGAGCCAGAAGGCTACAAGAAGCCCTTGAAGCCCCCATGAGGGTTCGTAATTTTTTCTCGTAAAAATTAGGATTTTTTAGGCTCGGTTGGTAAAAGTCTTCCCTTGGATCCCGTCTCTGCAGATTTTGTAAAATCATATCAAATTTCAATGTTATTATATATGGAAGATGAAGTTAGGGTTGCAACGAAATTGCCTTTGTCTCTTCAAATAAAAAGCTTTTTTTTTCTTTTCGTTCTTCTTAATTGCAAATCGAATAGTGTTCTTGGTGCATCAACAGAGTTACATGTTTCCAATTAGAACCCTGACGAGTAATTAGTCTGCTAAATGCTAAAGGTTTACGTGCATTAACATGGTTAGGTTGAGGATAACCTTGGCGAAGGAACTGAACACAGAGGAGAGATGAGAGAGGAAGCAAAGGTTGATCGCCTCTCAGATGAGGATGCCCAGGTACGCATCTTCTGTTTATTTCTGTTTTAGCCTTCAGGTTTAAATAAACATCTACTTTGACTCTTATATGAATAAGATGACCAACAGAGTATTTCAATGATACATTTTTATTTTTCCCATTTTAGCGTCTGGTTGCGTATTACATAGATCTAATGCAGCAACAAGACGTAGCTGAAGATGGTGCTCCTGTTGCAGGTCTGTTTTGAGTTTACTGCTTTTTTATACTTTGTTACACATTCTACTTGTTAAGACATGCTCTTAGTTTAACTATATTAGTGTGGTCACATTATGTTAAAGAGGTTATGTGATGCTCTCAGCTATGTCACTTTTCATGTAACTTAGGAGGAGAAGAAGAAGAAGAAGAGGTCTGTTATCAAGAAGACTAACGATGATGATGTGGTTCGAGATGTTTGGGTGCAAATTAAGTTATGATTATGTTAAGGGTTGCGTCACTTCTAGGCATAGGAGGTGGTTTTGGCTTTTGTGTCTTTTCATTGTGTTGATGCAAGACTCGTTCTATTGTAAGATCAAAATGATAAAGATAATGTCAACGTTAGGGTGACCAAGCAATAAAAACTCTTATCTATAAAAAAAAGCTCTTACCTATAAAACTCTTTTACGTTAGTAATAGTAGCTACACAACGTTTAACAGTTTTACACACCAAACGAAAACAATACATACAAAACCATACTAGAACTTGAAAACATATACAGTATGATGGTACGTGGAGAACATGAAAAACTAATAGAGGGCAAACTAAGTTTCCAAGTCAAGGGTGGATATTCGAGTAGTAGGAGTCAAAGTAAGAGGATGAGCCATTGTTTGGTTGAATCCTTTATACCACTCGTCCATATTGACCTTCTCTCCTTTGATATCCCAATCAAAGCACTGCACCATCATTCCTATTGTTGTTCCCACTATCATATTAGCTAGATTTGATGCAGGACATCCTCTCCTTCCGCCGCCAAAAGGAATATACTTGAGTGCTTGTTCTTTTCTCTCCTCTTGTTGCCAAGTTAGAAACCTCTCTGGCTTGAACTCAAGGGGGTCTTCCCAGACATTTGGATCTCTCATCACAGAATAAAGGTTAACTACAAGTCTTGTCTTCCCTTGTACAGAGAAGCCTCCTATCTTACATCCTTGTTGAAATTCCCTTGGTATGTAAGGCGCTGGCGGATGCAATCTTAGTGCTTCCTTGATGACTGCTTGCAAGTAAGGGAGGTTTGGCAAATCCTTTTCTTGAACCAACCTTGATTTCCCTACAACGGAATCAATTTCTTCTTTCAGTCTCTCAATGATAATAGGATTGTTAATGATCTCAGCCATTGTCCATTGTATTGAGTTCACCGTGGTATCAAGTCCTCCAAATAGAAGCTCCTGCATTTGAACACATGTTTATTTTATATTTTTAAAAGAACATTCGGAATACTAAAAAGAAAAAGAAAAATCATAAGATGAAACATTTACCACGAATAACGATTTGATGTGGTTCCTAGTGATCTTGTACTCTGCGTTTTCGTCTTCAGAAACTGCCAACAACACGTCCATTATATCCGTACATCCATCCGTGTTCGGTTTCTCTTTGTGTTCCACAAGAATTCTCTCTAGCAGCTCGTCGTATTTTTTGGAAAGACCCGTTATATCCTTCTTGAATAGTGAAATTCCAAGCTTCTCGAGCTGACCGAACAACCAGACTCCCAAGATCAACGGTATATCTAAACCAGCTGACTTGGTAACCAAACCTTGGATACTCCCTGCCTCACCATACTCTTGTGTAAAACTCCTTCCCATGCTCATCTTGCAAATGATGTTTCCCATGAGCTTCATGGCTTCCTTACTAATCTCAACGCTCTCCTTTTTCCTCGCCTTATCGAGCAGCCTCTCGTAGAACATTTCTAGCTCATGGGCGCGGATGCTTCGGGACTGCTCTTGTGCGTGGGGTCCAAACATATTTGCAACAATGAGTTTCTTCATGAACTTAAAGTATTCTCCATAAGGTGCCATAACGAATCCATAAGTATCGTAGAAGAGAGAACCTTCAGTCGTAGGGACGTTGCGAGATGAAATGTTCACGTCTTGAGCCCTGAAGATTTCGTAGGCTAGAGAAGCTGAGGAGACGACAACGATGGGCATGTTTACAACTCGGAGGTGGAGGAGAGGTCCATAGTTGGAAGAGAGTTTATGGAAAAGCTTGTGGGGTTGAAAAGACTTGTGGTGTAAGAGAGAGAGGATAAAGTAGTGAAGATGACCGATGATTGGAAGAGAAGGAGGGCTTGGTGGCAAAACAAGGCCATCCTTTTTTTTCTTGAATAAAAGATATAAACAGAGGAATCCAAAGAAACATAAGATGATTGTTGCCACTAAACGATATTGAAAGTCAGCGGTGATCATTGGTGCCATTGTTGCTCAAAATGAAGAGATCTTGTTTGGATCATTCAATCAGAAAAGGAAAAGAAAAAACAAAAAAAAAAAACAGAGCTTGATCAAGAGATCTATTGGAGAAAGAGAAGCAACATGTCTTTGTCCCTGGAAGTAAATCATACATATATAAAACGCCGAGGGTGAAACGAAGAAGAAAAAACACGCAAGTCACATGTGCACATAACTTAAAAGTGTCAAGTTTTGACAGGAAGAAAGTTAACTAGCAAGACAATGGGTTGACAATATTGTACATCAGTCAATTAATACTACTAATTAAATAACTTAACAAAGAGTCATCATTCACCAAGGTGACAACTAATGTCTAATGTTCCACATGCATTGATTTTAAGATCTTTAGTGCATGGGACGATATTACGCATCATTTACTTGTGTCAGAATCTTGTAGTATAGAATTTTCTTGTCAAGTACGTCAGGTATTAAATTATATCAATATATATGTTAAAGTATCAAGTCTTACATAAAAACGTACTTAACTAGCAAGACAAGGGACTCACTCAATTGGATAACTTCAAACAGGGTCTTCTTCATCCACCAGGGTGGCAACTAGGGTTCCACATGGATTGTAATATTCTTAGAGCATGAAGCAAGAATCAGCATCTAATTATTTCAGAATCTTGTAATACGGAAATGTGCATGTGATATACGCATATATGATCATCAAATTGTGTCGAATACGTTGACCAGAAGATACAAACTTAAGTAGCAAGACAACGGTTGTATAACTTAACAAAGAGAACGTAACTGAATAACTTAACAAAGAGTCTTTATCCATGCACCAAGGTGACAACTAAGGTTCCATATGGATTTTTAAATTTTAGAGGATGGAACTGAACGAAAATAAGCACTACTCCTGTCAAAATCTTGTAATACATAATAGAAATGTGCTGGTGAATATGCAGATAGACAACTTTCCGCAATAAAGACATAAATTAGTCCATTCTCTCTTTCTGTTTTGCATAATATTTTATATCATGTGGAGTATCAAGTAAACCTAAACATTAATGAATGCAGAGTTAACTGACATGGAGATAAGATAGTAGACTTAGAGGCGATTGTTTATACACTTCTTTAGGAAGGAGGGAAAACCAAACTTTGTTTACAAATTTCGTTTTTCACTTCTTGTTTATTTTTTTTTTTCATTTTTGTCTACCATCATTTGCATTTATACTATAAATATAGAAACGACAAGGATATGACAAAGTGTTGTGTTTTTGAACTAGCCCGTAACAGTACGTACGTAAACAGCGTTTAATAGTTTTACACACTAAAAAAAGAGAACTACAACAATACCATACTTAGAAAACATATCTGATATTACATAGAGAAGATAAACAATTAATAGAGACCGTACTCTCCCTTTCTTACTTTCTAAGGATCTACTTGTTATGTCTGCAAATTCACTAAATTTTTCAATTCAAGGTTTGATAGTCGAGTAACAGGAGTCAACGTAAGAGGATGTGCCATGGTTTTGCTGAAACATTTATACCGGTCATCCATGTTGACCTTCTCTCCTATGATTCTCCACTCAAAGCACTGCACCATCATTCCTATTGTTGTTCCTAGTGCCATATAACTTAGTTTTGATGCAGGACATCCTCTCCTACCGCCACCAAAAGGAAGATACTTCATTGCTTGCTCATTTCTCTCCTCTTCTTGCCCTGATCTTGAAGAAGTTAAAAACCTCTCCGGCTTGAACTCAAGAGGGTCTTCCCAGAAATCCGGATCTCTCATCACAGCATAGAGGTTAACTATAAGTTTCGTTTTCTCCGGTACAAAGAACCCTCCTATCTTACATCCTTGTTGAAACTCCCTTAGTATTTGAGGCACTGGCGGGTGCAATCTTAGTCCTTCTTTGATGACAGCTTGCAAGTAAGGGAGGTTTGGTAGATCCGTTTCCTGAATCAATCTTGATTTCCCTACAACGGAATCGATTTCTTCTCTCAATCTCTCCATAATAATCGGGTTGTTAACGATCTCTGCCATTGTCCATTGTATTGTGATCACGTTGGTATCAATGCCTCCAAAAATAAGCTCCTGCAATTTAACAAACGTTGTTATTTTATTTTATTGTAAAGAAAACTCGGAATATCGATTTAAGTTTGTTGGGGTGTTTGCAAAAGTAGACCCCAATTTGTGGTCAATGCTTTTGGTATACCCCTCTAATACTTACACCTCTTTTTCTCTATATCATCCTTACCCTCTTATCATATATACCAAAATGCCATCATCTTTTCTATTTTTCCATTTTTTTCAAAATTACTAATTTCCAAACTAACCTCATCTCCTTCATTTATTCACAGAAATGCCATCAAATTCAATTCACCCAACAACCATTCTCAACCATATCCAAGGTTTTTAATGCTTCTTCTTCCCTTTTACACCACCATAATCACACAATGTGCTCTTGTAACCTTCTTCTCTAACTTATTCTCTCCAATTTCATCACAAAAACTCTATAATCCATCTCTCAAAAATATAAGTTCTTGTATGATGCCATTTCCGGTCACGAAGTTCACGGCAACGGCTGGGCTTCTCCGCTGAAGGTTTAAATCGAACCAATCCGCCGTCGACGCAACCAAACAGCAAATCAAGGTGATTTTCCGTTCGTTTATCGTGAATTTCAGATCTCCGGCGCGTTGTAGACTTCATATAGAAGTCTACATGTGAACGCGGGGTACACTAACTGCAAACGAGAGAGAAAAATGAGAGAAAAAAAAAAGAGAGAAAAACATGTGATGAAAATATTTACCACGAAAAATGCCTTGATGTGGTTTTTAGTGATCTTGTAATCTGCGTTTTCGCCTTCGTAAACTGATAACAACACGTCCATCATATCGTTATATCCATTCATGTTTGGTTTCTCTTTGTGTTCCAACAGAATCTTCTCTAGCAGCTCGTTGAGTTTTTTTAAAACGGCCGTTATATCCTTCTTGAATAATGAAATTCCAAGCTTCTCTACCTGTCTAAACAACAAGATTTCAAAAAAAAACAAGATTTCCAAAATCATCTTCTTCTTCGTACCACTTGACTTGATAACCGAACCTTGGACACTATCCGCCTCGCCAATCTCCTCTGTAAACCTCCTTCCGAAGCTCATCCTGCAAATGATGTTGCCTATGAGCTCCATGGCTTCCTTCTTAATGTCAACGCTCTCTTTCTTCTTCGCCTTATCGACCAGGTTCATGTATGACCTCTCGAGCTCATCCGCGCGGATGCTTCGCGAATGCTCTAATGCTTGGGGCCCGAACATATTTGTAACAATGAGTTTCTTCATGAACTTAAAGTATTCTCCATAAGGTGCGGTAAAAAAACCAGAAGCATCCGAGAAGAGGTTGCGAGATGAAATGTTCACGTCGTGGGTCATTAAGATTTGATAGGCTACAGGGGCTGAAGAGACAAGGATGGCAGGAAAGAAAAAGAACTGGAGATGGAGGAGAGGTCCATACTTGGAAGAGAGTGTATGGAAAGACTTGTAATGTAGGAAAGACTTGTGGTGTAGAAAAGATAAGAGAAGATAGTGAAGATGACCAATGATTGGAAGAGAAGGAGGGCTGGGAGGTAAATCAATGCCATGTGTTTGTTTTCTGAAGATGAGATATAAACAAAGGAAAGTGAAAATACATAAGAGGATTGTTGCCATTATACAATATTGAAAGTCAACGGTGATCATCGCTGCCATTGTTCATGAAAGTGAAGAGACTCTTAAAATGGAATCCCCGCTTTGATTATCTCAGAAAGAAAAAAAAAAAGATGGAAGAGCTATTAGAGAAAGAGAAGCAACAAGTCTTTGTATCTGGTATTAAAGAGTACATAATACATATATAAAGCCGACGGTAAAACGAAGATGAAAAAGCACGTAAGTTACATGTGCACATAACTTAGTAAGTGGAAGTTTTGACATAAGAAAATTAATTAAGAAGACAATGGATTGACACTATTGTATATAACTGAACAGAGAGTAATTGAATAACGTAAGTAACTAAAGAAAGAATCTTCGTCCACCAAGGTGACAACTAATGTTCCACATGGATTTTAAGTTGTTCCGTGCATGGGAAGAAATTAAGCGTCATCTACTTGTGTCAGAATATATATAAACTTTCTTGTGAAATACGTCACATATTATATACGTCAGTTTCATAAATGCAAAAGCCAAATTTGTAGAAACACACTCAACGAACCCACATGTTTTCAAAATTGCAAAAATTGTTGCTGTCTTTGGACATAATGTAAAAAATTCAAAAGTTGGGACAAAATCGACAATATTGCCTTGTTTTTTTTACTTTACTAATTAAAATGTCCAAAACAATAAAACAAAAAGATCTTCTCATTTTTACTTGGAGAAGTGGAGAAAAGTCCCGTCTAACCTACGAGTAACGAACGCAGCCACTTGATTCCTTCATCCTCATTACGATGAGCGCTGCTGCAACGGCAAGGCAGACCTCGTGGATGGTTGCGACGGCGATCGCCGCCGCTGAGGCTCGCTGGAATTATCCTGTCCGTCTTTTCAACAAAGATGTCAAGCCTCGTCTCCGTGCCATCGCTGTCACCTCTCGTTCACCTTCCGCCGCATCAGCCTCCTCTTCTTCTTCTTCATCGGCTGATTTCGTCAGAGACAGTCCTCTGCCAAAATCAGAAGCTTCTATGGAGCGAGTTATGGGTCTTAGCTGCTTTGGTCCCACCACCATTAAATTCTAGATCTCTCACGGTACTAGTTTGCTGATCTTCACCAATTATTATTCTTTTCATTTTATTGTTGACATGTTTCTGGTCACTCTTGCTTGCATCGTTGTAACTCTAGCCACACATGTTGTACAAAAGATTGGTTTTTGAATAAATTTTACATTACATTCAAAATATATATATATATAGGTAGTTGAGTCATGAATAATTAGTATCAAAATAGTTTTTTTATAAAGGCTATTAGAAGAGTTTAATTGATGATTGGCCTTTTTCATCTATCAGGAAGTAATAATTTAGTTTTGTAATGATAACTGAGCGCACCATTTTATTAGAATAACTGAGTTTTTGTCTACTCTCACTTGCACTTTTACTATATATAGGAAAGGCAAGGATATAACAAACAACGTTTAATAGTTTTACACACTAAAAGGAGAGAACTACAACAATACCATACTTAGAAAACATATCTGATATAACATAGAGAAGATGAACAATTAATAGAGACCGTACTCTCCCTTTCTTACTTTCTAAGGATCTACTTGTTAGGTCTGCAAATTCACTAAAGTTTTCAATTCAAGGTTTGATAGTCGAGTAACAGGAGTCAACGTAAGAGGATGTGCCATGGTTTTGCTGAAACATTTATACCGGTCATCCATGTTGACCTTCTCTCCTATGATTCTCCACTCAAAGCACTGCACCATCATTCCTATTGTTGTTCCTAGTGCCATATAACTTAGTTTTGATGCAGGACATCCTCTCCTACCGCCACCAAAAGGAAGATACTTCATTGCTTGCTCATTTCTCTCCTCTTCTTGCCCTGATCTTGAAGATGTTAAAAACCTCTCTGGCTTGAACTCAAGAGGGTCTTCCCAGAAATCCGGATCTCTCATCACAGCATAGAGGTTAACTATAAGTTTCGTTTTCTCCGGTACAAAGAACCCTCCTATCTTACATCCTTGTTGAAACTCCCTTAGTATTTGAGGCACTGGCGGGTGCAATCTTAGCCTTCTTTGATGACAGCTTGCAAGTAAGGGAGGTTTGGTAGATCCGTTTCCTGAATCAATCTTGATTTCCCTACAACGGAATCGATTTCTTCTCTCAATCTCTCCATAATAATCGGGTTGTTAACGATCTCTGCCATTGTCCATTGTATTGTGATCACGTTGGTATCAATGCCTCCAAAAATAAGCTCCTGCAATTTAACACACATTGTTATTTTATTTTCTTGTAAAGAAAACTCGGAATGTTGATTTAAGTTTGTTTGGATTACTCAAAAAAAAAAAAAAAAAAAAAAGAGAGAAAAACATGTGATGAAAATATTTACCACGAAAAATGCCTTGATGTGGTTTTTAGTGATCTTGTAATCTGCGTTTTCGTCTTCGTAAACTGATAACAACAGGTCCATCATATCGTTATATCCATTCATGTTTGGTTTCTCTTTGTGTTCCAACATAATCTTCTCTAGCAGCTCGTTGAGTTTTTTTAAAACGGCCGTTATATCCTTCTTGAATAATGAAATTCCAAGCTTCTCTACCTGTCTAAACAACAAGATTTCAAAAAAAAACAAGATTTCCAAAATCATCTTCTTCTTCGTACCACTTGACTTGATAACCGAACCTTGGACACTATCCGCCTCGCCAATCTCCTCTGTAAACCTCCTTCCGAAGCTCATCCTGCAAATGATGTTGCCTATGAGCTCCATGGCTTCCTTCTTAATGTCAACGCTCTCTTTCTTCTTCGCCTTATTGACCAGGTTCATGTATGACCTCTCGAGCTCATCTGCGCGGATGCTTCGCGAATGCTCCAATGCTTGGGGTCCGAACATATTTGTAACAATGAGTTTCTTCATGAACTTAAAGTGTTCTCCATAAGGTGCGGTAAAAAATCCAGAAGCATCCGAGAAGAGGTTGCGAGATGAAATGTTCACGTCGTGGGTCATGAAAATTTGATAGGCTACAGGGGCTGAAGAGACAAGGATGGCAGGAAAGAAAAAGAACTGGAGATGGAGGAGAGGTCCATACTTGGAAGAGAGTGTATGGAAAGACTTGTAATGTAGGAAAGACTTGTGGTGTAGGAAAGATAAGAGAAGATAGTGAAGATGACCAATGATTGGAAGAGAAGGAGGGCTAGGAGGTAAATCAACGCCATTCATTTGTTTTCTGAAGAAGAGATATAAACAGAGGAAAGTGAAACAACATAAGAGGATTGTTGCCATTATACAATATTGAAAGTCAACACTGATCATTGGTGCCATTGTTCATGAAAGTGAAGAGACTGTTGAAATGGAATCCCCGCTTTGATTATATCAGAAAGAAAATATATATATATATGGAAGAGCTATTAGAGAAAGAGAAGCAAAGTCTTTGTATCTGGAATTAAAGAGTACATAATACATATATATAGCCGACGGTAAAACGATGATGAAAAAGCACGTAAGTAACATGTGCACATAACTTAGAAGTGTCAAGTGTTGACAGAAGCAACTTAATTAAGAAGACAATGGATTGACACTATTGAATAAAATAACTAAAGAAAGAATCTTTTTTTTTTTTGGCTAGGAATGTAAATATCATATAAAATGATAAGTTTAGAGCTAAGAAAGAATCTTCGTCCACCAATGGTGACAACTAATGTATTATGTACAAGTACGTAAGTTACAAGTAAAACGAGAAGTTTAGAGTGTAAAACGAAGATGAACAAGTACGTAAGTTACATGTGCACATAACTTAGAAGTGTCTAGTTTTGACAGAAGTGTTAATTATAAGAAGACAATGGATTGACACTATTGTATATAACTGAACATAGACTAATTGAATAACGTAACTAAAGAAAGAATCTTTGTCCACCAAGGTGACAACTAATGTTCCACATGGATTTTAAATTGTTCCGTGCATGGGAAGAAATTAAGCGTCATCTACCTGTGTCAGAATATTGTAGTTTAGAAAATTTCTTGTGAAATACGTCACAAATTTGTAGAAACACACTCAACGAACCCACATGTTTCAAAATTGCAAAAAGGTGTAAGTATTAGAGGGGTATACCAAAAACATTGACCACAAATTGGGGTCTACTTTTGCAAACACCCCAAAATTGTTGCTGTCTTTGGACATAATGTAAACATTTAATTTAAGATTTGTGAAAATTTTATACAAAGCGTTTTAGGGTGTTTGCAAAAGTAGACCCCAATTTGTGGTCAATGTTTTTGGTATACCCCTCTAATACTTACACCTCTTTCTCTCTATATCATCCTTACCCTCTCATCATATCTACCAAAATGCCATCAGCTTTTCTATTTTTCATTTTTTTTAGAAAATAATAATGTCCAAACCAACCTCATCTCCTACACTTATTCACGAAAATGCCATCAAATTCAATTCACCCAACAACCATTTTCAACCATATTCAAGCTTTTTAAAGCTTCTTCTTCCCTTTTACACCACCAAAATCTCACTATATTCTCTTCTAACCTTCTTCTCTTACTTATTCTCTCCAATTTCATCACAAAAACTCTATAATCCATCTCTCAAAAATATAAGTTCTTGTATGATGCCATTTGTGGTCACCAAGCTCACGGCAACAGCTGGGCTTCTCTGCTGAAGGTTTAAATCGAACCAATCCGCCGTCGACGCAACCAAACAGCTCATCAAGGTGATTTTCCGTTCGTTTTTCGTGAATTTCAGATCTCCTGCGCGATGTAGACTTCACTAAGAAGTCAACATGTCAACGTGGGGTACACTAACTGCAAACGACTTTTTAAAATTTCGGAGAAGTAGACTTCTTGGAGAAGTCTACATTAATCCTTTGACAACAAAAAAAGGTGGACCCCATGTGTAGACTTCACAAAGAAGTCTATTCTTCGGGAGGGGTATACTTTTGCAATTGACCAGACGACGACTTTCGGTTCTGAAGTCTACACATGAAGTCTACGCGACAGGGGTATACTTTTGCAATTGACCAAATCACGACTTTTTGATGTAGACTTCTTTTTTAGACTGTAGACTTCCCCGCGAAGTCTACTTTGACTCGTAGACTTCTTTTTGAAGTCTACTTTCGGAGTAGACTTCATGGAGAAGTCTACTTCTGCAAAAAGAAGTCAACTGGTCAACGAATGAATAGTAACTCGGGGTACACCAACTGCAAACGTTGTTTTACGAAGTCTACTTTTGGTAGTAGACTTCAATATGACGTCTACTTTTCGTAGTTGACTTCTTGTTGAAGTCTACTTGTCATTGTTGACTTCAATATGAAGTCTACTTTTATAAAAGAAGTCTACTTCAAAAAGTCGTGATTTGGTCAATTGCAAAAGTATACCCCTCGAATTGTTGACTTCCTTTGTAGACTTCACAAAATATTCTTGCAGTTGGTGTACCCCTAAAGTTGACTTCCTGGTGAAGTCTACAAGTAGATTTCTACATGACGTCTACTTTGTTACTGTATTGTAAATTAGGTGTTTGTGCAATATGAATAACTAATTTATAAGATTTTCTTCGACAATAAGTTGTTTTTATCTGTCTATTTGCCTGTGTAACAATTTGGCTTGCTTAATTAGTATATTTTGAAGGGAATCAAATTTTTAGTTTTTAGTGGAGTTTAGGTGAAATGTAGTAGACTTCACGACGAAGTCTACTTTGTTCTTGTTTTTGTTGGACACTAGGTGATAATGTATTAGACTTCACTGTGATATCTACTTACTCGTTTTGATTAATATGTTGTGTCTTTGTATTTTTTTACAGAAAATGATGTACGTAGCTGCTGTTTGTGAAAAATGAGAGAGAAAAAACAATGGATTATAGATTTTTAAGGTGGATTAGGACAAAGGAGGAAGAATGTTCTTATTGAGAGATGGTTATATCCATATGTAAGTTACTCTTATATTGTTGTTTATGTCTACTGATGAGTGAAGTTTGTTTGTGGTTTGCTAAAAAAGCCCTAATTTCTAAGTAAAATTTGTTAGGTTTGTTTATAGTTGAGCATAAAAAGTACTTAAGAAGTTTTCGTACTTAAACACATAATACTTGTTATATGGAGACATGCAGATTTCGATCCTGAAAACTTAAAAAAATGTTATTTTAGGAGCATAAACATAAACATTATTGAATCTCTGCAATTTGTGAGCTATACATATTAGCATAACTTTCTAATCTCTTATCAATGTATAAAACAGAGAAGAAGTTTGGTTCTGAGTACAATACAATTTTATAATAAATCAGGTACCGATACAATCTAAATGTAATAGTAATGGTATTTAAGATCATAAGAACAATCATTTTCTTCATCTAAAATCCTAATCTTCTTTCGCATTATCATCACGCAAATGAGCTTTCACTCTCTCTCCTTGCCGTCTTATCCATTTGATAGGAGTATCTTGTAGCTGAAAGAAGAAATTGTGATCAAATTAGTTATTCGAAGCTATCCGAATTAGTTCAGTCCCATCATCACTCAAAAATTTACTCTCTAAGCATAATGTTTCCTGTCAAGAAGCAAATCTAATTTTTAACAGTCAAAAACTGAGAGAGGGAGAGACAACGACCAAGCAATATTATTAACACAAGGCGTAAAACACATATGGTTCCTCACATTTCAAATTTAACCTAAACCACAAATCAATTAACCAAGAGTGTGATGTTAGGAAGATATTAGCAAAGCTTACTCATATTAACATCAGAGAATAGAGTTCACAAACTTAGACCATACTAACATTTTAAAGAAAACTAAAAATATTGCAAGCAAAGCATATGCGAAAGATCAATAATATCTCAAAAGCTAATCATTTTTTATGTGTTTAAATGCTTGCGGTGTGATTCAAAGATCAGGTTTTTTCAAAATGCATGATTAATCTAATTCAAAAAACATGTTCTCACACAAACAACTCATAATCTTTACAGCTACATATGTAAAAACATAACTTGGATTCAAACATGCATGCTTGCGGTTACAAGTTTAATTATGTATTAGCAGGAGACCTTAAATCTCATCAAACCACAGTAGGGAATAGCAAGAGCTCACCAGCTATAAAGGCGTCTGTGGAGGTTGATGGTATGATCTCTTGTCACCACTTCTTCTTTCCTTCCCTTTGTCTCAGACATCTTCTCTTTGTAAACCTGAAAAGACAGAAAAAGATCCAAACATGAAATAGGTTTGTAAACCACAATCAGACACTCAAGAAATCTTAACACAATGAAAAGACACACATAAACAATCCGATTTCGCAGAAATACATCTTAATAGTGAATATAGTGAAAACATATAACTTGCGGACAAACAGATTTATGAGCAATGCAGATAAAAATTGAATATATAAAAGCAAGTGAAATCTCAAAACAACAAAGGCAGAATCTCAAACATATACATGAAAGAGCACAATCTCTATGAACACAACAAATGTAATCGAAAAGATCGAAGGGATCTCTGTGAATTGGAAGAGCACATCAATTAGAGAACTAAAACCAATCAATTGTTGCAAAAATCAATTCGAAAAGAGTAAAGTTCATCCAAAGGAAGAGAATCATAAAGAAACCAAATCGAACAAGATAAATAACGAGAATCGTAAAAAAAAAAACGAAACCTAAACATCTAATATGAGGTTTTAAGAAAGGAAGGAAGATTTACTTCTCTGTTTTTCTCTTCAAGCTGAAACTTATGCTCAGAGATTTCCAGATCTCAGTTGTTGTTCAGGCAATTTTGATGGAGAAAGAGATGAAGAATGGAGAGGCAGCGGAGGCTAACAGCTCTGAAATGACGCCGTCGGAGGAAGAGGAGCTACACCTGCAAACCAAGAACAGAAATGATTAAGGCCGAAGGAAGGATGTGCGACTAAGGCTTGAGAAGACCTATCTATCTTCGTTAGAGGCGTGAGAGGTCAAGAGAGAGATAAAGAGTGAGAGGGAGAGAGAAGAATTTACATATATCGAAGGAGATGGTCGGAATCGGCGAATTGAACAGATCTAGTTAAGATCTAACATGGGGAGAAGAAGGAGGCCTTACCAGTGACGACGGGTCAGAGATCCGCGAACGCGACGACGGCGGCAAGAGAGCCAGCGCCACAAGGAGCTGTCGTCAGAGAGAGCTCAGATCTGGGTCGTAGCCACATGGACGGGTCAGATCCGGCGGTCATGAGACGGAAGCACCGGAGGCGGAGGCTCAAGAGAGAAAGAGAGTTAACGGTGGAGAGAGACATCAAGAGTCGCAGTTTGAGAAAGAGGGAGAGAGAAGAGTAGCAGCGCCGTTTGAGAAGTTTGAGAGGGAGGCGAGATTTTGTTTTTAGAAATTAGGGTTACATGGAAAAAAATTATTTATATAGGTTGGTATAATTTCCGGTTTAATCAATCATTTTTCGGTTAGGTTAAAAAAATTGGGTTAAACAGTTTCCAAACAAAATCCCGCCTAAATAATTTCGATTCCCGCTCAGTTTTCTTTGGATTTTAGACTTCTTCGAGAAATCTACAGTGGAAGTCTACCAAGAAGTCAACTATACCCTAAACCCTAAATTGAATGTTTTACACAAAAAAACTTATGGAATAAAATAGTTTTCGTTGAATATACACAAATTACATTATAATCAACACATATATGAATCTTAAATGATTATACAACGAATAAACTTGGTTTTCAAAAAATATTTGGCTAAACCCTAACAACTTATACTACCAAGCCCTATACTTCAAACCTAAACTCTATCCTTGATGGACCAAATACTCATGAAACTTATAAACTTATACATTTTCATGAGTTTGTATTTTCTATATATGAACATTGTATTTACTTAGATTACTAATAAAAATTTGTTAGCAAAATATTTTTTTATAAATTTTAAAATTAAAATTTAAGATTTCGTAAGAAAGTAGACTTCATGAGTAGACTTCTCTCCAAATTTATAGGTTTGTGGCATGCTTTGCCTTTGGTGTATTTAGACTAATACATTTTCAAGCAAAAATATTTTTAAGAGATGCTAAATAACAAGGTCTTTTTTATGTATAATTTCTTTGGTTTAAATATTTTTCTTTAATTTTATAATTTAAATTTAAGATCTTAAGGCGTTGTAGACTTCGTTTTGAAATCTACTTTAAGTTGACGTCTTCCGTAAACTTCAACACCATGGGTAAATTGGTAATTGCGTCGCTCGTTTATTGTTTGTTCATAGAAGATAAAATGGTCATTAACCACCCCTTGGGGTATACCAATTGTCAAACATGTCATATGAGATACTGTTACCTAAAAAAACAATGTTTGGGTATACCAATGGTAATTCCCCCAATCGTTTTTAGATATCTCATATGACCCTAATAGGTAGCCTTCACCTAAACACTATCAATGACGTATCAAGTGCGTGTTTTCTCATACCCCATACGAAAATAAGTTTATTGAGAGACTTGTAACTAAAGACTAGTTTCACTAGTTTTGAGGAAACAAAAAATGCCAAAAATCAGACAGGAAATGGAACCAAAAAACTTTTTAAAAATATTTTCAATGAGTTACCCAAGAAAACATAAAGATTTTTTCGTTGGTTAAATAAGAATTTCATATATGCAGTTTTACATCCTCTAACGCGTCTTGAAACCCAAAACACTTTAACCTGACCAATAAATCAGTCTTTACTTACCCAAAAGCGTTTTCCTAGAAAAGATCCCTTGATGAGAGACAAACATCGAACCTAAAAGGATATTCAGTTTTTTTGCAGGTTTGGGATTAAGAGTATGGACTAGACCTATGAATGTCATGGAGAGTATAGACTATAGTGAGACAATAGCAACCATGCAATCAAATTTCCCCAAACGAGATAAAAAAGAAAAATAATTACGTTTTCAAAGATTTCAAAATTTGGGACAAAATCGAAAATATTGGCTTGAAACAGTGTTAACTTAACTAAAATATCCAAAACAATAAAAAAAAAAAGGTATTCTCATTTTACTTGGAGAAGTGAAGAAACTCTCGTCTGCAAAACCTACGACTATCGAACGTATCCACTTGTTTCCTTCACATCATACCGATGAGCGCTGCTGCAACGGCAAGGCAGACCTCGTGGATGGTTGCGACGGCCATCGCCGCCGTTGAGACTCGCTGGAATTATCCTGTCCGTCTTTTCAACAAAGACGTAAAGCCTCGTCTCCGTGACAAACTGTTGTGTTTTTGAAGTAGCAGCCGTAAGAGTACGTAAAGAACATTTTAATAGTTTTACACACTAAAAACAAAGAATTACAACAGTACCAAACTAAAAGTAGAAAAAAAATCTGATATTACATAGAGAAGATGAACAGTTAATAGAGACTGTACCCTCCCTTTCCCACTTTCTAAGGATCTACCAAACCATTATTATGTCTGCAAATTCACTGAAGTTTTCAATTCAAGGTTTGATAGTCGAGTAACAGGAGTCAACGTAAGAGGATGACCCATGGTTTTGATGAGACATCTATACCTTTCATCCATGTTGACCTTCTCTCCTATGATTCTCCACTCAAAGCACTGCACCATCATTCCTATTGTTGTTCCTAGGACCATATAACTTAGTTTTGATGCAGGACATCCTCTCCTACCGCCACTAAAAGGAAGATACTTCATTGCTTGCTCATTTCTCTCCTCTTCTTGCCCTGATCTTGAAGAAGTTAGAAACCTCTCTGGCTTGAACTCAAGAGGGTCCTCCCAGAAATCTGGATCTCTCATCACAGCATAGAGGTTAATTAAAAGTCTCGTTTTCTCCGGTACGAAGAACCCTCCTATCTTACATCCTTGTTGAAACTCCCTTAGTATGAGAGGCACTGGCGGGTGCAATCTTAGTACTTCTTTGATGACAGCTTGCAAGTAAGGGAGGTTTGGTAGATCTGTTTCTTGAATCAATCTTGATTTCCCTACAATGGAATCAATTTCTTCTCTCAGTCTCTCGATAATAATCGGTTTGTGAGTGATCTCGGCCATTGTCCATTGTATTGTGTTCACGGTGGTATCAATGCCTCCATAAATAAGCTCCTGCAGTTGAACAGACGTAGTTATTTTATTTTCTTCTAAAGAAAACTCGGAATATCGATTACTCCAAAAAGGAAAAAAATGTGATGAAACATTTACAATGAAAAATGCGTTGATGTGGTTTTTAGTGATCTTGTAATCTGCGTTTTCGTCTTCATAAACTGCCAACAACACGTCCATCATATCCGTATATCCATCCATGTTTGGTTTCTCTTTGTGTTCCAATAGAATCTTCTCTAGCAGCTCGTTGAGTTTTTTGAAAACGCCCGTTATGTCCTTCGTGAATATTGAAATTCCAAGCTTCTCTAGCTGTCTGAACAACATCATTTCCAAAATCTTCTTCTTCTTCGTACCATTTAACTTGATAACCAAACCTTGAACACTATCCGCCTCACCTATCTCCTCTGCAAACCTCCTTCCGAAGCTCATTCTGCAAACGATGTTCCCTACGAGCTCCAAGGCTCCCTTCTTAATGTTGACGCTCTCCTTCTTCTTTGCCTTATCGACCAGGTTCCTGTATGACCTCTCGAGCTCATCTGCGCGGATGCTTCGGGACTGCTCTAATGCTTGGGGTCCGAACATATTTGTAACAATGAGTTTCTTCATGAACTTAAAGTATTCTCCATAAGGTGCGGTAAAAAATCCAGAAGTATCCAAGAAGAGGCTGCGAGATGAAATGTTCACGTCTTGGGTCGTGAAGATCTCGTAGGCTACAGGGGCTGAAGAGACAAGGATGGCAGGAAAGAAAAAGAATTGGAGATGGAGGAGAGGTCCATACTTGGAAGAGAGTGTATGGAGAGACTTGTGGAGTAGGAAAGACTTGTGGTTTAGGAAAGCTAAGAGAAGATAGTGAAGATGACCAATGATTGGAAGAGAAGGAGGGCTGGGAGGTAAATCAATGCCATGTGTTTGTTTTCTGAAGAAGAGATATAAACAGAGGAAAGTGAAAACACATAAGAGGATTGTTGCCATTATACAATATTGAAAGTCACCGGTGATCATTGCTGCCATTGTTCATGAAAGTGAAGAGACTGTAAAACAAAAAGAAAAGATGGAAGAGCTATTAGAGAAAGGGAAGCAACGAGTCTTTGTACTTAGAATTGAAGAGTAAATAATACTTATATAAATGGGAGGGTAAAACGAAGATGAAAAATTACGTAAGTTACATGTGCACATAACTTAGAAGTGTCAAGTGTTGACAGAAGAAACTTAATTAAGAAGACAATGTATTGACACTGTTGTGTATAACATGAACATAGACTAAATTGAATAACTAAAGAAAGAATCTTCGTCCACCAAGGTGACAACTAATGTTCCACATGGATTTTAAGATGTTCCGTGCATGGGACGAAATTCGTCATCCACTTGTGTCAGAGTATTGTAGTTTAGAAAGTTTCTTGTGAAATACGTAACATATTATATTGATGGATAATGGATATGTCAGTTTCATAAATACAAGTCAAATTTGTAGAAACACTCAACGAACCCACATGTTTCAAAATCGAAAAAAATTGTTGCTGTCATTGGATAAACGTAAACATTTAATTTAAGATTTGTGAAAATTTCATATAAAGCGTTTTTAGATCTATCACATACCCCTAATGTGTAGCCTTTACCTTAACACTATTAATGATTTATCAAGTGTGTGTTGTCTCATACCCCAAAAAGAAAATAAGTTTATTGAAAGACTTGTAACTAAAGACGAGTTTCCCTAGTTTTCAGGAAATAAAACATGCCAAAAATCAGACAGGAAATGGAACCAAAAAAGTTATTAAAAAAAAAATAGTTTCAATGAGTTACCCACAAGAAAACATGATGATTGCTTTGTTGGTTAAATAAGAATTTCATATATGCCGGTTGCATAATGTTTTGCATCCTCTAAACGCGTCTTGAAACCCGAAACACTTTAACCTGACCAAAATAAATCAGTATTTACTTACACAAAGCGTTTTCTTAGAAAAGATCCCTTGATGAGAGACAAACATCAAATCTAAATGAATTCTCAGAGTTAGCATAAGGATATTCAGCCTTTTTTCCAGGTTTGGGATTAAGAGTATGGATTAGACCTGTGAAAGTCATGGAGATTATAGACTATAGTGAGACAATAGCAACTACGCAATCAAATTTCCCAAACGAGATAAAATTAAATAAAAATATTTACGCTTGCAAACATTTCAAAATTTGGGACAAAATTGAAAATATTGTTGAAACAGTGTTAACTTTACTAAAATGTCCAAAACAGTAAAACAAAAATTTATTCTCATTTTACTTGGAGAAGTGGAGAAACTTCCGTCTGCAAAACCTACGACTAACGAACGTAGCCACTTGTTTCCTTCATCATCATACCGATGATCGAGCGCTGCTGCAACCACAAGGCAGACCTCGTGGATGGCTGTGACGGCAACGCCGCCGTTGAGGCTCGCTGGAATTATCCTGTCCCTCTTTTTTCAACAAAGATGTCAAGCTTCGTCTCCGTAATAAATTGAAATAACAAAAAAAAAAAAGACAAGGATATTGTGTTTTTGAACTAGCAGCCCATAGCAGTACGTAAACAACGTTTAATAGTTTTACACACTAAAAAAAGAGAATTACAACAATACCATACTTAAACTAGAAAACATAGCTGATATTACATAGAGAAGATGAACAATTAATAGAGACCGTACTCTCCCTTCACTTTCTAAGGATCTACCAAACCATTGTTATGTCTGCAAATTCACTGGAGTTTTCAGTTCAAGGTTTGATAGTCGAGTAACAGGAGTCAACGTAAGAGAATGAGCCATGGCTTTGTTGAGACCTTTATACTGGTCATCCATGTTGACCTTCTCTCCTATGATTTTCCACTCAAAGCACTGCACCATCATACCTATTGTTGTTCCTAGTACCATATAACTTAGTTTTGATGCAGGACATCCTCTCCTACCGCCACTAAACGGAAGAAACTTCATTGCCTTCTCATTTCTGTTCTCTTCTTGCCCTGATCTTGAAGAAGTTAAAAACCTCTCTGGCTTAAACTCAAGAGGGTCTTCCTAGAAATTTGGATCTCTCATCACAGCATAGAGGTTAACTACAAGTTTCGTTTTCTCCGGTACGAAGAACCCTCCTATCTTACATCCTTGTTGAAACTCCCTTAGTATGAGAGGCACTGGCGAGTTCAATCTTAGAACTTCTTTGATGACATCTTGCAAGTAAGGCAGGTTTGGTAGATCTGTTTCTTGAATCAATCTTGATTTCCCTACGACGGAATCAATTTCTTCTCTCAATCTCTCCAAAATAATCGGGTTGCCAATGATCTCGGCCATTGTCCATTGTAGTGTGTTCACGTTGGTATCAATGCCTCCAAAAATAAGCTCCTGCAATTGAACACACGTCGTTATTTTATTTTCTTGTAAGAAAACTTGGAATATTGTTTTAAGTTTGTTTGGATTACTCAAAAAAAAAAAAAAAAAAAAAACATGGGATGAAACATTTACCACGAAAAATGCGTTGATGTGGTTTTTGGTGATCTTGTATTCTGCGTTTTCGTCTTCATAAACTGCCAACAACACGTCCATCATATCCGTATATCCATTCATGTTCGGTTTCTCTTTGTGTTTCAATAGAATCTTCTCTAGCAGCTCGTCTAGTTTTTTGAAAACGCCCGTTATATCCTTCTTGAATCTTGAAATTCTAAGCTTCTCTAGCTGTCTGAACAACAAGATTTCCAAAACCCTCTTCTTCTTCGAACCACTTGACTTGATAACCAAACCTTGAACACTATCTGCCTCACCAATCTTCTCTGTAAACCTTCTTCCGAAGCTCATCCTGCAAATGATATTCCCTATGAGCTCCATGGCTTCCTTCTTAATGTCCACGCTCTCTTTCTTATTCGCCTTATCGACCAAGTTCCAGTATAACCTCTCAAGCTCATCTGCGTGGATGCTTCGCGAATGCTCTAATGCTTGGGGTCCGAACATATTTGTAACAATGAGTTTCTTCATGAACTTATAGTATTCTCCATAAGGTGCCATAACGAATCCAGAAGTATCGAAGAGGAGGTACCCTTCCTTCGTAGGGATGTTGCGAGATGAAACGTTCACGTCGTGGGTCATGAAGATTTGATAGGCTTCAGGGGCAGAAGAGACAAGAATGACAGGAAAGAAATATAAATTGAGATGGAGGAGAGGTCCATACTTGGAAGAGAGTGTATGTAAACACGTGTGGAGTTGGAAAGTCTTGTGGTGTATGAAAGAGAAGAGAAGATAGTGAAGATGACCGATGATTGGAAGAGAAGGAGGGCTAGGAGGTAAATCAACGCCATTCATTTGTTTTCTAAAGAAGAGATATAAACAGAGGAAAGTCAAAACACATAAGAGGATTGTTGCCATTATACAATATTGAAAGTCAACAGTGATCATTGCTGCCATTGTTCATGAAAGTGAAGAGAGTGTTGGAATGGAATCAGAAAGAAAACAATAAAAAATATAGAAGAGCTATTAGAGAAAGAGAAGCAACAAGTCTTTGTATCTGGAATTAAAGAGTACATAATACATACTGTATATAAAGCCGACGGTAAAACGAAGATGAAAAAGCACGTAAGCTACATGTGCACATATCTTAGAAGTGTCAAGTTTTGACAGAATAAACTTAATTAAGAAGACAATGGATTGACACTATTGTATATAACTCAACAGCGATTAATTGAATAACGTAACTAAAGAAAGAATCTTCGTCCACCAAGGTGACAACTAATGTTCCACATGGATTTTAAGTTGTTCCGTGCATGGGACGAAATGAAGTGTCATTTACTTGTAGTATAAAAAATTTCTTGTGAAATACGTCATATACTAATTGATGGATATGTCAGTTTCATAAATACAAAAGTCAAATTTGTAGAAGACCCACATGTTTCAAAACTGCAAAAGTTGTTGCTGTCTTTGGACATAATGTAAACATTTAATTTAAGATTTGTGAAAATTTTATACAAAGCGTTTTTAGATCTCTCACATTACCCTAATATGTAGCCTTTACCTTGACACTATCAATGACTTATCAAGTATGTGTTGTCTCATACGGTCATACCACCATACGAAAATAAGTTTATTAAAAGACTTGTAACTAAAGACGATCGAGTTCACCCAGTTTTCAGGAAATAAAATGCCAAAAATCAGACGGGAAATGGAACCAAAAAAGTTATAGAAAATAGTTTCAATGAGTTACCCAAGAAAATTAAAAAAGAAAAATAATTACGTTTGCAAACATTTCAAAATTTGGGACAACATCGAAAATATTGGCTTGAAACAGTGTTAACTTAACTAAAATGTCCAAAACAATAAAACAACAAAAATATTCTCATTTTACTTGGAGAAGTGGCTTGAAAACCTACGACTTACGAACGCAGCCACTTGTTTTTCCTTCACATCACACCGATGAGCGCTGCTGCAACCGCAAGGCAGAACTCGTGGATGGTTGCGAATCGCAGCCGTTGAGGCTCGCTGGAATAATCCGGTCAGTCTTTTCAACAAAGATGTGAAGCCTCGTCTAGTCGTCTCCGTAATAAAATAACAACAAAAAGACAATGATATGAAAAAGTGTTGTGTTTTTGAACTAGCAGCCAGTAACAGTACGTAAAAAACGTTTAATAATTTTACACACTTAAAAAGAGAATTACAACAAAACCATGCTAAAACTAGAAAACATATCTGATGCAGCATATAGAAGATGAACAACTAATAGAAACCGTACTCTCCCTTTTTCTTTTTTTGAGGATCTAGCAAACCATTGTTATGTCAGTATATTCACTGAAGTAATCAAGTCAAGGTTGGATACTCGAGAAACAGGAGTCAACGTAAGAGGATGAGCCATGGTTTTGTTGAATCCTTTATAGGAGTCATCCATGTTGACCTTCTCTCCTTGGATTCTCCACTCAAAGCACTGCACCATCATACCTATTGCTGTTCCTAATATCATATAACTTAGTTTTGATGCAGGACATCCTCTCCTTCCACCGCTAAAAGGAAGATACTTCATTGCTTGCTCATTTCTCACATCTTCTTGCCCTGATCTTGAAGAAGTTAGAAACCTCTCTGGCTTGAACTCAAGAGGGTCTTCCCAGAAGTTTGGATCTCTCATTACAGCATAAAGGTTAATTATAAGTTTAGTTTTCTCCGGTACGAAAAACCCTCCTATCTTACATCCTTGTTGAATTTCCCTTAGTACGAGAGGGGCTGGAGGGTGTAATCTTAGTGCTTCCTTGATGACAGCTTGCAAGGAAGGGAGGTTTGGTAGATCCGTTTCTTGAATCAATCTTGATTTCCCTACAATGGAATCAATTTCTTCTCTCAGTCTCTCCATGATAATCGGTTTGTCAATGATCTCGGCCATTGTCCATTGTATTGTGTTCACGTTGGTATCAAGGCCTCCAAAAATAAGCTCCTGCAATTGAACACACGTTGTTATTTTATTTTCTTATAAATAAAACTCGGAATATTGACTTAAGTTTGTTTGGATTATTAAAAAAATAATAATTATAATAATGATGTAATGAAACTTTTACCACGAAAAACGCCTTGATGTGGTTCATAGTGATCTTGTAATCTGCGTTTTCGTCTTCATAAACTGCCAACAACACGTCCATCATATCCGTGTCTCCATTCATGTTAGGTTTCTCTTTGTGTTCCAATAGAATCTTCTCTAGCAGCTCGTCGAATTTTTTGTAAACACCTGGTACACCCTTTTTGAAAAATGAAATTCCAAGCTTATCTAGCTGTCTGAACAACAAGATTTCCAAAACCATCTTCTTCTTGGAACCACTTGACTTGGCAAACAAACCTTGGAAACTCTCTGTCTCGCCGTGATCCTTTGTAAAACTCTTTCCGAAGCTCATCTTGCAAATGATATTTCCTATGAGCTTCATCGCTTCCTTCTTAATCTCAACGCTCTCTTTCTTCTTCGCCTTATCGACCAGGTTCTTGTATAACCTCTTAAGCTCATCTGCGCGGATGCTTCGTGAATGCTCTAATGCTTGGGGTCCAAACAGATTTGTAACAGTGAGTTTCTTCATGAACTTAAAGTATTCTCCGTAAGGTGCGGTAACAAATCCAGAAGTATCGAAAAGGAGGTACCCTTCCTTCGTAGGGAGGTTTCGAGATGAAATGTTCACGTCGTGGGTCGTGAAGATCTCGTAGGCTAGAGGGACTGAAGAGACTAGGATGGCAGGAAAGAAAAAGAATTGGAGATGGAGGAGAGGTCCATACTTGGAAGAGAGTGTATGGAAAGACTTGTGGAGTTGGAAAGACTTGTGGTGTAAGAAAAAGAAGAGAAGATGGTGGAGATGACCGATGATTGGAAGAGAAGGAGGGCTAGGAGGTAAATCAACGCCATTCATTTGTTTTCTAAAGAAGAGATATAAACAGAGGAAAGTCAAAACACATAAGAGGATTGTTGCCATTATACAATATTGAAAGTCAACAGTGATCATTGCTGCCATTGTTCATGAAAGTGAAGAGACTCTTGGAATGGAATCAGAAAGAAAAAAGAAGATGGAAGAGCTATTCGAGAAAGAGAAGCAACAAGTCTTTTTATCTGGAGTTAAAGGGTACATAATACATATATAAAGCCAAGGGTAAAACGAAGATGCACAAGTACGTAAGTTACATGTGAACATAACTTAGAAGTGTCAAGTCTTGACAGAAGACACTTAATTAAGAAGACAATGGATTGACAATATTGTAATATTGTATATAACTGAACAGAGACTAATTGAATAGCGTAACTAAAGAAAGAATCTTCGTCCACCAAGGTGACAACTAATGTTCCACATGGATTTTCAGTTGTTCCGTGCATGGGACGAAATGAAGCGTCATTTACTTGTAGTATAGAAAAATTCTTGTGAAAGACGTCATATACTAATCTTGTGATATGTCAGTTTCATAAATACAAAAGTCAAATTTGTAGAAACACATGTTTACAACTCCACATGTCAATACGTCAACGACCCACATGTTTCAAAACTGCAAAAATTGTTGCTGTCTTTGGACAAAACGTAAACATTTAATTTAAGATTTGTGAAAATTTTTATACAAAGCGTTTTTAGATCTCTCAGATAACCCTAATATGTAGCCTTTACTTTGACACTATCAATGACTTATCAAGTATGTGTTGTCGCATACTCCCATACGAAAATAAGTTTATTAAGAGACTGGTAAGTTGTAACTAAAGACTAGTTACCCCAGTTTTCAGGAAATAAAAAATGCCAAAAAACAGACAGGAAATGGAACCAAAAAAGTTTTTAAAATAATAGTTTGAGTGAGTTACCCAAGAAGACATGATGAGTGCTTTGTTGGTTAATTAAGAATTTCGTATATGCCGTTTTGCATAATGTTTTGCATCCTCTAACACGTCTTGAAACCCAAAACACTTTAACCTGAACAATAAATCAATCTTTACTTACCCAAAAGCGTTTTCTTAGAAAAGATCCCTTGATGAGAAACAAACATCAAACCTAAATGAATTTTCAAAGTTAGCCTAAGGATATTCAGTTTTTTTACAGGTTTGGGATTAAGAGTATGGACTAGACCTCCTAGCAAAAAAAAAGAGTATGGACTAGACCTGTGAATGTCATGGAGACTATGGACTATATATAGTGAGACAATATCTACTACACAATCAAATTTCCCCAATGGAGATAAAAAAAAAAAAAAAAATTACGTTTGCAAATATTTCAAAATTTGGGAAAAAATCGAAAATTTTGGCTTGAAGCACTGTTAACATTACTAAAATGTCCAAAACAATAAAACAAAAATATTCTCATTTTACTTGGAGAAGTGGAGAAACTCCCGTCTGCAAAACCTACGACTAACGAAAGCAGCACTTGTTTCCTTCATCGTCATACCGATGAGCGCTGCTGCAACCGCAAGGCAGACCTCGTGGATGGTTGCGACGGCGATCGCCGCCGTTGAGGCTCGCTGGAATTATCCTGTCCGTGTTTTCAACAAAGATGTCAAGCCTCGTCTCCGTGCCATCGCTGTCACCTCTCGCTCACCTTCCGCCGCATCAGCTTCCTCTTCTTCTTCTTCATCGGCTGATTTCGTCAGAGACAGTCCTTTGCCCAAATCAGAAGCTTCTATGGAGAGAGTTATGGGTCTTAGCTGCTTTGGTCCCACCACCGTTAGATTCTAGATCTCTCAAGGTACTACTAGTTTGTTGATTCTCACCGATTATGATTCTTTTCATTTCATCTTTGTCTTGTTTTCTGGTCAATCTTGCAGTGTTGGTGTCACCACAATTTCTCTTGAAATTCTAAGAAATTATGAATGATTCTTTAGGTTCTATAGGTAGTTGAGTCATGAATTAGTATCGAAATAGTTCTTTTAAATAAAAGGCTATTAGAAGAGTTTGATCTTGATAATTGACCTCTTTTACCTATTAGAAAGTGTGATATTTGAGTTTTGTATTGATAATAGAGTGTGCCCCATTATATTAGAGTAGGCGAGTTCTTAGGCTATTTGATAGCAATTAACAATTGAAATGTGAACATTAGGCTTTGTGATTAGAAAGTTTAAAACCATTTAAAAGGTAAAAGTATATTACAGTCCAGTACCATATAATTACATCTCACTGATAAGCTTTTTACACATTTACAAAAGAATGAATAAATTAATAGACATAATACTGAAAGAGTTTTTTTTTCATTGGTTTGCGTCCAAATTAGATGATGAAGAGATTAGTGGCGTGAAGGCGACTCAGAGTTTGCTTCTTTTCCTTCATCTTGTTGTTGCTTTTTTTCAGCATTTGCCACAATTTTGTCCACTAAAGGCTCTATCATTGCCTCCAAGTCATCCAAATCTTGCGTGACTTTTTCCACCTGTAGTTTTGTATGTTAATTATGATATTCCAAATCACAATCAAAAGTCAAGCTATCTTAATTATTTTGGTTCCAAAACGTTCCCTCAAAACCATATATGCAAAATATTAACTTTTTGGAATACTTTGTTGGTGTTAGTTTACATTTTAGTTATCCTTATATCAGTTTTAAGAAAGTACCTTGTGAAGAAAATCTTTGGTTATATGTGCTTCATGAGCAGCAACCTCCGAAATGTGTTCCAGAACCAAAGCCACTTGTTTAAGCTTACTCTTCTCAGGCAGTTTCTCTGCCATCTCTTCAGCCATTTCGTCAGTCGCTGTCGCCACTTTCTCCACCATTTCTGCTACAGCTTCTACCCCTTCTACAGCCAACTCCGCCTCTCCTGCATCACATAATCCCAATTTATAAAAAAAAATGGCAAACACAATTCATTCATTAGAAGATGTTGAGATGATAGTATTTTCATTACCTTCGATCCGTTTCAGTTTCTGAATCCTTTCATTGTTCCAAAAGGATAACATTAAGGAAATCACAGAACCTATGACCCATCTTCCCCTGCCGGCAGTTAGTTTCCATGTTAGTCCCATTTAAAGTTACGGTTTAATCGATTGGATCAAATTGTCTAATGTGGTGTGTAGACATCTTATCATAATTAAACTACACTTTGTCATAGAAAAAAAAAGTCTCCGTCTAGTTCTTGTTTGGTAATAAAAGAAAAGAGAGGAGTACCAAGAGGGCCAACTAAACCATGAGTTTGGAGGAGAAGGTTGCATCTTGGAGTTGTTGGAACCATTGCAAAAGTATTTCCCAGCATTAACCGGATTTGATAACTTGATACCTTGTGGACTCATTTGTTTACTATAGTCTCTACTAAATCGCATAATCGTAGGACATGGATTCATAGATGTTTTCCTCTCAACCTTGTTGTATATTTGTAAAACTTCCACAAGCCCTTGCCTATACACGGCATAACCTCCGCTCTGCATTCTCCGGCTTAGATACATGTCGAGTAATCCGTTTTCTGTCAAGATGCTGAAAAATTCATAGGCACACCACCGCACAAGCTATAAATATATGTAGGCAATAATGTTTTCATTTTTTTGTGTGTGATATTGGTGAAGCGTATGCTTACGGTGCTAGCTTTTACGTGTAGTAACGCTTGAGAAAGAAGTTGAACACGCCAAGAAATGAAGTTGGTTAGTTTTCTTAAGAAAGAATTACATATTCTTATTCATTTGTTTTATACTTTTATTTTGCTTGTTTTTGGTTCTCAAATGTTTGATTCGTAATTTTAACCATTAACCAAAATAAAATAAGCCACTTTTTTTATATTTTTTCTTTGACATAAATTTTAGTAAAATATTTTTGCAAAGTCAACAATTCTTCTTACGATTATGCTTTGCAATCATTTTGGTTTAGGAAGAAGTTGACGTTTTTCTTTCTTACGATTTACCCAATTTAGAATTAAATTGTCAAATAAACAAAGTTCATTTCAAAACTGTCTAGGTGTTCCATTACGATTGTTATGCTTGCAATTTATACTATTCAAAATTTTATAATTTAAGGGTCGTTTTGTGAAAATTGAAGAATATAGAGGCTCCTTTGGGTAATTTTTCACTTTCCCCCGATTGTAATACTGTAAAACACGCAGCCAAACAGGGTCTCTCTCTCTCTCTCTCTCTCTCTCCGATCGTTTTTCTCCGCTCTGTTTCACGGAAAGATGGCGGAGGAGAAGGTGAAAGATGAAGCGATGCAGATAATCGGAATGTTTCAAGTTCTTCCGAAACTTGTCGTCTTTGATCTCGATTACACTTTATGGCCTTTTTACTGGTAACATTACTCTTTCTCCAATTCCATCCCCAATTTTCGGAACTTGTTTGATTTATCAAAGGAAATCGCCATTAACACTGAAATTGCATCTATATTGTTCAAGTAACGTTCTCAATCTGTGAATCAACTTTTCCGAAAAGATTGAAATTTCAGTCTCGAGTCAATTTTTGGTGTGATTGTCTCAAGTTCGAAATTAAAGTTCTTTTTTTTTTTTGAATTCTCTGTTTTCCAAATGTTGAATGAAGCGGAAGAACAATCTGCATAGTGATGATTACATTTATCTGTTTGATTTTGAGAAATTATTACCGCTTTGGTCGCTATGAATCGTTTATGTTTGTTTTGAATGTTTCTAATGGATTTGTAACGCTTATTTCAGCGAATGCCGTTCGAAACGCGAAATGCCATCTCTGTATCCACAAGCAAAGGGTATAATGATTGCTCTGAAAGAGAAAGGAATCGAAATGGCTATTGCTTCGAGATCTCCAACTTCAGACATTGCTAACACATTCATTGACAAATTGAACATTAAGTCCATGTTCGTCGCCAAGGTTCGTTTGATTACTTGTTCTTCTTCTTGTGTAGTTTTGTTTCTCTCCTTATGTCTCTCTTCCATGTGGTTCACTGCATTAGCAAATCATTTTCTTAGTGATGAAAATGTATAAGAAGCTGTTGTCGACTCTGAATCCGTTTTTGTGATTGTTTTTCAGGAAATATTCTCAAGCTGGAGTCACAAGACAGAACATTTTCAGAAGATACACACAAGAACCACAGTGCCTTTTACTGCAATGCTCTTTTTCGATGATGAAGACAGAAACATTAAATCAGTAAACACAAACTACCTTTTGTGCTAATTTTGCTTACATCGCATATTTTTATGTCTTTTACATTGTAGACTGAGATTGAAAATCTTTGCTGTGTGAATAAACAGGTTTCGAAAATGGGAGTGACAAGCATTTTGGTGGGTAATGGGGTTACACTTGGAGCATTTAGACAAGGGCTTACTGAATTTTCTCAAAACCATAACACTGTTGAGAAGAATAAAGAGGTTTGGCGAAACAAGTATTCAGGAAAGGCTGCATCATCTGAGACTGATAAAGACTGAGATTCATATCCGGATTCCGGTTCGAGAGCTGGAGAGTTTTATGATTCATTGAACACACAACATTCTTGGATGTTGTTATTATGCACCATGCAACTTAGTAACTCACTGCAAATAAATTACATGGACTGTACCATACTTATTGGATCGCCCATCTAGCTCACAATCTGATGATTCGGCTTTTCACTTAAAAATTATAAGGGTGATTTTCATGTATAATCACTTATTATAAATTTATAACACACATCGTCCGTTAGTTTTTGAACATTTGTTTGCTTCTAAATATATAGTTCGCTATAGTATATAGTTCCATTAAAAACGACAGTTCATAACACACTGCAAACAACCATGCATTTTATACTTTGCAATACAACAATGCATTTTAGTACGAAATCACTGAAGTAGGATTTTCAACAAGTTTATTAAGAGAATGAATACAATTTATGGAACAGAAACATACATCTTTACCAGTAGTAAAAACCAGCTTGTCTTTGCATATAACTTCTTCCTTTTTTGGTTAATCAATATATTTAACATTTCAACCAGAACCACAAAATGAATTAGGATTTGACTATTCTTGTCAGAATCGGTGTTTCGCTCCGAGAAACAAATATAACTCCCATCTAAATAGGGTAATGAATAATATACCCTACAGACACCAAATCCTCTTGCTTATCATATTGTTTTTAACTATACCCTAAAAAGTAAATTTCCCAAACCCAAATCAAAGGGAAGAGATCAAATCTTTCCATCCGCAAATGAATCGGAGACTTGCGTATTCAGGAAACTGAAATTTACATGTGATTGCGTCCGTACCCATTAGAATCAGTTCTCGATCTTCTTGTACTCGTAAACTCCTCATGCTTCGGATCAGAACCAATCCTGTATCCTCTCTCAACCGATTCTGCTTCCAACGGCAGCTCGTCCAATGTCTGTTTTTTAACCATAATCAATAGTAAAAACGCTGAACAACACATTAATAAAACTGCAATATCTTCAAAGACCAATCTTAAAACTTTTACCCTGTTAGCTTGTTGAAGAATGTGAAGAGACTCTCGTGTTCTTTTCCTCTTTATCGCTATCTCATCTGGCTCTTTCAACAGTTCTTCAATCATATTCTCTCTGTCCAACATCCACCACAGTTAGTTCATAAGACAAAAAGAGACTATTCACAACATCAGATCCGAAGCACATTGTTTCTTTCGTCTCACCTGTAAAGCTTCTCGATGAAAACGTTGTGCAGCTCACGTTTCGAGTAATTCACCTGTGTTCATTCACAATCATATACACTAGTTATCAGTCACATACTTCAGAATACAAGATCGACATACACGAAGAAGAGGGAGGGGGACACTTACCAGAAAATGCATGATGGCTTTTGGAACCAAGTCTTCGATATTCTTCCTTACAATGTCATAGTAAGATTTTAGTAATAGCTTTGTTATCTTAATCTCAACTGCTTCCTGTTCTGAATGGTTTTCAGATGACCTCAAAACACTTGGAGGCTTCAAAACACGCAAACATTATGAGGTGAGAAATAGGTAAGCCAAGTGAGAAATACGAGAGGAGCCTGAGAAAGGCTCGAGATGCGAACCTCTTTCAAAAAGATCGTTGACAAGTTCTGATACTCATCTTGAGCAGGTTCGCTGAACGGTTTGTTCGATACGTTGCTTTTCGCAGCTGCTTGACCTTCACTCCCTCGGAAAATTGATGAGAAACCACTCCAGCTTGTGTTTCCTGATCAATTCGCAATTTGTACAAGAACATTAACATTCAAATTCTACACAAAAGTGGGTTCTTCAATGTATGCTCATTTATCTTGAGTCCATCTCTTCATCAAAAAAATTCTGCCAACCACATTTTCATTTATCTGTGCACACATGAAAGGCTGAAAAAGGGAATGGAAATAGAACATTACCAGCTGGTGCAGATTTTTCAGTATCTTCTGCAGCTAGAACTCCCTGTGAAATTTAGAAATAAGTTGTATATAAGAATAATTTAGCTGGAGATTTCTACTCTCTTCATGTGTTTTCAGAATCAGACGCAGGAGCAAAACAGCCAAGGACGCCAATGGAGATGTAACAGAGTCAAATACATAACAAACAAACAAAAATTGACATGCCTGCTCAGTGACGATTCCATTAGCTGATCGGCCCAGGAAAGATCGAGATTTCACTTGACTAGCAGAAGAAGTTGTCTTCTCAGGCTCCACTGTATCCTGTTTGGTCAAAAGAAACATGTATGAAGAAACTGCGAGAGTCAAAAAAGGGAAACACGAAAGCAATATTAATGCTTTGCGGAGACTACTCCACACCTTTGGCCGTCCAACAGGATGCGGAATTCTAGAAGACTTGACCTCTTGCATAGCAACCTCCACGGCTTTGGTTCCCCCTATAAAATTTGGGTGTGACGTGTTTATGTAGTCCATCTGCAAACGGTAAACTCAAAAGGTTAAAACCAAATTACAAGCATTCACTACCAGGCATCATTAAGAGTCCAAACTTAAAAGAGTTTCTAATCAACAAAAGTGAGAGTAATCAACTTGAACACAGTCTTTCATATATACCGTATAAATATCACAGTAAATTTCATATATCAGGCAATGAAATTCATGATTATGTTGATCTTGACTTATTCATGCATACCTCCATTTCAAGAATATCTCGGATCATTGCTTGTGAGGGTTCAAGACCTTCTCGCAGAAAGTTCCCGATAACCTCATCCATTCGCTTTTGCAGGACAGGAAAGCGCTGTAACTCTGTCATCATACAGTGATGACTAATCTGTAGAGAAAATTTCTATTAAGAATTCGTGATCAAGTAATTAACAGTACGCATTGTAAAGACCAAACAAAGAATACCTTTACTAGCTCATCAAAAATGAACCTAGCGCACTGAAGGCTGGGATCTAATAATCGAGATATTTGCCTCCTGACAAGAACTTCAAATGGAACCTAGGCAGAAGGGAATCAAAGCAAGATATACAAATCAGAGTTAAGCATGTGGAAAGTACTGATAAGTAGAACGAAGTGCCCACGTGCTTAGGGATATAAACCTACATCTGGAACAAATAATGCAGATCTGGGACCAGTTGCATTCTGAATTGCAGTCCGAATATCATCATTTGTTAAGTCTTTGCATGGATCGACCTCCTTCAGACGAAAAGTGAAGGAAAATAATAAGTTTCAATATCAACTAAGTCTACATTGGAGACCACGAAGAGATATCTCAAATCAAATTAAGAGACAATCACCTAAGTAAGAAAAGACTAATGCACAAACTTGTAACGAAACAGAAGGCAGCTTATAAGTTTTAGTAGAGAGAAGGGATAATTATAAAGTTGTAAAAACAAACCTCCAAGCTCTTAACAAAGACAGATTGGAAGATATAGTGAATTCTTGCTCCACCCGAAAGCTCTGATGTAGACATTTCTTTACTTTTTCCTTCCAGGGTTGAGGAGTATGCTGTTATGAACAGTTAAACCATGAGAGTCAATACCAACCTACAAAGCATAAACTAACATCCGTTGTCTAAACCGAAAAAACTATTTTCAGATTTTACCTTCACAGTATTTTGTAAGAAAATTGAGGAGAAGAGCTCCTTGACCAGCCTATACATTTCGAAACAGTAAAGAGCCACAGAAAGATGTAAGTTCAATAGTCGCACTGATAACCTTACATATAATTTGAACTACATATTTTCATGAGGCAGCAATGTATAAGGAAATGAATTAGGTAAGAAAATCTATATAAAATTTCCCCTATAAGGCTACAAATGTTAACACCTAAACAATAATTCTATAATTTATTGATCAAATTGTATTCAGAAGGAAGACTGAGCGAAGAAACAATACAATGAAAAGATATTTAGCTAAAAGCTAGCAACGCAAATAGGAATGCCATCAGTGAGAATGGATTTGATGTATTAGGGTCAAACTGGCGGAAAACCACATACCCTGGTCTCTGTTATATCCCCTAAACTCTCATACTCCTTTGCTGCAGCATACAATGCATTGCTGATACATGACTTTAAATTTGGAAGCAGTGTCTTGATGTGTTGGACAAGAATCTGTAAAGAATGAAAAAGGACTAGCTTCGATTAGAAACCTACGAAATGCCATCTTTAGAAAAAAAGGACAAATTGTTTGACCAAAAAAGGCAAAAGGGACTAATCAATACACAGAAAAGAATGCACAACAGCCATAACGAGCCGATGTTGCTGATTTTTCAAATATATACAGTGGCAGCAAAACAAAGGCAACAGGAGATCCCCAAGACTGCAGATAATACCTGATTTAATTTCTTTGCCAACTGAGGGACACCCAAACGGTCAGTGAGACCACTGTAAGCCTGTTTAGTAAAAAAACAAAAAAAACAGATATAAGCAGAACAGCCAAAGCAACATGGTCAGAAAGTAAATCGAGAGAATTTTGCAGTCCTTACTGGACGACTAAGAAAGAACTTTTCCTCTGCAATAAGAGCATCCTTGATGCTGCGGTTCAGCAAAATATCCTGTTAAGGAAATCAACACCCAAATAAATCCTTGCAGTGCGTAAAGTGCAGTTGCCACAGAGCAAAAGCAAACACGAAACGAATATAGGACGTAGAATGGTTTAGAAGCTATGAAAAAGGTAAAAGAAGAGTCCACGAGATATCAGAGAACAAGAAATAGATGGCCTCGGCTCATTACCTCCTGGCTACGATTTACAACTCCAACGTATCCAAGACGAAGAGGAATTGTTTTTCCAAGAAGGTGATTCCGAGCATCAGTACCTCTGTCCATAATATCCAACTGAATCAAAGAGAAAACAGAGCAGCCATAAGTATTAGCGTAGGAGTTTGCCACTGTAACTAAATCTCAAACAATGACAAATTTTAAGCAAACATCTGAGGAGAGAAATCGCACCTTTGTGATTACACCTATGGTTCTATGACCTGAGTACATAGCAAACGTGAATTTTCTACATACCAATGAAAAGGAATACATTCAAAATTGAATTGCTACCAAAACTTACCATCAGGATCAGCGTTTCCTGCGATCTGCAGAGCATCTGAATTGGCTAAATCCGAATTAGCAGGTGTAACAGCCAGTATCAAGCAGCTAGGTTTCTTAATGTAAGACAAGATCATCGTTCTTATACGAGCTTCGATATCCGTTGGCTGATCACCCACAGGGACTTTGGTGATACCAGGAAGATCCACAAGAGTGATATCCAAAACATTGGGGGAAAAAATCTTGAGACGAATAGTTTCATCTGATACCCCTTTGTTATCTCCTAGTAATCTATTCGTCTCCGCCTAGAAACAATGCCACTCTATAATTAGACCGATCATGGAGGTTAACAAGTTTAAACGAACTTAGAAGAGAGAGATAAAAAACCTCAATCTCGCGGCGTATCTCAGAGAAATCGTAGAAACGCTTGTTCGGGAGGTGAAGAAATTCGCCCCACTCGTCGTCGGATCCACCATCGGAGCGAGATTTCGTCTGAGCAAGCTGGAGAAGGAGAGGACGACGCGTGCAGATTTCATTCCCGCGAGGTAAGAAATCGCGGCCGACGAGTGCTTCGAGGACGCTGGATTTACCGCTGCTTTGACTTCCGACGACTGCGACTTGCGGAAGCTCGATCGTGGACTGGCTTCCGAGCTGAGCGAATATGTCTTGTAGCTTGTTTACAATCGGAATCACGGAGGAGCCGAGTGGTGCTGCGGCGGAGGTGGCCGACGGAGGGATATCGTAAACTGACATTGATGTGATGATGATTCGAATGTTCAAGTAGGATTGTCAAAAAGGGCTTTAGGGTTTAGCTTTTTGGGAAGATTTTGGTGCACGAGATTTAAAAAAACCTTCCGATGTCGTGCAGATGCCGATACTCACTCCGACTCTCCGGCCCAAAACTATCAGAGTAAACCGAATATTTTGGTTTGGGTCAAATCGGTTTAAATGAAATCCCTACAATTGTATAATACATGTATTTCTACATGTAGGGATTTGCACAATCCATACAATTGTAAAAATTACATGTATTTTTTTGTTTTGTTTTGGCCAGCTTAGTTGTTATACATATACATTTTTATTTTTGTCTGGTGATTTTAATATCTTTGAAGTAAAATCCAAGGTACAATACAATTATGCAAAGATGAAATTTATACACCGGAGGAAAACAAAATATTCCCGGAAACATAACTTTGTAAACTCGAAATGTAGGTAGTATTCAGAGTGTTTGTTTGGTCGTTTATATATACAGTAGTATGTAAACTTATGGAGATACCATATTATGTAGTTACTATGGTTATCTACTAAAATCCAGTAAAAGTGATAAAAATAAACAAGAAACAAAACAAGAGTAAAAGCTCGAAAAAGAAAGTTTGAAAGTAAGCAAAACCAAAACCAATTTAGAGGATGTACTGAGCATCATCACTCATCATCGAACACTATTGTTAACTCCTAAGAAAAGGGTATATCTCATACCTAAGATTACAACTGGTACCTATAACTCTCGCTCCTTGTTTACCATCGCAGCACTTGGGAAGCTCCTTGATACTCCATTCTAAACAATCTGTACAATCTGCTATGTCGTTTGCGCATTGCACCATTGCATATAACTTATTCGTCCCGATGTTCTCTACTCCTGCTGCGTAATATACGAAGTCCAGGCCTTGCTCATCAGGTTGATCAGCTTTCAGCATCAGATTCTTGAGCAAATCGCTCGTCTTCTTGCTGAACAACTTTGTATCACCTATTCACCTTTCACGTTGTTCGGGTTAAACATAGAGAAAGTATTCTCGTAATTCAACTTCCTTGGCGTTGGGTCATTGAAGTTACTTACATCGAGAAAGCATTGGTCGTACCATATTATTCCCCCTTTGTTTCTCGGACATCTCTTACGAAACTGTCATATACCATACCATACCATATATCAATTTATATCATTTTGAATGATACCTTAATATTTCAGTGTAATGGCAAGTATTTTCTTTTTCTTTTTTGTTTTCTAATTATTTTAAAAAATAAATGATTATTTTGTAGTGTTTAGAAGAAGGTACATACTGTATATAAAATATGATTTTTAATAGTGTTGAGGACATTACACTATTAAAAAAATAGTGTTGAGGACATTACCCCTTCGACAGCGGTAGCAGCGCAAGAACCACATTTGGGGCCTAAGGAATCACCGCGACATTGAAATATGACGGTGACTGAACTGAGATCATCTGAACGTTTTGTTTCGTGTCTGAAACCGTCCCGGAAACTAGTCCAGTTAGTGAGCTCACGGGACATAGTATTGAAGGTGTGCTCGTACTTACTTCCAGGCCTATATTTTCCTTGATTGATGCGGCATTTGTGGTTGAGATATGTATTGGTAAGATTCAAGGACGAAGCACTTCCTATGAGCAGGAGCTGCATGCCCAATATAGCAACGGTTACGAAGCATCTGGATAGAGAATATGAAGAATACATTGTTTTGGATTTTTGCTCTATTTGCAAGCTAGGGATGTGATGTTTTTATCAATAAATGAAGCGTAGAGATTGAGATGTTTTTAGCTGATTATCTCAAAACGATAATGTTTTCTGGTTACCTTATACAAAATTCGATTGATCATTTTCAGTTTCTGAAAGACAAAAGAGAGAAGAGTTGGGTATTTTCGGCGAGGGATTAGGAAATCTGATGAAAAAGTCAAAACTTTGAAACTTTTTAGGGTTATTATGGTTAACAGAATCGCATGGATTGACAAAGAAACGTCCCGCCAATCAAATTTTGACAAATATGATTCTTCCTCTTTATGTCGCTTTTCACACAAACTCAAATTGACTTCCTGTCATGTAATTGTGAGGCTCCAGTTAAAGCAAAAGATCAAACCAAATAATTTGGCCGAGACACAAAGTACAAAGTATTTACAACTTAAAGTCTTAAATCCAAAAACAAAAGAATTTAAGACATCAGGGGTGATGTCATCAGCACAATATCTCTATCTTCTCCGAAATTCTCAATCTTTAAATCCCGAGAAAGTTACAAGATTTATCCAAACTCTCTCTCTCTCTAATGGAGATCTCACTTGCGTCGGTAACAGTTTCAATAGCTATAGCTCTTGTGTCCTGGTGGGTATGGAGAACTTTGAATTGGGTTTGGTTCAAACCAAAGATGCTCGAGAGTTACCTGAGAAGACAAGGTCTTTCCGGTACTCCTTACACACCTCTCGTCGGCGATTTGAAGAAGAATTTCACCTTATTGACGGAAGCAAGATCCAAACCCATCAAACTAACGGATGATATCCAGCCACGTGTCGTCCCTTTTCCCTTGCAAATGCTCAAAACTCACGGTATGTCTCCTGGTTAGCTTAATCATGGCTCTTCATTGCTCTCTGTTTATTAGAGATACAGAGAACAGCAAAAACAGTTACAGATTTTGAAAAAAAGGTTTAAACTTTTGTATCTCTTTTGTGGTTCTCTGTTTACTTGGAGATACAGAGAACATCAAAACTGTTGCAGAGTACTTGATTTTGAAAAAAGGTTTCAACTTTTGTATCTATTTTGCTGTTCTCTGTTTAGAGTACTTGATTTTGAAAAAAAGTTTCAACTTTTGTATCTCTTTTGTAGTTCTCTGTTTACTTGGAGATACAGAGAACATCAAAACTGTTGCACAGTACTTGATTTTGAAAAAAGGTTTAAACTTTTGCATCTCTTTGAACAGGAAGGACCTTCTTTACATGGTTTGGACATATACCAACCGTCACAATAATGGATCCTGAGAAAATCAAGGAAGTGTTCAACAAAAACAATGATTTCCCGAAGACGCATACGTTCCCATTGGGAAGACTGATAGCCACTGGAATCGTTAGTTATGATGGAGATAATGGGTGAAACACCGAAGAATCATCAATCCTGCTTTCCATCTTGACAAGATCAAGGTCTTGACTTTCTCTTTTTCCATAGCTTAGATTGGTATGTGTATCGTTTTGGCCGACTTCTTGCTTCTACGTGTATAGATTATGGGACCAGCTTTCAACCAAAGCTGCAGCGAGGTTGTTGGCGAATGGGACAAGTTAGTGTCTGGTCATAAAGGGTCGTCGTCGTCGTCATGTGAGGTTGACGTTTGGCCTTGGCTTGTGAGTATGACTGGAGATGTGATCTCTCCTACTGCTTTTGGCAGCAGCTACAAAGAAGGACAGAGGATATTCGAGCTCCAAGCAGAGCTAGCAAAGCTCATCATTCAAGCTTTTCGTAAAGCTTTCATCCCTGGATACAAGACGTTTAGAGATTGATTCTTGATCTTTCCGTGTGTTTAGCTATCTTCCAACGAAGGCTAACAGAAGGATGAAAGCAGCAGCGAGAGAAATCGAAGTGATACTGAGAGGGATCATTAACAAAAAGGTTAAGAGCGAAGAGAAGCGACGATTTGCTTGGTATACTTCTTGAATCGAATATGGCGCAAGAAGCTAAAGGGAATGGAATGAGCATTAAGGAAGTGATGGAAGAGTGCAAGTTGTTCTATTTCGCTGGTCAGGAGACAACTTCCTTACTTTTAGTATGGACAATGGTTCTGTTAAGCCAACACCAAGAATGGCAAGCTCGTGCAAGAGAAGAAGTAAAGCAAGTTTTTTGTGACAATTCAGAAGGACTCAACCAACTCAAAGTTGTAAGTATATAAACCAAAATTGTCATATACCTTTGAGCATTTTATTGTTGTGTGTTTAATGATTGATCCTTTCACAGATTACGATGATATTGTACGAGGTCCTCAGGCTATATCCACCATTAGCTCAGGTGACTCGAGCCGTTCACAAAGAGACGAAGATAGGTGACTTGACATTACCAGGAGGTGTTCAGATCAGTCTACCGATTCTGCTAGTGCAACGTGACACCGAGCTATGGGGAAACGATGCAGCGGAGTTCAAGCCGGAGAGGTGTTCAAAGACGGTCTCTCGAAGGCGACCAAGAGCCAAGTCTCTTTCTTTCCGTTTGCGTGGGGGCCAAGGATCTGCATTGGACAGAACTTTGCTTTGATGGAGGCAAAGATGGCAATGGCATTGATTCTACAGAGATTCTCTTTCGAGCTATCTCCGTCTTTATGTTCATGCGCCTTACACAGTCATCACAATTCACCCTCAGTTTGGAGCTCCTCTTGTTCTGCACAAGCTCTAGTTCCTGTACACAGATGAACCGAGTCCTGATCATAATACAAAAGAACTCAAAATCTAGTTTATGTATTCAAAGAAATTCTCTCTTATACAAAGAACCAATATATTAAAAAAAAAGGAACTCCATTTCGGGTAGATACGAGACGATAAACGTGCAAAAGCCTCATCTAAAGACTCGATTAGTATATATGTTCTTCATCAACGATCAAACAGGTCGATTACGCATCTCAACAGTGTTCGACCAAAATCGTAGAATTTCTTGCAATTTCAAAAACAGAGAACACACAGGCAAATCGAGAAGGACATTTGAGTTTTTCCTAATCGATCGCTTCAGAAACCCCAACCAAAATTAAGAATTCTCCTTACGGATTGATTTGCTAAACCCCGAAAATCTGATTTCAACGTGTTGGAGAGTAGCAAAATGAATGTTTCAACGTGTTGTGTTGGTATGGAAGGAATTTAACCGGATTAACCAAACTGAACCGGATTTGACTAATAATTTCAACGAAAACCGTTTATGAACTCGGTTCAGTTCGGAACAGATAATAACACTCAAAACCGAACCGAATAAACCGACTTCCGAACCGAATTTAATTCCACAGAAAATTTTCTATGCAAAATGGGAAATACAATAATGGTTTTCTGTAATTATGTTGATAAATAAACTCAAATTTCTTAAATAATCTCAAATGAATTTAATCCAAAAACAACATATATGGGCCAAACTAACTAGAGAGTTATTTGTCTTCTCAATCGGTTTACAGTTTGATCGAAACTATGAAACGAAAGTAGAAGGTGAGTGTGATAATTGGATTAAATACTCTTTTAAATAAAGTTTTGGATTGTGTATGTTGTGCTGAGTTCCTTTTGTTTATTTATGACATATAGGATCAGTAAAGCTTAAATAGTCTAAAGTTTTGATTCATTCTAAATATGTGAGTTTACGTTGATAGGACTACAATAATGGAGCTTTATTTACTCAGTTGGTTCGATCATATATCGAAATTTGTGTAGCTTATAAACCAGAACTCTTGTTAGGTAGTTCAAAATGTATCCGCGGGTCTAACAATATCCTGATTTGGTAACTAGTTTAAAGACCACGAAACAAACTTTAGATGATTTTTTTTGTATAAGCTGAGCTGGAAAAGAGAGGGACGTAAAGAAGATCTTTAGACATTAAGTGACTCGTTTTTGTAGTTTTCCTTAATCGAATAGTGAAGGAAGATCGGAGTTCAGCTGTGTTCTTTTTAAAGTCGAACGACACAAAAATAAGGTCGAAGAAGCTTGCGTCGACTATCGCTGCTTTATAAATGGGGTCGATATGCTGCCGCTGTTGTTTCTCAGCGATTTTTTAATCACCGGATCAGAGTCGTACGGAAGAAAGTAGAAGAGATAAAGAAAGGATAAAAGAGAGGTTAACGCTTATTTTTGCGTCGCCGGTGGTGGTCGCTGCGACTTTCGGCCGAACAGGGCCTTACGGGTAAGCGATCCGATGCTTCCATTTTACCTTTTTTTCACCTTTTTTTTTCTAATAGACGTAATATTCAGGTTCTGGCAACATGGAGTCACTGCTTCTGTTGTGTCTACTTCTTACTCCACTAGGAGTAGTAGCGAGTCCTGCTTTGACGATACAGGTACGTTTAAACAAAATTTCTCTCGTATACAAATGCATGCAAAAATAGTTATGTTGACTTCAATTTTCTCATGTTGTCTAAATATATAGAGTCCGGATGGAGATCTGATCGATTGTACCCCCATACAAGAACAACCGGCATTTAGTAACCCGTTGCTTAAAGACCATCAGCTACAGGTGAATTTGTTTACCCAATATTTTTTTTTTTTTTTTTTTTTGAAAACCATAACTTAACGTACGTTTTATTTATTATTTCTGTAAATATAATACAGGAGACACCTACGGACATGGTGAGACGAGAAGAAGGATACAGATTGCCAATATGGCAAATTTGGCATAGGAACGGAACAGCATGTCTGGAGGGAACTATTCCCGTACGGAGGATCATCTCTTATCAGAACGAAACTACCAGTTCAAACGGCGCAGATAGAGCAACTCAGGGACATGAGGTACGTGTCTAATTTTTCCTTCGTTCTAATTAAAATACTTAACCTAAAGACGCATATTAGCATTTGACATATTCACTTAATGAGAACAAATAAAATCGAAGCAAAATTGATCAATCCGATCGTGAACTAAATTTTATTCTAAGCCGTACAAAATTACTTATTATACGAACCATTTGATAGCTTTTGAAAATTTCCTTACTAATCAAAAATAGATTTGTAAAAGTAAACACACACTAAAGTTTTCGTTTACACGGAAAAGTAAAGACACACTAAAATCTTAACTCAGAGTTTGCCTTCGATGTGAAGAACTGCTATTTGGAGCAGCAAAGAAATCATTTTCTGTAGTTATATAATCGGATGATCTAATTCCATTTATAGAATCTAAGAAAATAAACTAATTTCTGACCAATTACTTAACCATGTCAATATTACCCAAAACCAGATATAATTGATTTAGCTCAGGTACGTATAACCGAGACTTCCAGAGTTGACCACTCTTGAGTCGTTGACCCGAGCTATAAACACTTGCACATAAACCAAAAAGTGCGATTTCTCCGATTAAGTTAAAAAACCGGCCTTGGGATGAAAACGTGGTAATTTTCTAAAATCCGACTAATAAGAAATTTAATTGAACATTTAAAAATGTGATGGATCAAATGTTAGGTTTTTGAATTTTTTTTGGGCCATTTACAAATTATTTCAAAAATGGATGTCAACTAAGAAATGCTCATTATATTTATTTTTTTTAGCTAAAACTAGACTATAATTTATAAAAATTACATGAAAAAATCGATATGGGCCATCCATAAACCCAAACAAGAAATTTTGTTACTAACCGTAAGAGTTTTGTCCCTCAAAACTTGAAAAATGTTTAGCTAATCTTAAAATATATATATATATATATAATTTTCATATTACGTGTTATCTTTTATATAAAAATGTTTATAAATTAAAAAATGTAATAAAAATTCCTCCCCGGCTAATCTCGTTTATTTCCGATTTTTGAAAAATCGGAAATTCTGAACCACCCGCCCGATTAACGCCTAGCGGTTTTTTTAATGTAGGTTTTATCTCACAACGACTTTATTTTCTTCCTTTAACCATCTTCGTAGATTCTTCTGTGATCTACACTTTGAGCAACAGAACATTTAGTCTCCTTTCGGGCTTTTGAAACAAGTACAAATAACAATAAGAGTCTTGGTTTGTGTAAACAATCATTTGAACCCATTTGACATAAAACATTTTCATTAATAATTGAACACGAGCCCAAATTACAAAGATTCCAAGCCCATTAGTACACATCCAAAATGGGCCCGTTTGATATCATGAACTGATCAAACCATACACAGATTTTTTAAGCAAACATACTTTCCTCTCTGGATCTCCAATTTCAAACCCTTTACATAATTTCAAGCCCATAAAGATCGTTCCAAGTTTACAATCCACAGTGAAGAAGATCCCTCTATTCACGATCTGTTTTGGAGTTACTCCACCTTGAGTTTTTATCTTCAATAATGGGAAATGGCCTTTTGTTGGTGTTGGCATCTCTGTAGTAACATTCCTAGATTCACCATCACCACCCTCTGATGTAGTTTTCGCTGAAACACTTTCAACAAATCTTTGTAAAGTTTTGATCTTCACAAAATTTGATATTTCTGCTTATAATCAACTAACCAGACCTTGTAGCCTTAAGTACCAGCAATCATGATAAACCAACAAACACACCTTATCCGGTTTCTGTAATTGTTTAACCTGATGGTCTAATTCCCTTTACAGAACCAAGGAAAATAAACCCTTTTCGTACCAATTACTAAACCAATTCAATGGTACTAAGGGCAAAAACCGGATATAATTGATTTAGCTCAGAAATAACCGAGTCTTCCAGAGTAGATGACACTTGTTTGAGTTGTTTCTAACCGGATATACTGCGATAGTCTTCCTGAGTAAATAACAGAGTCTTCTGATTAATTAACTGTTTATGGTATATTGTTTTCTGAACATTACAGTATGCGGTCGGCCTGATGAAAAGCCAACCAAAGATCTACGGGACTCGGGCGACAATGAACGTTTGGCGTCCAACAATTGAAGGAAGTGATGAATTTAGCTTGGGACAGATTTGGTTGACATCTGGATCGTACAACACCAGCGACCTCAACAGCATAGAAGCCGGATGGCAGGTGATCTTTTCTTCTTTTCAATGTCTTCAATAATAACTACAAAAATATTTGTTTAAACCAAGTGGCCTTGGCCCAGTGGTAATGGACTCACAGCTGTGAGTACCGCTACCCGGGTTCAAGTAACCGGATGCAAGGCCAGATTGGATTAGTTCTTGGGTTTTTCCCTTTGGAAAACCAACTTTTAGAAAAAAAAAAATATTTGTTTACTATTTTTCTCGTAAAAAACACATTATTTACTCAACACTTTGCATACAAAATGGCTAATAACTATAGTTTTCTTTGTTTTTACTATCTCTTTCCAGGTTTACCCGAAGATCTATCTAGATCATCGACCACGATTTTTTATCTATTGGACGGTACGTTTAGTGAAATTTGTTTGATCTCATTACCAATTTGCTCTCTTTCAGTTGCAAGTATTTAAAATAATATTAACCAATAAAATTATTATTACAAGGGAATTTTAAGGTTACTTAGTCTAATACTGTAAACTGGACTAGACAACACTAGAATTTTTCTTATGTCAATTAATATATAATTATATATCCGCTTATTTTATAACCTTGGTGCAATAACCCTATAAATATTTATAAGCCCTGTGAATTTTGGATAACTACGGCGAGTGAAAATGTATTTTAGAAATCTGCATTTTTCTTTGAGTATTACTACTATTAACTAGTTAGATATGTATTTAACATGTTACGTGCTCGATACTTATGCTAACTCTGAGTTTTTTTCCTACTTCTGATTCATTTTGTTACTAAAAAGGGAGGAGGAAACTTAGTCCCAAATGCTTGGTAGAGATCATAAGTAGGGTAGAATAAAATTGAAAGCATAATATGAGCGATGGAAAAGGTTTTTATTAGTTCCATATTTAATCAACAAATGTTTAATTTATCTATTTTTTCATGTGTGTAAATTGTAGGTGGATGCTTACAACAATACCGGATGTTACAACTTGAGGTGCGGTGGTTTTGTACAAACCAGCCGCAACGTTGTGGTCGAAGGGGCGATCGATCAAATATCTACTTTTGGTGGTTCCCAAGCCGATATGACTCTCAAGATGTGGAAAGTTTGTTTATTCGGTTTATGTTTGTTCTATTACATATATAAACGTTTCCTAATCAATAAATCTAATACACTTGTAGGACGAGAAGATCGGAGTTTGGTGGCTAGGTATCCTCCTCGAACATGGCGTTCACGAACCAGTCGGCTACTGGCCCCAGATTCTCTTCACAGGCCTAAGGGATCACGGAGAGAGGGTTCAATGGGGTGGAGAGATCACTAATAAGCAACCTTACGGACGGCACACAAGAACGGAGATGGGTTCAGGCTACTTTCCTGACAGCGGGTTCGGGAATGCCGCTTACATGCGGAATCTCGAAGTCGCGTTCTCGGAAAATGATTTCCAGCCACTCCAAGAACTCTACGTTGGAGGAACTCATCTCGATTATTACCAGGCCAGGAAGTCTCACAACCATGAGCTTGGGACGCACTTTTACTACGGGGGACCTAGGCAGCTTGCGATCGCAGTTCGTGTTACGTGGGATTGGAGTCTCCTATATATTTGTTTCAGCTTCTTCTTGTTGATTTAGTTTTTTTTTTGTTGTTATTGTGATTGCTTGCTTTGTTTTCTGATCAGTATTGTGTGTAACTTGGTGTGGAACTTGGTGTGTAACTTATTTAGATTCAAGTAACTTGGTGTGTAAAACGATATCATGAAAGAAAGAAAAAACTCTACAAAGTGTTTGGTTTTTGGTGCTTAAGAAAAACAAAATTATTATAAATTTATGAACAAACATGTAAATCAGAAAAACAACTTATAAATTTTGTTCACAATTATATTTATGAACAAACATGAACAAGCATATCCATCATTGATCGAGGAAACAACTATCAATGTATGTAAACCAGAAAAACAGAGGGTTAAGAGCTATTTTGCTTTCATGAATCGTATTTTGCCATTCTCCTACAACTTTTTGTTCACCCTTGACAAGTTTTGGATAACGATCCATTCGTGAATCCTCTTGTATCAGCTCTTCAACCTATAAAATTCGAACATAAAAATCCATCTCAGGTAACAACATGCGAATTGGTTTAAACTATCAGAAACTCATAATAGAGAAAGAAGAGTAGGAGAAAAAGAAGCATACCTTTAGTCCATAACAGAGGATCTCTTCTTTCTCTAGGCAAAAGGAGATGATCACGTAACCGTGATGCGATAACCCAAGGAGGCTCGTCTGCAGAGTTTGATGCTACTGCATTCTCTTCCAGGAAGTCACACACCTAAAAATGAATCCAAAAAACGACCTGTGTTTTTAGAACACAATTGACAATAATACACAGAGATGCTGTAACGGGTAAAGATGTATAACCTAGTGGTCCTGGTCGTACAGTTCATCAATTCTACGCGAGAAACATCGCTTACGCTGGATTATCCTATGCAATATTGCGCAGACCAAAAGCTGTACATCTCAAACACTGTAAACAAGCTTGAAGATGTTGATCAAGTAAAACTAAACAACTCAAAAGACTGGTTTTTTTTTCTTTTCTAAAGAGTATATTACCATTGCACAGGAGGACGAGATCATGATGATGTGCTTCAAGAACCATTGATGCATGCGACAAGTCAAGGGTTTGTAACTCTGTACTAGCAATTCAAGGCACTTCAACTCATTCATCCTTCAAAAGTAAGAATCTTTAGTCAATAGTTGGTGTTAACCATTATCACAATTAGTCAGTGATGAAGATACCAACCCATTAGAGTTCCAAATCGTGTCGTCATGTGAGATTACGGGATCCAGGACCATACTTCTTCATGTGAGAGTTCCAAATCGTATCGTGACCCAGCCAGGTAATCAAGCAACAGAACATCAACAAGTTCATCAATTTAACAAAAAAACCAAATGAGAACTCATCATCTTCCAAACGAAACTAATTTTTTAAAACCCAATCAACAAGATAGAAATGGTAGAAACCCAATCAACAACGCCATTTTCAGAGCTTATAGTTCTCGAAAACCCTAATTAAGCATGTTTTACAGCCGATTTTGGAAGAGATCTTACCATGCAAAGGGAAGGAAGAACATGGATTGAAATTGGTCGATCTTCGTTTCTTTTACTCCAATTTTCATCACCACAGGCTGATTAGGAACGCCCCACCATCAATAAATCATGATTTCCGACTGATTTGGTCACCAAATGGACTGATGTTTCGATTCACCATTGAATCGCCACCATCGCCGTCGACAGAGGAGAGAGAGAAAAGAGAGAAGAAAAATGAGGAAATATAATGTTTTTTTTTCTAATTTCCCTGTGGCCAATGCGGTGATGCCACGTGTCACTGAGCATCAGATGTTTAAAATGCTTATTTAAGTACGGAGGTAAGTATTGTATTTTTATTGTATTTTTCATTTAATTATATTCACTTTTGCGTTAAGAAGGGAGGTAAGTACTCCGCGAAGAGTAGAGCGGAGGTGGAAAGTAATGATGAGAAGACACATGCTGAGCTGGAAACACTTGCTGATGTGACCGAGAGAAGTCGAGAGTTAATGAGTTATTGTTGATTTATTTATAGTATTAGATTAGGCTCCGTGTATATGCGGATTTATTATAATTTTTTTGAAATAAATCCGGAAAATTATTAAACATAATATAATCATTTTTAAAAGTAAGTAGAATAATAATAAAAACCCGATAACAAATCACTAAATAAAATAAGATTAGTAATCTTTTTACATTTTTATTATAATTGACATTTGTTTTGAATTCATGATATGAAAAATGAATTAATTTGTGTTATCTTATTTTTATCTAATATAGAAATACTTACATGTGTTTAAATCTGATGGACTAATTAATACGTGAAACTTTGATTATTCCATCGAAGAGATTTCAGTTGATGAAATCAATTTTTTAATATTTTTTGACCTAACAAAAATTTGAAAATAAACTATTTAAAATTAGAATATCGGACCAAAATAAAATTTTCTTTTTAATATTAGTTAGCTGTTGATAATTATTTTGTTAGCTTTCTATTTATATTCTTTCTTTTATAATATTTATTTTGCCTCGGACCATTATAAATTTTTCTTTTCATTATTAGTTAGTTGTTTTACAATTTTTCGTTTTGTTATTAATTTTTTCTAATTTTCTTGTGTTAACACATGTTATAATCTGATCAAATATTATACATGGTGCGACAGTAGTTTTGATTTTGATCCAACTGATCTAAAATTAAATATTCTTCATTGATATCTAGAACTTTTAAAGACATGATTTTTCATTTCTTAATAAGAAAGAAAATTTAAACAACACAATTAAATCATGAAGGGTGTAACTTATTATATATTGTTTTTTTTCCTTCTTGTATTGGGAATATGTTTTTTTCCGTTTCTTAATGGATGTAACAATTTATTGTAAATTATATATTTTCTTACTAACCTTTTTCATCAAGTAGTAGAAGCTCAACTCCCATAAGAATATTATTTTCTTTTGGATTTCTAACTTTCCACTTTCGAATAACACGTACTATAGTACGGCGATAATTTCGATTTCGATCCAATTGACCTAGAGTCAAATAATCTTCACTGTTTTCTTGAACATTCAAAGACATGATTTTTAAATTAGAGAAAGAGAATCAGAGAAATTTAATGAATTTGCTTTGATGAGTTTGTAAATGAGAAAAAAGAGACTACTGTAACTTTGTATTTATAGGTGTTCATATAACATATTCCTTGCAGATATAGGAATTTTAGTTTACGTACCTATTCCATGTAGTAATAGGATTTTATTTATTACATTATTTTCAATCTTATTTTATAATAAGATATGTGTTTGGATAATATAATTTGATGAATGGGAAAACCTTTTTCTGTTAGGATATGACAAATATTAATTTTTCTTATAAAATAAAATAGATTAAATTTCGTTTTTTTTAATTAAATTTTTTTTTTAATTATCCTATTTCTAGTATTTTTTAAAAAATTTTTTTTCCCCTAATACACGTGTCACGATCTTAACGGACATAATCTTAAAAGTGACACATGTCGCGATCCTATATTTTATAAAAATCCTACGTGTCGCAACCACGTCGCGCGCATCCAGCTTTATATAATAAGATAGTACAGTATATCAATTTTATTTTTCTCTTAGACATAATTCATTCGGAAAGTAGATCACAATTGTTGAGAGGTTTGTTCTTTGCAGTTAAGATATTTGCAAGAGTCTATTCTTGCTATTGAATTATTAATTCGTCCTTGGAGAGTCTCATCGACGTCAAGAGAGAAGTCTTTGCGGGTGTGACCAAACAACTTTCCTTGTTTCCGAGATAAAGCTTGGATGAACATGCTCACTATTAGAATCCTAGACTACTTTGCTCTTTTGTTTTGTAACAAATCCGTTAATGTCATTGTCACCCAATATATTTTTTGGGTGGATGCTATGCTATTTACATCTGGAGTAATAAATATTTGTTTGTTATCATTTTATTTTATCGCTTTATTACCAAACAACGCAAGAGACATAGTATTAAATAAATAAAAAGCAACAACAAAGGTAGAATTTTCAGAAAGATGATGAGATTGTATTACTTCTGGCAACAGCATTTCGCTGGAGTATTAGGAGATGGAGAAGAACAATCCCCATCCTTATAGCCTGCTTGGGTACAGTCAAAAAAACATTCATAATGCCCGTATGAAGCCGAACACAAATTATTGCAATGGTCATATTGGAATTTCTCTATATCTGCAATTAAGAAGAAAAAAACTCCCATTATTAATTGTAATCGATACAAACATATTTCTATCCATTTATATAGTAAGATAAGTCTCAATAAAAAAAAGCTATATAACATGTCCAGATTATATCAATTGAACGTGATCATCCATGTTAGTTATAACTTGCTGTCCAAAACATTCAAGATAAAACCTAAAGTTTTGTTCGGACAAAATAATAACATACCCAAAGCCAAAATGTTGCGATTAGACACTGAAATGGCTAATACTGCTATGAACAAAAATGTCATCAGCGTTTTCGTAATAGCCATAGTAAAACAATTTTGTTTGTATGAATACTATTGAGAAATGAAGATGTTCTTAAGTTTTGGATCTTAAAGAGAGATCCTAGTTGGCTATTTATATAAATTTTGGTCTTAGATTTTCTATTAATAGTTTCTTTAATTGCTGGTAAAACTTTGCTTGTTTTTTATCCAAAAAAAATCAATTAATGCATAAAATTTCATTAGTCAATATGAATTATGACACAATCTGGTCAATAGTCAATACGAATTTATTGCACAAAAATTCATTTTGAATAATGAATAGCTTACTTTAAATGCAATATTGACCCAAAAATATAATTTAAATGCATTTTTTATGCAACATATCCTCTTTAGTGTTTGGTTTTTAAGCGAAATTTATCTATCAACGTGTGAACTTTATTAAGTTAAATTAAATTCAAACAAAAAAGCGCATGTGGTTAGGAAATTTTTTTCCAAAGAATAAGAAATTAAAGAGAAACAAGATGACGCAAAGGAGAACTTACGAGCATAAGAAGCTTAATATGGTACTAGCTTAATGCGGGATAAGTTACGAAACCAAAGCTGGATGTGTTAAGAGCATATGTGCCTAATAAGAGTAGAGCGTAGCTGGAAAGTAATGATGGGAAGACACACGCTGAGCTGGAAAACACTTGCTAATGTGGCCGAGAGAAGTCGAGAGTTATTGTTGATTGATATAGTATATCACCTTTATTTCTCTCTTAGACATTCATTCAAAAAGTGGATCAAAAGTATCGTGTTCAAAAGTCTAGTATTGCGATTGAATGATAAATATATGATCACAATAATCGAGAGGTTTGTTCTCTGCATTTGAGGCAAGTTCAAAAGTCTATTATTGCGATTGAATGATAAATTCCTCGAGTATCCTCGACGTCGTGAGAAAAGACTTTGTGGGTGGGACAAAACTCGCCAAGCTTCTATATATACCAAAAATATCTATCATAATGAAGTTTTCTGGGTGGGACAAAACTCGCCACCCATGATATTTTTCGGATGGATGGCATTTATATCTGGTTAAGATTATGTATTCTAATAAATTTATTTGTAATAATTTTATTTTATTGCTTTAGTACAAAACAACGCAAGAGACATATTAAGACCAATTGCTAAAACCAGTTTTCAGGAAGAGGATGAGATTGTATTATTTCTGGCAACAACATTTCACAGGAACTTTAGGAGAAGGAGAAGAACATTTCCCATCCATATAGCCTGCTTGGTGACAGTCATGAAAACATTCAAAATCCCAGTATGTATCCGAACACAAATTATTGCAATGGTCATATTGGAATTTTTCTGTCTCTGCAATAAAAAAAACACCCATTATTAATTGCAATCCATTTATATGTTATATACCGTCTCAATAAATAAATAAAGCTATATAGCATGTCCAAATTATATCAATTGAACGAATTCATCCATGTTAATTATAACTTGCTGTCTAAAACATTCAAAATAAAACCCAAAGTTTCGTTCGGACAAAATAATAACATACCCAAAGCCAAAATGTTGTGATTAGACACTGAAATGGCTAATACTACTATGAACAAAAATGTCATCAGCGTTTTTGTAATAGCCATAGTCAAACAATTTTGTTTGTATGAATACTATTGAAAAATGAAGATGTTCTTAATTTTTGGATCTTAAAGACTATTTGGCTATTTATATAAATTTTGGTCTTAGATTTTCTATTAATAGTTTCTTTACTTGCTGGTAAAAATTTGCTTGTTTTTTATCAAAACAAATCATTTATAATACAAAACAATTATGACACAATCTGGTCAATAGTCAATATACGAATTTAATGTATAAATTGTCATTTTGAATTATGAATAGCTTACTTTAAATGCAATATTGACTAAAAAATATAATTTAAATGCAATTTTTTTCTCATAATTTGATGTAGATATCTATAAAATTAAATTATAATTAAATATAAAAACGTTCTGATTTTCTAAAAAAAATAAGAATAATTCTTAAGTTGTTTTTACTAGTTTAAGTTAATAAATAAATTTTAATTATTAAACATTTGATTTTTATCAATTCAAATGATATAGTTTTAAAATTATTATTACAACTAAACAAACAAATACTGGTTTTATTTAATTATTAAGTACACTTGTCTGAATTTATTTCGTATACCTAATTGGAAGATTATTATTATCTTTGTTTTAAAAGTTCATCACATAGACTGCTTAACGCATGTGATACCGTCCCTTTGCGTGGGGACCAAGGATCTGCATTGGACAGAACTTTGCTATGTTGGAGGCAAAGATGGCGCCGGCATTGATTCTACAGAGATTCTCTTTCGAGCTATCTCCGTCTTATGTTCATGCGCCTTACAACAGTCATCACAATTCACCCACAGTATGGTGCTCATCTTGTTCTGCACAAGCTCTAGTTCCTGTACACAGATGAAATGCGTCCTGATCATAATACAAAAGAGCTCAAAAACTTACTTTTTCATTTGAATAAATTACAGTGTTTGGTTTTTAAGCGAAATTTATGAAAGTTTGAACTTTATTAAGTGAATTTCAAAGAAAAAAAAAAGTGTAAAGAAATTCCTCCAAGAAATCCTTTAGTAAAATGTAACTAGCGAAGTGCTTTTAGTTATTGCTTTTGCGATGTAGGCATTGCAAGAGATACTGAAGTTGGAATATCCTTCCACTGTTGTGTCACCGTCTTTATCTGAGTGAAAAAGTCAACTCCTGCTTTGCCTGCAAACAATCCAACATGAGCTTTTAAGCAAAAGAGAAAAATAAAAAATGCACTTCTGTTTTAACTTGTGACAAACTTATTACCATAGAAATTCAGATCGCCTGCAAAGGAAGCCTTGTTCCCGGTGAAGGAGAAGAACGGTAATGGAACCGGGATTGGTACATTGATACCGATCTACGCCAACAAAAGCAACAGCAAAGAAGAGATCAATCAATGTCAAAATACAAAAAAGAAAAAGTGTTTAGTTTTTTTATAGGGTCCAAGTTTGTTGTTCTTCATACCTGTCCTGCTTCTATTTCCATCTGGAACTTCCTCGCCGCTGCACCAGATGATGTGAAAATTGCAGCACCGTTCCCGTACCTGTTACAAGCGTAATAAGCAGAATATGAGAAGATTTGTATAAGTTTTGTGATATAAATGGGATACAAATAGTTGTTTACTTGTTTCTGTTTGATATGTCTATGGCCTCGTCAAAGCTGCTTGCCTGTACATAAAGTCATCAGAAAGCGTAAATCGCACAGATATAAAAGAAAACCGAATATATGACAAGTTAAAACTTGTTTGTTTCTAATCTGACCTCCATGCATACAAGAACAGGGCCAAATATCTCCTCCTACAATGTGCCAAAAGGAGAAAAGTAATGTAAGTTTCAAGTAGAGTACAGATTCTTTGCTTAAATCCGAGAATAACACCTTGTAACACTCCATGTCTGGGGTAACACCAGATAAAATGGTAGGACCGATAAAATTCCCTTTCTCGTATCCTGGAACCTGTTTGTTATGAGCAAAGATATGTTAACTTCTCGGACCATTTGGTCTTACCGCTGTGGAGGTAAGGTCGTGAGTACTAAGGATGCGGAGGTTATTGCTATATTAAGATACGAGTCTGTTGCAAAGCAGTAACTATGGAGATTGGGAAAATACCACAATATTTCTTCCATCAAGCAGCAATTTGGCACCATCGTCCACAGCAGACTGAATCAAGCGGCAAATCCGTTCTTTGGCCTATGGAGATAAAAAAGTTTAACAATGAGGTATGTCTATTAAACAACAGACAAAATATATACCTAAACGTGATTGTTACACACGTAATTCAGCAGTAGTCATGATATGTAGCAGAGGTTTGAGTGTAAAAATACCTGCTTACTGATCACAGGACCAAGGTCTGCATCTGGTTCCGTCCCACATGTGACTTTAAGGGCTTTGGCTCTCTCAACGAGTTTATCCTCCCTGGTTAATATTATAAAAGTTACAACTAATCTTTCAATACTATCAAGTAAAAAATCAAAAGACCTCATGCAGCTACTTCAGTTACTTTTAAGGCTAGAACAAAAACAGTAGTTATAGTTAATAAAAGAGTGTTGTCCTATACACCTTAAGGTTGTGGACTTCGGAAACCACAGGAGAGAAAAAGATTAGAGAGCAGGCATGTTTACCCGGAGCAAAATGAATGCATATATAAAATACTCGAGAAGGCTAAATCACAAAGACTATGAGCAATTTGAATATTGAGAAAAGAAAGTTATCAGTACCATGATTTTGAATCTCCAACAAAGACTACTGTACTCAGTGCCATGCATCTCTGTCCAGCAGCACCAAACCCAGCAGCAAGTAGCGCGTTTAAAGTAGCATCAACGTTGGCATCAGGCAAGACAACTCCATGATTTTTCGCCCCCATATTTGACTGAGCAGATATGTTACAAGCAAATTGACGTACGAGACGTTTTGAAATACAAAAAAGAATTTACAGGGGAAGATATGCAAGATGTTACCTGAATACGTTTGCCTTTAGCCGCTGCTCTTGCATATATATGCATTCCGGCCTTTAACAAAACAATTCAATTCGAAATACACAAGTTAAACTAAATCTACCATCATCAGTTCTTGTAAACAGATTGTGAAGTTATAGGGTATAATTTAGCCATCTGTGCAAGTGTGTTAACGTCTTATTCGACAGATGAGCTAATTAATTAACACAGGAAACTGACTAGATGAAAATTTTATAAATGTTCTTCATCATAACTAGTCGAAACACAAACCCAAAATAAAAATACTTACAGTGTTTGAGCCAACAAAAGAAACAGCCCTTATATCCTCGTGATCACAGATAGCATTCACAGTATCCTGAAATGTAAGATGCAGTTATATTAACGACAAAGAACGAAAAGGTAATAGTGCAGACTCTTTACAAATTAAACCATAACTGCAATAGTTCAAATCCTTACAAATAGAAAACATGAGCAAGAGAAGAAACTTAAACACAAACATACATTGGTGCCGTGAACGATATTGAGAACTCCATCAGGTAATCCAGCTTCCATTGCCAACTCAGCAAGCATTACAGAAGCACCTGGTGAAAGCAAGTACTGTCAACAACCGGTTTCACAAATAGCATACCACATCAACAGAAGGGAACTTTATTGATTGTGAAAACAGTCAACCAATAACATTTTATAACATTTAAAAATGTGATAGATCTAAGAGCAATCAGCTCATCACATTGGCCTAGATAGTAAGATCTATGCACACTGGCATCAAGATATGTATATTGAACTTCCGATACATCAACTAAACATCACAGGAGCGTCCATTAGTTACTGAGAAACTTACCAGGATCCTTCTCTGATGGCTTCAGAACAAAGGTATTACCACATGTCACAGCAACGGGAAACATCTGCACTAACAAACACAGAATAAGTACTCAAGACTTCACAGAGGAGAATAAAAAAGAATTACGGAAACATAGAGAAACTAATGTAAAAAGGCTTAAGCATGTTACCCATAAAGGAATCATAGCTGGGAAGTTGAAGGGACAAATGCCAGCACAAACACCAATTGGCTCCCTAACACTATACGTATGACTCCATTCGACACATTAGGCACATATTCACCCATCTGTAGTGTCGCCATTCCACACGCATGCTCCACAACCTCTGTGTGATTACAACAAGTACCCAAAAAAACAGTAGGGTAAGGTTCTTCTCTCCTTGTCAATCATATAATCAAACCTGCAAATAAAAGCTAACCTAGTCCACAGAAGATATCACCATGCGCATCCTTCAAGGTCTTCCTTTGCTCGGTCGTAATGTTCATAGCAAGTTTGTCCTGCAGAAAGATCAAAACTTTCACTCAAAAACATGTCAAAAGCAAAACGAACTAAAACCAAGTAGATCTTTGTCACCATATTTTTGGTATAAGCTCTTGAAACTTCAGCATAACGCGCTGCGGAGTAGTAATCGGTGTGTTTCTCCATGAACGAAACTGCTTGCTTCGCAGCTGATACAGCCGCCTTAAACTCATCGCTTGTTGTTAATGGAACTTGAGAAACAACCTCTTGCGTAGCCTATAGCCAAAAAAATCAAAATCACTTAGTCACAAAAACCATCTCAAACTCTAAAATGTAACACACAGGACTAATAAGAGAGCTTACAGGGTTTATAACATCGATAAACGATGATGATTGAGAGTCAACGAAAGAACCTCCAATCAGATTTTGCACTCTCTGAAACAGAATCAAATCAATATCAACAAGATCATTCCCAATTCCAAAATAATTGAGGAATATTACGAAATCTCACTCACCGGAGGTTTCGGTTGGTGAGTAGACAGCTCCGGCGATGTTGATAATATTCGAATAGGCCTCAAAGGTCTGAGATTGTTCTTAACTGCAAAAACACCGAAACTAGCTTCGATTGTAACGAAGTCTACAGATTTCTGAAACGAGTAAGCAAAAAGAGAATCTAAATTTTACCTTGCTGGAGAGAAATTCGGAGTAACATCTTTTGATTTTTGTTTTTTTGTTGATTGATTTGAGGTTTGGTGAGAGTCGTCTGGTTTCGTTTCCGTTTTCAAAGCGTTTCTATAAGAAATTGAATCTGCTGAGTGAGTGCTGCTGACTCAACTGTTCGATCGGATGTAAAGTTGATGTGGATAGAGACACGATCATCACGATTGATGGCAACGTGGTTTGATATGGACCGTTGGATCTAATACAAAGATTCAAGATCCTTTAGTTTGACTATGACTAGGAGTGAGAACTTTTTTACACTCTAGAATCTAGATACGTTTTTTTTTTTTTTACCAACACAAATCAAGTTAAGTAAAAATTAACACTAATCCACATCATGGACAACTGGACAAGATTTGTTGCATGTTATCAAATCATATATATCAGCTCAAATGTGGGAAGAAAATAACAATTGATATTGCAAAAATACAATTGAAAACTGTGATACGAGCTGGAAATGTTTTTTTTTTTTTTAATTTAAATTATGATATTACTAAACACATTAATAAAGATGTATTTTATTAACCAAGAGTGAAAATGGCTGCTACGAGGCTACGACTAAACCAGAACGGGTTTATTCGACCATGTCTTCATCTGTTTCCATTCTTCGTTTTGGTTGTTGTTGCATTGTCTTCAGAGCATACAGGAATCAAATGAAGCGAAAAAAAAGTAATCATACCTTGACATCTCTCTGCGCAAAATTTATCTAAATACAATTAGTTATCGACCTTTAAAATAAGTCCTATCACGCTTAATTAATATATACCACATGATAATTTCTCTACCTTGGTACATTTGTGGGAAATTCTGCCACAAGTTTAAAATATGGTCTTTCTTTTTTCAGCTTTTCCAAAGGAAAGCTACAACAACAAAACAATAATTAATGGCATAGATCATGGCAGAAAAGTGATTAAAACGACCTTTGTTTGAGAAATAAAGAATTTAAACTCAGTGATTAAAGCTCAATAAATTAACAATTCAAATTTACTTTGGTTCGGATGATGTTGTGTCTCCATCACAGATTAAACCGTTCTTTCTTGATACATCCTATTGGAGAGAAAAGAAACAACACAATGAGATTATATTATTACTTATGGTGTAATATAACTTGGTAGCACAATTTTAGAGTTATTACCAAAACTTATGAAACTTACAATATACCGAATGAATCTGAAGTTCCCAGCGACTAGTGAATTAAAAAACTCCAAAACTTCTCTCTAAAAATATAGTTGAGATTCAACATTCAAAAGTCAGAAGTGTAACATTAAAAATGAGGTACACAGCTGAAACTTTTTTTTTTTTTTTTTAAAAAGACACAGCTGAAACTTGATATGTTCTTATCATTTACCTCCTTTAGAGAACAGTCACGCAATATTAGAGTCTCGAGCAAACTGTTTTTGCAGCTATGTCCCAAATCCCCACCATAAAAAATTTCCATCGTGAGAAATCTTGTTAAATAGGGACGGATGATATATTGTTATCCTTTCACTGTGTATTAAACCATCTACTAAGACAAACCTTGACCTCAAAAAGCTTCCATCAAATCCAAATGTGCGGGATAGATTCATATATTTAAGTTTACGAAATCCCTGCAAAAAAATTTCAATATTTTCTTGTGTTTTGTACAGCTTAATGAAGAGAAAATAAATGTTTTAGAAAAAAAACTAAATGAGCCATACCTTAACAAGAATTCGAGCTATTTGGTCATTTAGATAGAAGTCTTTAAGTGTTAGGGAAGTTAAGTTCGAGCAATTAGTCACAAACGCGTCGATGGTTGATTCTGTTGTAACGCAATCGTCTAATCAACCAATCACAAAGTAGGTAAGCTTGTTAGGGCCATAGGGACAACATTAGGAAATCTCTAAATTGAAAAAAAAATGAAAAAAGAGACATCACCTCCAAAAGAAGTCTCTAAGAAAAGATGCTCTATCAAGCGACATTTTCTCGCGAGTGACTTTAATACCAGCTCTAATGAACCATTACTATCAATGAAAACATAGATCATTGAAAAATATAAGATAAGGTTTTAAAATGGTCTCTGGAGAATCTGATTTGCAGATAAAATTGTAAGGAAAGGTAACAAAATGGAGAATTCATGAGGCAAACTTACAACTCAACAATTTTCAAGTCAAATAGATTTGAGCAGGCTGACAATGAAGTACATAAGGACATCTCGTTCAACCATGTGATACTGTAAAGATGTAAGCTTCTCAAGCGAACCCTAATTAAATGGAGAAAGATGATACCAAACAGTTAGGTTAAATACATACATATGTCATCGAATAACTTGGGGATCAAGCCACAAGGCAATACTATATATAACATACCCAGTAAAACCCATATCAGGGGATAGTGGAGCAAGGCAATAGGCACTAAGCAAAACTGTAGCATATTCATTTTGGTGAGGAGGACGACCAAGTTTAAGGGATCTGCATGCATAAACGAAACAAATGAGGTCATTATATACAACGACTTTAAAAGCAATTAACATAAGAAATAGGAAAAGCAGCCAGTGTAACCTAAGTTCCTTTCCAGCACGTTGGATCATAGTACGTACAACTCCATCATCAGCGTGTGCAAAAGCTGTCGTCAAGTCGATGTGGGAGTAACATAAAGGCTCCATGGCAGATTTGTTGAACATGGTGCAACAAGCAGCAACTTGCATGAGAGACTTTGTATCAAGCATCGAAAAGACCTGATTTGATGCATCATAAACCATAATAATACACGCTCAGATTACTCATAAAACGACACAAGACAATGATGACGTACAGCAGAACCGGAAATGCATAATTTGAGAATTATCAATTATTTATATAAGACATTCTAGAAAATAAAAAGACTATCAATACAATTCAGACATTAATAATGTTGACCCAATAAAAATGTTGTTGACTAGCTAGCACGGAATACTCTTCAGTATATTTAATAATGTTGTTGACCCAATAAAAAAAAGTGAACCATAAATATACTATAGATTCACTACCTTAATCGTGAGGTCGGGAGGGAGGAACCAAGAGATGGAATTGTGGAGTGTGAGCTGCTTCCGTGAGCACCGTTTAGTGGACTCGAGAAGAAGCAAGAGTCGTCGTAGAGTACGATGGATGAGCTGATCCTTAACGTAGTGATTATCATCACAGGGTGAGAGACATTCAAAAAAGAAATTGTTAGAGAACAATGCTGAATCCGGACACGAAAGGAAGGAGAAAATTGTGGACTCCAAGCTGCTTTTGCTGGAGGAGGAGAGAATGAATTCCAAAACCGTAGTCTTATTTTCTTCAGGATCCATCTTTCTTCAAGAAGTGAGAATTATGATTATAGATGCTTAATGCTTTATAAGAGACCAAGGAGTTGGCTCTCAAGTCTTAAGTGGCAAGACTTTTCATATTTTGAATTTTCGCTCATTTTTACAGTTGATTTTTCTTCCTTTTTCTGAGCTCCACACAATCCATATCTTGATTTTTTTTTTTTTTTTTTTTTTTTTTTTTTTTTGACATCAGCTACAATGACGTCACGTTGAATGGCCCTTCCTTGAAAATTCTTATCCGCTTTTGGACTTGTCTTTACAGTGTTTATCTAAAATAAGTGTAAGCTTACACATGAAGATACTAATCATAGATCACATTTTCACCCTCTTGCACTCACATTTTCAAAAATAAAAAATAAATCCGAACTGAACAGTTATATCGATAAATGTTCATTTCCATATTGTTTATAACAAAAATAAAAAGTCTTAAAATTAGTCTCAAACGGCACATCAACTATATATAAACTGTAGAAATGATTCTCATTTCGACATATACAAGTACTCTCAAATGGACACATCCATTTTCTTTTTCTTGTTTCTTTTATCGTCTTCTTAAAATATACTCCCTCCGTTTTTTTTTAATGAATTTTCTAGCCATTATGTGTTGTTTCACAAAGATAAAAATTTTACCTTTTTGATGCACTTTTTCAGTTTTTAAGATACAATGATTATATTTGTTGGATTTTTATTGGTTTAAAATTATAAAAAGTTGTTTTATTGCAGAAATCTATGCACTAATAATTGAAAATCAACTTTTTCTTAATCAGTGTGAAAAAACTAAAAAATTTATCTTAAAAAAACGGAGGAAGTAGTAAATCTTTATGAGATATATCTGGATATGAGTTGTTGGAAAATAATGGGCAATCGCATTGAAACTCTCGCTTTAAACAAGTGTTTGTTTTTTTTTTTAAATCATCATATTAGCCCCCACCTCAAACAAGTTGATAAAGTAAATCTGAACAATGCTTTTAAGGAAACCTTAATATTGCATCTGGGACATAGAAACGAGGTTTGTGTGACATCATATGTAAAAAAAAACACTAAAAAGAACCTTAAAAGCACTAAAATCAAATGAAATAGTTCCATATACCTTCGGTAGCTTATTAATTGAATCCGCAAAGGGGTTCACCGGGCGCGAGTGCTGGTTCGATCATCATGGTCCACTGAACCGACCACTCCACATTTATTGGACTCTACAAAAAAACAATCAATAAGTTGCTATGGCTTCAAAATCATATAGATTTTACACTCTTCTTAGAATTTCACCAAATAGACATAATTAATTCCCCAATAGTCTGAATTTCTTTTCTGGATTATCTGCCTCTTAGAAACAGATGACATGTGGTTCATCGTTGGCATGTGGATCATCGTCGAGAGATGCTCTTAGTTTTTATCTATCACGGCCACATCTTTCTTAAATTTTCTTTTACTCAATGACCGAGGATTGAAGCTGAAGATAATATATATATATATTACTACATTAAATAATCCTAGAATGTCTTCTGTCCTGTCCGACTTTTTAAACCTCAAAAATATCAAAACCGGAAAAGAGACATAAAAATGATGCCATAAAAACTCAAATTAAAAATTGGAATAATAAAGACATCATCGGACAACAGTGCAAGTACAGCGCCAACTCTGCCAAAAGCCAAAGAAAAGAGTTGCCCATTTGTCAATTACATAAAGAGATATTTGATTAAATTACTAAACTACTACAAAAGCATCTCTCGATGATCCACACGTCAATCATCTATTGCATGCTTCAATACCACTTTGCTTCAACGCCCCACGGTTCGTGGGTTATTATATCTGAGAGTCCGAGGATATTTTAAGCTCACGCGCTCGTATCTTGATTTTAACACCACTCGCTCTTCACATGCTCACCAGAATCTTCTCCTCGCGATCTCAGCAAGTTACGAGGTCAAAGATATGACCCAATCAGACTTGCGCATATGGAGGCGAGTACGAAAAGCTAATATACTCGCGAAAATGAGGCTTTATCAAACTACTGATTGTAATAAAACCAGCAGTGGTTTTGTTCTTAATCCGCTCTCTTTGCCATATATACACAAACAGAAAACACAGAAGAGATATCTTTAGAGAAGAAAAAAAAAAAAAAAGAAGCTTCTCCTCTTCCTCTGCCTCCTTTCCTTTTATTGGAAAAACCCTAATCAAGTAAGTCAAATCATCACGAGTACGTATACATGTAATTCGATCCAAGAATATAGGAGAAGTGTAAGAGAGAACAAATCTATTGAAAGTCAAGTTTGAATCAGGAGGATCATTAAGATTAGATCATTTTCGACACTAACGATATACATACTTCTTGATAAATTCGGATGCGGTTTAGATGGGGAGAGGGAAAATAGTTATAAGAAGGATCGATAATTCGACAAGTCGACAAGTGACTTTCTCAAAGAGAAGAAGCGGTTTGCTTAAGAAAGCTAAAGAGTTATCGATTCTCTGTGATGCTGAAGTTGGTGTTATCATTTTCTCTAGCACGGGCAAGCTCTATGACTATGCAAGCAATTCAAGGTCAGCATATTAGTAATGAAAACTATATATCTTCTTCTCTCTTGTTTTTTGCTTTTAAATCCAATTTTTATCTACCCTTTTCCTATTACTAGTCGTGGAAAGTGTAGTAAGAATATGTAGATTAAAATTCTTACTTTTACAATTTTAAGACTAGTAAGAACACGTTCATCAATCACCATTAACAGAAAAAAAAAAAAATGAGAAAGGAACTTCATTAATTTCGTTAAACTTACAACTATTTCCATATAAGTTCATCCAATTAGTCCACATTCAAGCTAATTGTTTACTTCTTTTCGAATATGATTAGTATGAAAAGTATCATCGGGCGGTACAACAAGGTAAAAGAGGAGGAGCATCAACTACTGAACCATGCCTCAGAGCTGAAGGTATTTCATTTTTTTTTTAACATCAATATTCTCTTTTTCTAAAAATAGAATTTATCTCATTAGGATTGATAAAACAGTACCTTTAATTACAGTTTTAAGGTTTTTGAATGAAAATGAATCTTAAACGGAAGATTAGTAACAGCATCTACATTGATCATATACATGATTAAGGCAGCTGACAAATTTTTTGATGTACTGATGCTTTCAAATGTATTTGTGCTATATAGAATCTTCTTCATATCAGTAACTAGTAAATACAAAAATGGAATTGTATCCATCATTTTTTTGGAGAAAAAAACATGTAGTTTAGTTGAAACAAGTAAGATTGTAATTTTGAGGGTGCTATCACAGTAACTAAATATTTACCACAGAGAAAGTTTTTCTTATCACAGAAATTTGTTATGCCCCAGTGCCTTTTTTACGGATTTTATCTTTGTTATTTCATTCGAAACCGGCTTTGATGCTTTGTAATATCATGAAATATACGACTTATGTGGCATATTTGTTATGAGCCTCCTTTAATAAATCCATATGTATCAACATCATTAGTTTTCTCTTTATGTTCAGTTTTGGCAAAGAGAGGTTGCGAGTTTGCATCAACAGCTCCATTATCTACAAGAATGCCACAGGTAAGAGCTCGTCGTCCCATTGAAAGGAAACAGATAACGATGATTTATGTGAGAAATAGAGAAAATTTGGCTCACTTTCGACTACAAGAAAAAGCACTGTTTAAAACTTGCAAGCGACAATCAACAGAACTTCACAAAAGTAGGGCTTGTTAAATTTCACTCCAAAAGGACCATAACATTATTTTTAATTTATAACAAAATGCAGGAAACTGATCGGAGAAGAGCTTTCTGGAATGAATGCTAACGATCTACAAAATCTTGAAGACCAACTAGAAACAAGTCTAAAAGGTGTTCGTCTAAAAAAGGTACGCACGTATGCATCTACTTCTTGAAAAAAGGTACATTAATTGCCACATTACTTGGAAAAATTACTGGTACATGAACTTTGATAGTGGTTATCGTTGGCATATATAGTTTCTATACTTTTTTTGTTTCTCTTTCTGCAGGACCAACTTTTGACGGACGAAATCAGAGAACTCAATCGTAAGGTTTGTTAGCTAAAATAACCAATATACTCGTTTGCGAGGGATGATAAGAAAACTGGCATATTTTCCTTTGTTTTTTTATTTTATTTTGTTTAATTCCTACAACTTCAAACCAACCATGCTTGATTGATTGATTCTATTACAGGGACAAATCATCAAAAAGGAGAATCAAGAGCTACATAGTATGGCAGATATGATGCGTAAAGAAAATGTTAAACTGCAAAAGAAGGTGATACAAATAATTTTATGTAGATATATAAAGACAAAAAATCAGTCCCATAGAAATATTAATTCGTGCGTATGAAGTATGAACACATAGAAAAACTTTTAATGTCAGGTTCATGGAAACATAAATGCGATTGAAGGCGATACAAGTGTACATCGTATAAGCAATGGGAACGAAACATATGCACCACAGCAACTTCAACTCATACAACTGCAACCTGCTAGAGAAAAATAACTGGGGTATGCTTTCTTACTTTTGCCCACTATATATTTAAACTTATTTATGCTTATATTTACATAGAATATGTCTGAATATTGTTGTTTTTATAAAGTATGTCTGAATATTTGAACCAGGCTACACCTTCCCTAGCAAAAAAAAATGTTACATAACGATCGATATACGAAAAGAAGTCGTCTCTTTGTCAACTACTTTATGGAGTTTGTATGATTCTATATGATATGTCTCTCTTTCTCAATTAATTGCTTTTTGAATGAAGTTATTTGACTATGTACATCAAGAAATAATGTTGTAATGTGAGTGCCAAACATACTAGACATTATTTTATCCTTTTCATTTCCATTTGGTTATGTCAAATTAACAAAATCTAAGAAAGTTGACATTTTGTACAAAGTTAGTATCTACTAAAATTAAAATTGAAAAAATCACATGAAGTATCTTAATCATGGATAATGCTCATGAATCAAGACATGAACAAGTTTGTCTTTATTGAGGATGATCATGAAAATCTAGAGACGATAATTTTATTTATGTTATTTGTCAAATGTAAACTCATAAATATTTTAACCATTAATTAGCGCCCATAGGAATGGCGCGTGCAACGCCTACGTTACATAGTTTTGACACAGGCCAAACTTATTAAACCACATGCCACAGTTTTTCTTTCTTTATACTTATCAATCCTGCGGCTCCCACAGAAAACTACTCTCCTCCATCATTTATTTATTGCATGTCTATCTTTAATCTGTCCCATAGCTATTATTTGTATACATCTATATATTGACGCATACATCCACTCTCCAAAATCCAGATTGAAACTAATCACAAGTCTTTAACCAAGAAAAAAAAGGAGCTAGAGCTAATCACAAGTTCATCAATTTTAAGATCTCCTAAGCCAACAATGGCGCCATCGGCTGCAATGCTCATACTCTCACATCCTCTAATAAGCCACAAAACGAAAAATCAATCTCCACCATCGTCAGCAGAACTTAAATGCACACGTGCCTTCGATCTTCTTTTGCCATGGAAGTTATCCGAGCGTGAGGATCGTTCCGCGGTTGGTCTCGGCCGGCTCTCTGTAGATCCGGCCATAATGGAGAAGCGTTTCCAACAAGCTCTTGAACTTAGCTGCTGGTGATAATTAGTACAAAATTGTGGTAATGGGTTTTCCTTTTAGTTTTCTCTTTTCCTGTAATTAAATCTTTTTTTTATTATCTTGGAAGTGGAAGTTATGTAAAGTTCAAAAGTTGAACATGTAAAAAAAAATTATCCTCTTAATTACTGTGCCCGTAGATTATGATTTTCACCAAGTTTCACCTAAAGATTGATCAAGTTGTGAGAAACTGTGAATTATACAAACTGATTTTTACCCCAAAAAACAAAAAGTATTCCATCATACATAAAAGATAACAAAGGCCACACTTATTTCAACAGCATATAGTATTCCATCATCTTCAAAGGCGGATCTTTTTGACGAACAAAGAAATGATATACTCCTTTATTTTTCCTTTGGGATTGTTATATTGATCATCACTTGCACTGCAAGTGAAATTCACGGCGCGTGCTATACCGAGAGCCACATTCCATACTCTGCGTGGTACAATGATGTTCTTCAAGATTTCCTCGTTTAGGATCTTATCAGCTTCTGTAATCATTTTTCTAAGCTCTCTAATGGCCTCCTTTTCGGTGACACCATATTGATTCATATAACAATTTATCCCATTAGAGACATATCCTCTATCCATGTCATCCTACTCAAGTCACATGTAAGTTGGTATAGACTAAAAGGATTAATAGGAGCTATATGATTAAAGAGACTTTTATCAGGAATATAAGACAAGCTTAATGTCTTTGTACGTACCTTGAAGCCGATTATGTCATTCATTAGACGCGCTTTTATACCTAACGTTCGTACGAGTTTAGGTTTGGATTTGAACCAGTCATAAGCTTCATGAGTAGGAATCTGTTTCATTCCCATTAAAATAGCTGCCATAGACGTACATACAGTATGCTCACCCTCAGCAATCTCCAGGTAATCCTCAAAACTTGGCACATGACTCGCTTGTGCCCATTTGGCTAGGTTTAGGCTTCCTTTCAAAAGTGCCTTGAACTGCAAGCAAGAAGTTATAAGCTACAACTAAAAGTAACTAAGAAGTGTGCTATGTGTATGTATTACGAATCTGATCGATTTACAAATTAAAGAAGAGTTTGGTTGGTTACCTCTTCTAGTGTAGGTTTCATACTGTCAGACCCAAATTCACTTTCAAAATCTTTAAAAGTCTCCATTATAAATTTAAAGATGAATTTGCAGTAATCTGGTTGTTTATCCATTGCATCATCAGGATCCAACCTGTCATGAGATATTGATCAATAGTTAAACAAAATGGCCAACAAAACATATATAAAGATTGTTAAGTGTACCTTTCCAAGCTATCAGTAAGGCTTTCAGCGTCATGAATAGAGGCATATCTATCATACGTATCATCTATAATTGTCATTAGCGCGTAGAACTTAGTGATCATAATCCTCGCGCGTGAGGACTGTGGCTCAAAGAACATCGCTGGCATAAAGAAATGCATCTCCACGATTCTGTCTCTGTAGAAAGGCGGCAAATTCGATGCAAAGTCCATGTCTTTGTTCCACCTTGCATCCAAACAAACACACATTAGAACTGTCTTCTTTCATGCATGAAAATGCACATAAATTAAAACAAGAAAAAAAACAAAAACAAAAAATACTAAAAAAGTAATGAGGAGATTCACATACTTTGTAAGAATTTCAAGTTCTTGTTGGTAATGGAGCTGTAGGAAATTGAAATTGAGTTTTGAAAACTTGAGTAGCACCTCATCATGATCAACTTCTTGTTCGTAGAACCGGATAAATTCCACTACAACTACCAGCTCTAAGTTCCGATGCTGAGATATATGTAGAGCATTTTCAATTTGCCTTGACATATGAAATGGAAGATTCCCACCTCCAGATAACTTCTTCAAGTGGCTCGAGGCAAAACTCAATGCTTCATCCATTATGGACTCTGTTCTTGTCCCCAAGTGTGCGGCCTCATACAAACTCAGCATACCTTTCACATTCCCGACAAGGGATTCCTTGAACTTGCCATTGTTCCCTTGGAATCTTTTAAACACATCTGTTGGTCAAAGGAGAGCATCTTGTCATATATATATGCTTATGAATCATACTTAAAAATAAAAATTTGCAAAAAGACATTGATCTTGACAAGATTACCGGAAGACATGTTGTGACCGTATGTCCTGAAAACCCAAAAAATGATGGAAACTTTGTACAAATCATCTTCACCGATCATCATATCATCTACCTTTTAAAATCTTGTTCAAGATTATCCTCAATTTCGTCTTCAAATTGATAAGCTAGGCCTAGGCTTACTAGCAAATATATGAATAGTACTCTTGTCTTGGACTCCTCTATTCCTTGGGAACGAGACATGAAGGTTTCTCTCACTTTTGACTTTAGTGTCTCAAAATCTCTCTCTAGCGCATTCATTTCCTGAAAATAAGATACGTACACATGTGTTAATCTCCTAAACAAATAAGTATATATATACATAAACTCTATATATCACATTTCATCAATTTCAGATTAAATGTTGTTCTTAAGATTAAAATTAAGTATCGTTTCAGATTTTTAATTCAGAATTTTAAACAAAAATCAGTTTTAAATATTTATACGGTATGAACAAAGGATATGATAGAAATTTAAATGTTATTTACTAAATGTGAAAAAATACTTAAAACGATATTAAAACTGAAAATAATATAATCAGAGACTCACTGAGACATCATCGGAAAGAGAGAGAAAGAGATCTCCCCATTGAGAAGGTGAAAGGTATGCTGAGTTTGTATGAGGCCGCACACTTGTGCGACTACTTTCTGGATCAACAAAAGTGTGTGTAGGAGGAGTTGCCTTCAAACGAACAAGCTTACCAGGCTTAGACGACGTCCGTAGAGAGCGAGAGAGTTTGCTTTCCCAAGTTGAGTTCGTACGGGAACGAAGAGAGAACTGAGATCCAAATGTCGGTCCAAAACTCGTGATGGCTTCCATGGTCGCCTATCAAAAGATGATTGTTTCCTTTTCTGGTTTACTATGTGAAGCTGCTCTATGTATATATATTGATCTTTTGATTTGGTTGGTATGCTGAGTTAGTGGTCCATATATATATATATACATATTTTAAAGCTATGCCGAGTTAGAGGTATGAACATGTATAAAATATGTTATAGATTTTATTGATTATTATAAACTTGATTTCATTCCTAAAGGCCAACAAAATCATTTAAAAAAAAAAAGTTTGTGGAGCTACACCACCTGAAATATGAATATATATTTTGTTGGTGATTTTTTATTTATTTGGTTGATATGATTTACTGTCGCAAAGATACACACCTTGATTTTAATACTTTAACTATGATTGGTAACCAGCACATTTTTGTATTTATTTGTTTATTAAGTCATTTCAGTCACACCCAATCTATAATCGAATGCGGTACAAGCAAACCGAACGGTACAGTATAAAATGCGGTTTGGTACTGTACCGTTCGGTTTGCCAATAGAGAACCAAAATGTTGAATAAACGAAAAGACTAGACTTTGACACTACTAGATCCATGATCGGAGGAGTTTCAGTCATCTCTTTCTTAACCACTTAACATTTCTCGAATCATTGGAGCAGCTAAAATGGACTCGTCGGAGATCGAAGTAGTGCCTCTAGATTCAAATTCTCACCAAAACCTCACCGAATCGCCAGCCATCACAGACGTCTTCTCCGCCTCTGCCTACGGCGATCTCCACCAGCTCAGACACTTCGTCGAACTTAACAATTCTTCCGTTTCTCTTCCCGACACTAACGGCTACTACGCTCTCCAATGGGCTGCGCTTAACAATTCCCTCGACGTTGCTCAATACATCATCGAGGTATACGTTACACACTAAGCTCGTTGCTGAAAAAAACTGGTCTGTTTCTGGGGACAATTTTCTGAGATTGGATCAATTTTCTCGGATTCTCTTTTGTTACTGTGAAGCTATATTGCCCTTGTGATCAAAGCTGTTAAATTTTATCTTTGTGAGGTTAGTATCTGTGTAGTAAAGGATTTTATTCATATCTCTGCAGCACGGAAGTGATGTTAACGCAGCTGATAACATACAGCAGACACCGTTGCATTGGGCAGCTGTAAAAGGCTCCATTGGTGTTGCAGATCTTCTACTGCAAAACGGAGCTCGAATTGAAGCCGCTGATGTGAATGGATTCAGGGTAAATAAATCATTTATCTTTAGTGGAGACTAATGCTTAGTGTTGTCAAAATTAGTGTGAAATGGATCATAATTTATAAGCTTTTTTGATGCTAGTTGCTTCCCTTAGCTCATATATTCTGGATTAGCGGCTCACGAATCGAATAAGCTATTTCGCTATCTTACAACATTGTTTTGTGTGTAGGCAGTGCATATTGCTTCTCAATATGGACAGACAGCCTTCTTGAATCACATTATTGTGGACTATTCAGCTGACTTCAACGCATTAGATCATGGAGGGAGGAGTCCGTTACATTGGTATGGCTACTGAATAAATTAATGGATTCATAGAGTTATTGTATTGCCTTTGACACTTCTTAATTAGTTTGGAAGTGCGTGGACTAGTTCTTGACACCATGTTTTTTATTTTCACTTGATACTCTGTTGCTTATCATTTGACAATTCAGGAGAACTGTTGTGAACTTTATATTTTTTTTCTTGTTTGTATGACTCAGGGCTGCTTTCAATGGATTCACAGAAACAATCCGGTTACTTCTCTTCCGGGATGCATGTCAAAATAGACAAGACCACGCAGGCAATCCGAAAACTCTTATTACTTTCTCTTAACTGTAGATATGACTTCCTCTGATCTATGATTGATATCTTCCTGTGTTTCTGCTTAATTACACTTATCTTAGATCTATAAACCTTGTTCTACCCTATGATATGTAAATATGAGTGCAAAAACGGATAATATGATTGCTGGTAGATTTGTATATGAAGGACTTGTTATAGCATTCGATACTTTTTTGAACTTGCGAAAAGTGGACAGTGCTGATACCCGATGTATGTTTGTACTGTATTTTGGACCCAGAATTCTTACATTATTGGCTTTTCTGGTCAGGCTGCACTCCATTGCACTGGGCCGTGATTAAGGAAAATGTTGAGGCTTGTGCTCTGCTAGTTCATGCTGGAACGAAGGAGGAACTGACATTGAAAGATAACGCTGGAGCCACGCCACTTAAACTTGCAACTGATAAAGGTCACAGGCAGCTCGTTCTTTTCCTAGTACGTAATGTTTAGTGTTGCTTGCTACCTTTCTAACATTTCTGGATGTTTCTTGTTCTAGGATAATGTTTCTTGTTCTTGGTTATTCAGATTAAGATTTTCGAAATTCGATTTGCATACTAGCTCTCTCCTTGAATCAAATTATCTCCCTCTTATTTCATTAGGTGACAGTAGGCATTAGACATTAGTGTTCACAATATAAAAGATGGCTTGATAATTTGCGGTACACTTTGTTCAATATTATTTGCAGCGAATGTTGTTTTTTTTTAATAATTTGTTCCCGTTTGATATGATGTGTTTTCTGAGAATTCGTTTTTTTAAATATATTTTTCAGGCGAAGGCAATGAAGGCTCATAGTAGTAATAGCATTGTGGACAAGATCTTCTGTGGAAAATTAGGAGAGTCAAGCTATGCTCCTATGTTGTACTCCTTAATAGTCATTCTTATGATCCTCTTCTTCACGTCCGTTGTTGCAGGTGAGTAACTCATGCAACGAAATGACTAGTGTGTGTGAGTTTTCACTAATGACTAGTATATGATTCTCTCTGACATTTTGCGATTTTATACATTTATGCAGCTTCTAATCTCCCAAGAATAACTGCTATGGTTGGACTGTGGGCATGTTTTGGTCTTTCAACTGGCGTTTGCTCACTGATAGTTTTCCATCGTTGTAGCAGGTATCCTAACTGTAATACTAATACTACTCTCATTCAGAAATGAGGGAGGCATGCGAGTGTGTAACTGTCATGTACTTTTTTGTGTCTCTGAGAGTGATTAATTAGGTATTTGTTTTGTACAGCAAAGATCCTGGATATGTTAAAAGAACCAATGAAGTTGACGGTGATCAGTCTGCAAAAGTAAGTTGAATTTCCTTCTCATGTTTCTATGTAAAGAGAAATGCAGTGTGCAATCTGAATTGAGGTTATGCCTACACATACCAAATCAGTGTTGCTTAAGTTTTTCGTCTGAAACATGTTGAACTATGCCTGATTTAAGTAGAGACGCCAGTTATTTTATCAATCTAACAGTCATAAGGTGTCGTTGTGAAATATTTGATTCACTATCTTTTGATGTTTTCAGGATCCTTTGATGGATATCAATTTCAACAACCCATCATGGAAAGGAAACTGGTCCCAACTCTGCCCAACTTGCAAGGTTTTCCTCACGATCCATTTTTTTAATGTTTGGGGGAAAAAAACTGGCATTTGCTTTGTTCTAACGACAATTATCACATTTCCCTCTAGATAATTAGACCGGTGCGATCTAAGCACTGTCCCACCTGTAAGCGCTGCGTTGAGCAGTTCGACCATCACTGCCCCTGGATTAACAACTGTGTTGGCAAGGTAAGAGTTCATTACATTATGAGTCTCTCTGACTTGTCGAGCTGCAAAGTAATGGGGAGTGATATTGTAATGAGATGAAACATCCTCTTATGCTTATACCATTACTCATCTCGCAGAAGAATAAACGCGACTTCTTACTCTTTGTGATCCTGGGAGCTGTAACATCGTTCGTCGGTGGCACAACCGCTGTTCAAAGTATGCGACTGAAACAACTGTATCTCTCGATATTGCCATTAGATTAATGTTCGACTATAAAGCGTCTGTTTCTTTCTGCAACAGGAATATGGTTAAGCATCCCACATTTGCACCGCAGAGAATCATGGTTTCAACACTTAGTCGCTGAACATCCAGGTGCTGCTGTGTTCCTGTTTTTCGACTTGCTTATTTTCACTGCGACAATGACGTTGACAATCTCACAGGCCTATATGGTTAGCTAAAGTTTCAGCTAATGCAAACAGTCTGCTCTCTCCTCTCTGCAAAATGATTGTATAACAGTTGTTGTTCTTTGCTGCAGATAGCTAGGAACATTACGACCAACGAGTTATGGAACGCGAAAAGATTCAGTTATCTGCAGGGGCCTGATGGGAGATTCTACAACCCTTATAACCACGGCTGGTTACGGAACTGCTCTGATTTCTTGGTTCGTGGTTACACCAGAGACGACGAGGTTGTCCCGTCTTCAATTCTCTGAATTACATTACACATCTCTTGGTCTCATATTGTTACAATGACACCTTGAATTTTTGGGGGTATAAAAACGTCTATAAAAACAAACTTTTGGTTTCCGTTAATAACATTGTGATTGTGAAATGCTCATGTGCATGTGAATATGCAGTAACAAATTTAGAAATGTGAACATAGTCACTAAGAAACGAACATTCGATCAAATACTTAATACTTTCATCCTGCGAATGCTTTCATCTTTTCATTGGCAACCACAAGCTCTGCTGCTATTCCAGGCTCATTCGCTGAGTGTCCAGCATCATCAACAATCTGCAGACAGCAACTGGTCACATTACCAATTTACAAAAGATCTTGAGGAAATTTTGGAAAAGATTTCAGCTTACTTTGAGGTCTGCCTCTGGCCATGCTTTGTGCAGATCCCAAGCAGACATCATAGGACAGCATACGTCATACCTTCCCTGTCCAAAGGAATAATGCAGAGACAGTTAAATACATTGTTTCTCAATCCATATATAACGTATAGTAGCACATCCGCATACATATACATATCAGCTTCTACAACATGGGATGTACCTGAACAATGGTGGTCTTGATATGTCTTATTTTATCAACATTGTCCAGCAAGTATGAGTCCGAGGTAAAGAAACCGTTGTTAACAAAGTAGTGGTTTTCAATCCTTGCAAAGGCCTGCGGAGCAAAGTCAAAAGGGTTGTAAAGAAATCATTTTAAAGATTTAACAGATGATATAACAACAGATTAATGAATCCAAAGGTAAAGACTAACCAATGAAAACTTATCATCTTCTGCCTTTTGAATGTTTTCATCGTTTGGACGAAGATGAGCAGTCATCATTTCCCATTTTGTCCAGGATCTTGCAGCTGCATACTGTAAAACCAAAATGCAATTATTACAAAAAGGATGAGAGTTCAATTGCTTCAACTTCTGAAAGCGAACGACGCTCAATGACTTTTCTCGTTAGATCTCAACATACTTGAGTTTCCGGGTGATCAGAATTGAGTCTTTTGTGATATGCGTCCACAAGGCAACCTCTCTCGCTTTCAGGAATAAAATCTCTGAACTCCTCCCAAGCTTTTCAAACACACAGAAACAAACACTTATCAAGAAGAGATCAAATGGAAGATATTGAGCCAAACTCTACTAAACTTTGCTCATAAAACTCTAGTCTCACTATCACCAACGCTTAAGTACAAATGTCTACAAACGCAAACGATGGTAACCAATTCAAAGAAGCTGCAATATCATTAAAAAAACAAAACATAACTCCAAACACAGGGATACAAGAAAGAGAATTACCATCAGGGTAAATAGCAGCAGCACCACCTTCATAAAACCAATCAATCTCCTTCTTTCTCAACAAAAAGATCCCTCTAAGGACCAAACCAGTAACCTTGCACCCAAAAAAAAGGTGTAAAAGTTAGTTTCTTCAAATTAAAACTACAAAAGGAATCTCTACCCTCGACTATACAATTAGATTTGCTATCAAAGTCTAGATTTTTCTCAGATGTTAGACTGTAAACATCACAATTTGCACCTTATCAGGGTGTGACTGACTGTAAGCAAGTGCTAAAGTGCTTCCCCATGATCCACCAAAAACCTACACAAACAGAGAAAGAAGAAAAAGTTCACACTCTTATGCAAATTTACATCTCAACAACAGCAGCAACATGAGACAGCAAATATCTGCTACTCTTTTCACCTGCCATTCAGGAATTTTCAAATGTTCTCTAAGTTTCTCAATATCATTCACAAGGTCCCATGTGGTGTTCTCCTCCAAGCAAGCATGCGGCGTACTCTTCCCCGCACCTCTCTAGACGAGAAAACAGAGAAAGAGAGGTTAACAAAACAAGTTGGATCAATGTAATGCAATGTCTACAAAAATTCAAGAAACTGACCTGATCAAACAGAACAATCCGATAAAACTCGGGATCAAAGAATCTCCTGTTACCAGGAGATGTTCCTCCTCCTGGCCCTCCATGAAGAAACACAACTGGCTGCAAAGTTCAAGATCAAAATGAAACAGTAAGAGAAACATCCGAGAGCAACATCAGAGCTCCAAGATTAAAATATCCACAAAACTAACTGATTAGCGTACATGTCCATCAGGTTTTCCTGATTGTTCCCAGTAGATTGTGTGAATATCTGAAACTTTTAGAATTCCGTTGTTGTATGGCTCAATGGGAGGATAAATGGTTCTCTTCTTCACCAAAGCTTCTCCTCCAGATTCCATTATCTCACTCTGCAACAGCTCACTCTTCCTGCAAATAACCGGAATCTGGCGTTTTCTCACTGTGAAATTTAAAGAAAGCCAATTTCAGATCATCAGCATAATTGTTAAGAGTAAAGGTCAAAGCTTTAATCGTAAAACTAGTTGAATCGGTTTTTGTTTACTAATAAGCATAAAAAAAAAAAAATCATGATTTGCAGAAACACTGTGAGATGTGTAAGATATAAGGATCATGAATTCGATTGATGAACAAATGACCACAAAATCCATATATGTTCAGAGAGAGAGAGAGAGAGAGCAAAACCTGGGAGTGAGAGATTGAGATTGTTATGGGTTGGTGGAAACAATCGAACGCAAGAGAAAGGGGACAAAGGAGGCGATGGAAGTAAATAACTGTGAGAGATGATGATGAGTCCTAATTTCATAGCAGTGAGAGAAAAAATTGGTAAGGAAATTGAAATTGAAAAATCAAACCAAACCAATTTTGGTTTTCCTTTTACAAAAATGGCCAGTGAATCAGTGATAATCCCTTGTTACGTAATTTGTGCCGATTTGGAAGGATTGTGACATGGCATCTGTCGATGACTGTAACATATGATTGAGACAAATCTTTTGGTTCTGTTTTTCTTTTTCATAATCTATCGTCCCATATGATTTCATGAAGGAGCTTGGTGGGTTTGAAATAATCATTCATTATAATATAATATAATTATTTTTTTATTTTTTCAAATTGAAATAATTTTGCCAGATATCAAAATATGCGATCACAATTATATTTAACAAAATCTTGAATGGATCACATCACTGTAAAATACTTATATAGTAGTGTAACAAAGATCCATTCATGTCCAAGCGAAAAACAACACACCTCCACAGAGACAAGGCCATTTCCTCACTGACACTGATAAAAAGGATTCCAAACCAAATCAAACTCATAATTTGAAAACATGGTATCTGTTTCTACTAAATCCCATGCAAAAAGGCACTCTTCTTTTTGTGTGAGAAAAAAGAAGGAAAAAACACGAAAAAGAGAAAACCCTCCCAAAAAAAACAAACATAGAGATGAGAAAGAGTTTGGGAGGGGTAAAAAGACCTTGTAGAGGTGAAAATTTACGAGAGTTTCCAACTTGTAGATATATTCATCATAACATTTTTAGAGTTTATTTTATCGAGTTCCTTAGACGAGATTGGCTTTCGTAAACGCGTCGAGGCTTGATTTGATGCTCGTGGCCACATCCTTTGTTGTCATGTTGAATCCCTCACCCATCTGTATTTGAGATTAACTTCAGTCATCTTTTTTTTCACATATATATGTTCTTTATTTTTAACATTGTCACCAACAAAATTCTACCCATATCCCATATATTGATATAACTATTTTCAATAATTTAAACTGGTTGTAAGAAGAAGAAAGAAAAAACGGGTTATTCAACAGAGAGTGGCTAAGAAAATTGACTCGGAAAGTTTAAATTATATGAAAAGGAAAATAATTGTTTGCTATGAAGTATGAACAGAAGTTGTTGTGGTATGAAACCAATAATGAATTTGACCATAATGGGTTGAAATGTTCCGATATACCCAAAGAAAATGAGAAAAGAGTCTACATATTTCATTGTATATTACTCTTAAGAAAAGGTTTTATAGTGAAACTATAGGCAAGATTTGGTTGTAATTTGTCAATCAATTCAAAAAAATGAAACAACCTAAAGCTTTAATAAAGAAAACAGAAAAAGGGTAAAACTAACCTGAGAAATAATGGTGAGATGAAGAGAATTCGATCCAAAAGTGATGACACTGCTATTTATCACTGCCAATTTAAGCTTCTCAATCTCAGCCATAGTGATCTCCACAATCCCTTTCCACTTTTCACAGTGAACTCTTATCAGAACATTTTTACCGGACAATCTAGCTTCGATCTCCGGTAACGCAATAGAATCATACTCTGTGTCCACCGTGGAGAGCCTCGACCTGTTTACAATTACTACCGATTCAATGGTTTTCTGGCTGGCTTGCTCCTCAAGAAACTTAACCCTATCTTGCAAATGTTTCAGGTACTTGATTGTGCCCCCAAGCACTGACGCCTTGTCCGTCTACAAGCCCAATTATAACATCAAGAAACATCAATGCGTCAAATTGACAATGAATTATGAATCTACTAAGGTGATGCCAACGAATAATGAAAATATGTTTGCACCTTCCTGAGGCCAGGGATGAGGGTAGACAAAGCAATGAAGCGTTGAGTCAGCTTCTCTCTGCGTCTACGTTCAGCGATTATATGGTCTCTCGCTTGTGAAACACCACGTGACACGTTCCTCTGAGCCAATAGAGTAGACTCTTGCTTGGGCTGCAAGTTTCCCATAGCCACATAATTACCAAAACCGTTTGAGCTTTGGTTCGTAGTAGTAGTCATGTAGCTTCTGTGTTTGAGTTGTTTCGCTTCTTCTGCGTCCAAAGCGGTTACTAGCGGAGACTGATGATTGTAGAGCTGCGGATCCATGGTTTGTAGAGATGGTAAGGAGAGAAGATTGTTAAGCTCTTCGGGTGTAGAAAAGTTCATCATCATCTGCCACTGCTGCACAATGCAAAAACTTTCCTTACTCTTAATGCTGATCTGAAACAGTAAAAGTTAGCTATACGATGGAGAAAGTTAAGCAAAGCAGGAAAGCTTACAAGTTGATTAATCTCAGAGTTGCATGAAATGTCCATCGGAGACAACGCTATCTGAAAAGATGGAGCTAATATCCTTGAGTCTTGCTTTACGTATATTGTATATATATATATATATATACAGTATGAAACTTCCAACAAAGTCGGAGATAGAGAACCGAGTAGGACATTCTTCATAAGTGCATGGTTTTCAAAACAAAAAGTCAATGTGAAAGGAATTATAATGTGTATATGAATAATTAGACCGACATTTTTTTGTTTCTATCTGACCAGCTGGTTGGTGAAGGTTTTGTTTGAAGATGTTTGGTAAGAATAGACGAAAAAAAGAAGTATAAATAAGAATTTATTTTTTACAAGCATAATTGTCTCTTTGTAATATTAGGGCATTAACTGGCCAGTATTCTTAGACTACTAGTATTCTTAAAAAAAAAAGTCAAAGTTTAGTTGGTTTGTAAGTAATTTATAAACCTACCTTTTTGAAACTCTTGAATTATTAGGCATATGTAATCGATACGTTGGCATATACGTATGCAACAACGGATTATTGTCAAGTTATGAATCCTCCTAATGACGTCACATCCTTGTAAAGTTATAATATACTATTAACATTTTTCCCCATGTGAGTAATCCCATAATATTAAGTCAGTTACGAGCTTCTGTTTTAAGTCAGAAACTAAAAAAATGCAAATAAGGGTAATCAAAGTCAAACAACCAAAAGACAAGAAGTCCAAAACATAGGTCGGAGAGATATAAAATTTGAACGAAAAGATTAAATTCTTATTTCCGGAATACATAATCACATCGTCGCATATTTCCGAACAATGAGCCAATCACATTCCCCCGCGCGTCCGCCGTGAATTTGACCGGAATATCGCCGCAAGACACCATCAAGAAACCATGTGCATTATATGCCTTCAATCGGGCGGCAATCTCCACCCCATAGTCCCAAATCACGCTGCCGATAACTCCCGGCGTCACCACCTTTTTGAAATCGACAGTTGTAGCCGGCCAATCCGTTTTGTTGGACGTAAATGGTTTCCCGAAATCATCCAACGACGGAGATGCCTCGGAGATAACCTTGTCGCCACGAAGGAGACGCCATGTGACTGCATCGAGAGAGATGTTGCATCCGGTTACTGGACTCTTCGGAATCAAAACGACTCTCCAATCAGCTGTTGAAACGTTTCCGTTCGTGGCGTTTGTGACGGAGACGGAGTGAGCAAAGAGCTCCACGTAACAATCATTTATTCCCTCGATACGAGAGAAGAGAGGAACAAGCCAGCATAATAAAATGCTAACCAAGTACCAAACGCAGCAATCTGCTGGATACATTTCGTCGGGTTGATCGTCTTTGCCGCCGGAAACGGTGGTTGAAGTTTGCCGTGGCATGTTAGAATTCTTAACACTTTGTGAAAATATCAACTTAGTTAAGGCTTTAATTTATATAAGATTTTTGATTTATTTCTGTAAGGTCTTTCCCCCTATTATTGTAGTAATATTAATTCTTCTGTTGATGATTATCTCACAGCAACTCTAAGGGAACTTATCTTGTTTATCTATTTTAATTATTAGTATAATAAATTTACCTAGTTCTTTTTTTTTAAAATACTTTTTGAAAGGAACTTTTAACCCTTTGTGAAAGGATCAAATTATGTTCCATTTGTTGGTAAGGATCCAAAAGCAAATTTAAGGAAATTTGTCTTGTTTATCTAGCTACTTTAATTATCTTATTAGTTATAATTAATTAAGAACTAGTTTAAGTTAGAATGCCTGTGTTTTAATTGTGTTGGTTTTCAAAACCAAAAAGGGTAACATGTCAAGAAAAAAAAGATAACATGATTTAGCAAAATGATCATAAATTATATCAAATTTTTAATTGATATATTTAATTTGATTAGATATTTTTAATACTATAAATTTCAAATTCATAAATTACATTGAAGTTATAAAAATATATAGTATCTACTCTGCATTAAATAAAATCTACATATCATACAAATACTTTTATCTAATATAAATAGTTTGTTGAATGATATGTAGATTTTATTTTTGTAATTATTCTCATCAATTCATAATTTGCTATAAAAAATACTATCATAGACGACAAAAAAAAAAATTCAAATTTAAATTAAAATCATAATATAAAATACAAAAATTATGTTTCTACTATTTAGAGAACAAAAATTATTCTTATATTTTCATTCTGCACACGATACATCAGCCATCTAGTTATTAATATAAAGATTTATAGATGTTTGGTTGGCCGCACCGTGTTAATATACATTTAATGAATAAAAAAATTGTAATAAAAAAGAACATAAATAAACATTTCTTTACATTAATAGTTATTTGGTTTAAAGTGAAAATTAGATTCTCACTACTTATCGAAATTTAATTAATCACGAGCCTTCGAAATTGATTTTTGTTTAACTTGTTTTCCTAATAAATCTAGCGTAGACAGGTTAGAAAGAAGTGATATGTGAATGTATGGGAAGGAGAAGAAAATAAACTCCATGTACTAATTATTATTTTCATTATTTTGACTAATTAATAAAAGAAATACAACAAAAGGTGCCAATAAACACTGTATCTTATATGTTTAAAAAACAGAGCATTTGTCATATCAGTACAAATCATTTGAAATCATCTCAAATACTCCTCAATTATCTTGAATACACCTCAATTATCCTCACTCTTGTCACTAATTCTCCCTTTTTCTGTTATTATATGTAACTTCTTCAATTCGGTAAAATAGGATTGGCATATAATCTTCTCATCTAGGCCTCGAGTCAGATTTTTGCACCGTATATTAATGTGTCCAGCTTCATCAAAATTTACGTAACGCTTATGCTCCGCCCTGAGTTTGATATCAAGCTCTTCTGAAACGACGACGCTTCGATTTCCCTCCTCAGCAACGAAGAACAACGAGAAAGCTGCTCTGTGTTGATCTCTACAATCATCAAGACTCCGAGTGATGTTTAAACAGGCGACGTTTCGAGGACCTAACTTCACGGCAGCGTCATCGGCGTCGTAGTAGATAGAGTAGCTCGGGCTCGTATCTTCCACGAGGAAATCGACTTGCCACGTGCCAGAGGAGATGGCCATTGATTGGATGGAGATTTTGGCATGGAAGTGAGCGTTGTTGATGGATGAAAAGATAGAGAATACGACGATGACTGTGAACAAACCGCCGTAACAGGGTGAACAGTAAGCAGCACATTCCTCGCAAGTGGCTTCACGATCATTTTTAGCCGGTAAAGTCGCTATTGGTCGCGACCACCACCCACGAGGAGTGGCGGAGGAGGGTGGCTTTATAAAAGTAGTCGTTTCGGAAGCCATATTTGTTTTTGTTGGTTTGGACTCTGGAGAGAAGAATGAAATTTATGTTTCTTTTTCCCCAATTATATAGGGTTGGGGGAAAACAATCTCCCACTTTAAAACTTTTTCTTTCTCTTTATATTTGTGTACATGTTGATAAAAAAGTTTGTTTACTTTGTTACAAGAAAAAATAAAAATAAATATTTACTGGCACTTATTAGTTTTTAGAGTTTAAATCTAATCACTATCCATTGTTACTCAGTAATTGTTTTTTAATCTTCAATACAAATCTGGTGTTATTGGTTCTTGTATATTTAAATAATTTAATATAAAGAGATTATTCAATAAAAAGAATTTGAAATCTGTTGTTATTCAATAAAAATAAAAATTGGAATCAATCAAAGTTTTATGTTATTCATATTTACTAAATTTTTACAATTGTTTTCACGTGTGAAAAGCTTGACTGATTTAAATTTTCAAACCTATTTTAAGGGTAAATTATAGCAATCAAATCAAAAAAATTATTATCATATTTTGTAATTATAGAATTGAACCAATAATTATCACTGATATTATTTTTTTGAATGAATAATTATCACTGTTATTAACCTTCGTCACATCACGCTCTTCTCCATCGCAAGCCATATGTAAATGCCTACTTCAAAGTCCAGACGTAGTTTTTCAAACAACTTCAATAATTTCTTCTTATTTTTAGTATATTAATAAACAAGCTACGTATAAAACTATATTTTCGTTCGACGTAAAAAAAGTTACAATTTAACCACGTGCTTCTCTTATTTGATTAATTATAGAAAGAAAAAAAAACAATCTAACAATTTCAAAAGGAGAGAAAAAAGAATTCACTAACCCTAAAGAGATAAATAGTATTCTATGATTGGCGAGAAATTCTAAAAGGATGTGTCCCAATACTCTTGCCGGAATGAATACTCACACGGCCTCACATTTCCGAGCAACGACCCCTTCACATTTCCAGCGGGATCCGCCGTGAAATTCACCGGTATATCGCCACAAGTCATGAACAAGAAACCATCTCGACGATCGGATCGACCGTCTACTGTAACTCCCAAAACGCTAGATGCGACCTCGACCCGGAAATCCCAAACCACACCACTAAGACCTTCGGGCGTTGCACTCGTTTTGAAAACGGCATACGAAAGCGGTTCATAGATTTTTCCAGTGACGAGTTTCCCAAAATAATCCGGCGTGGATGACTCGGAGATTAGATTCTCTCCACGGAGGAGACGCGATTTGATTGTATGGAGAGAGGGTTCACATCCTTTACCTCGGTTCCTCGCCGCAAACCCGACGTTCCAATCAACGGTTGCGTTTGCGTTTGAAACGGAGAAGGAGTCGACAAAGACCTCCAAGCGACATATATCTAGGGGCATGAAAAACATTGGAATAAAAACCAAGATGCTAATGCATCCTGATGCGAGAGTGTAAGCGAGGTAGCAAATGCAGAAAGAGGCTGGCGTAAGCTTGAACGCTCTCTCCCCGACGTCAGGGTTTCCGTTTCCGGCGGTTGAAAGTGGCTCGCGACATTGGCAATGTCTGCTTCTGAGACCACAAGAGCTACAAAGAGACATTGCCATTTTGTAAGCAAACACTTCATGAAAAGATAGGTCATGTTTATATATAATGAGGTTTTGACATGTATTCTCAAATATCGTAATAATAGATAACTGAATTTTGTTGATATACATATGTATTTATATATGTAGATATTTTAGTTACATGAATCGTAATACATATTAACAAATACCACTTTTTTTTTTAATTGACAAAACAAAATACCACTTTTTGTGCCGGCTGCCGAGTGAGTACGAACACAGTTTGGAAAAAAAATTATTTAAATTAGTTAAGCTATGAAAGTAAACTACTCCCCTCAAAATTTGTTATCCAGCTTTTTTTTTTTTGTTTGATTTGTTATCCAACTAATCACCTATACTTCAGGTCTGATTAGGTCTCTAATCTTCCCAAAAATATCATAACAACCATCCGTCTCAACACTTGAATATCTTTTTTGTTTTTGAACATAACATTTTTTATAACTAAAATTCAATTAATATTAATTTCAACGTGTCGTCTATAATTTAATAATGATATCATTCTTACTTCCGCACCTCCCAATGAAACGAATCAAGTAATGGCCAATACTTTCCTGGAAGTAGAAACCGGATTCCCAACGTCACCGTCCTCCGCCACCGATCCTCGTCTTCCTTCACGGTGGTGGACACAATCACAATACTTATTATTTAATGGTAAGGAACTCACTGAAGAAGAGCGTTCTGCTACTTTTAAACTATTTGTGCTCGGCGCCGTCACCACATTGGCCGTCTTCATCACCGTCAGC